AGTGTTAATCTCTTGTCTCAACACGTAGGTAAGGCAAAACAGTTTCATTGGACATGCGTTAAGAAATTATTGAGATACCTAAAATACACTAAACACATGAAGTTATTGTTAGAACCAACACATACTGATTATGCAGAATTATGTTCTTATGCAGATTCTGATTGGGCAAGTGATAAGAAATCACGTAAAAGTACTTCAGGTTATATGATGTTCTTAAATGGATGTCCTGTTTATTGGCAAGTGCGTAAACAGAATTTTGTTTCTTGTTCATCTACTGAAGCTGAATATGCTTGTGTTTCAGATGCATGTAATTCTCTAACTTGGTTTGATGCTTTAGTCACAGATATCTGGACACACCCGATCCGACCGATCACCGTGATGGAAGACAATGAATCGGTGGTTTATATTTCTGAATCACATTTCACAGGTTCTAGGTCCAGACACATTGACATCCGTTATCAAAACATAAAACATTTAGTGAAAAAAGGTTTTGTTAAAATGCAGTATGTATCTACACATGATCAAATTGCTGATATGCTCAACAAACCACTTCCAGCAGCTCAACACGAGTATCTGCGTAAGAAGATGTGCCTTATTTAATGATGTACCTGATATTCGCTCAACTGGCAAAAGAAGGGGATTGTCACTGCGTTTTTTTATTTACCAGCTGAGCTCATTATTTCTGGACTATCAGACTTTCCGTAGCTTGCCAAGAATCCTTATCAGTAAGCTAAACTGCGCATGTCCACCCACATTCCTTCACACACTTTTCTTTCTTCTCTTGCCAAGAAACGTCCGGCTGAGAAATAGCCGGCACGAACTTTTACAAAAATGTAACAATTAATTTTCTTAGTTAGTGAGATGTTTTATTTTCTTTATAACAAATAAATGAGTTTAATTAGAAGAAATATCTTCGGGTTTTTTCTTCTTAAAGTATGCTTGCAAGGAAAAGTCTCGATCCACTCCTCTTAATCAAGGTGCGATTATCCCAAAAGCAGAATGGGATTAATCAGTGCCCTCACAGAAATACATTTGGCAAGGTTAAAAACCAAGGATCAAAATAAAATTACTGCAGGATAGCAGAGAAAGAGGGAGGCTTCGGGCTCCCAGACTGGGAGACTTACTATCAGGCAACAACACACACTTGGATCAAACATTGGATAGAGTTAAAAAATAAAAGTTCTCTGACACTAGAAAGGCACAACTTACAGATAGGATGGCATGCCTTCTTATGGGACGGGAAAAACAAACTCCATAGCTACTTCCAGAGACATTTAATTAGGAACGCACTGCTACAAGTATGGCAAAAAATATTTTAAAAATCATTATAACAAAATTCCAGATTGGCTATCAACGATGGAAGCATTAATTTAGCCAATATTGATAAAATTAAAATATATAAAGATATACTAAATGGCCAGGGGGAACTGAAAACAAGACAAGAACTAAAAGAACAGGGCATAGACATCGATTGGTGGCTATATATGCAGATTCAAACTAGACATAGAAATGATTTAGAACAATATGGATTTCAAAAGAACCACAAGAATTAGATAAGTTTTTACAAGGCACAGAGGACAAATTGATTAAGAAAATTTACAACTATTTATTGAGATACAAAATGGAAGAGGAGGTAGTCAAAGAAACTATGGGCTAAAAATTTCGGCTGTAATATTGAATTGAAGAAATGGGAGAAACTCTGGGACAAAAACTATAAATTGACGATGTCAGTAACCTATAAGGAAAACATGTATAAAAGCTTTTACAGGTGGCATCTTCCACCAGTGAGACTGGCTAAAACGTTCCCAAATACTTCATCAGTCTGTTGGAAATGTAGACAAAACCAGGGAACATATTACCGTATGTGGTGGACGTGCCCCAAAGCAAAACAATATTGGAATAGAATAAGAATATGTTTAGAAGAGATAACCAAACAGCAAATAGATGTGAAGCCAGAATTATTTTTGTTAGGAATACTCTCAGGGAATTATGACAAAAAAATACAATATTTAATTCTACATATCACAACAGCAGCGAGAATAATATATACACAAAATTGGAAGAATAACAATATAACATCAGAAGAAAATGTGATAAGGAAAGTTTTAGAGTGTGCAGAGATGGATAGGCTCACAAAAGAATTATAAGATAAGGGAGAAACAGAGTACTATATGGTATGGAATAAATGATATGAATGGTTAGAGGATAGGTGTTAAGGGTAAGGAAAGATTAAATGAAGAAGATATAGGAGTTAGAACATAGTAACAAACTCGTAGAAATGGAAATGACACATAATGTATGATTGTAATTTAGTATTTTGATATATTAATATGTATAAATAAATAATAGAACTACATGTATAGATAAAGGTAAATTGAAGTAAGTGGGGAAAGGGATATATAAGAGATGTATACTGATGTGGAAATGTTGTAAAGAAGAATATTGTCAATTTTTTTTAAAAAAAACTGTTTAATAAAAATTATTTTTAAAAAAATAGTAATTAAAAGCAAGACTATTCAATTTGAACCAAGCACTTTCTTGAAGTGACAGATTTATGTACTGTATACTATTTAAGTACAATATTAATTCTTAGTTGACAGACTATTCCACATAGTGGTGATAATGATGAAAAATTAGACTTTATGGGTGACCATCAAACTTCATGGAATTGGGGAATGCAGAATAAGAATCATGTAGATGTTCAGAGATACAGTGGCAACGATTGCATTTAGCATTCAAATAAAATAGGTGCACTGCAACCTGATGAAAAACTGCTACATTTGGTTCCAGTTGCAATTTTTGGGTATTTGGGTGGCCATCTCTATATAGAACATAGTACAGTTTACAATCTGGAGATAATTAAAGTATGAATGAATTTAGAAAGGTCTATTTTTGGCAGAAAGTAGTGGGGGATGATCAATCCAAACTGGAAACATTCTTTTAATCCAATCCAATTTGCAAAACTAATAGGAAATATTTTGAATAAAATTATTTGCATTCTAAAATAACTTCTTTCTTGTTAAGATAAACATTCATGATGTTTTAGTAATCTATCACAATTGCCTTTCTATTAGACTACAACCTAATGTAATCACACAGAGAAGGAAGTATCCTTTGCAGACTTCACTTGTCTTCCTTTGGACATTAAATAGGATCGGGGGAAGGCAAGACTGCCATGTAGAATGCTGTTAGCTACCAGCAGTTGTCCTGCACCACCACCACATTCTACCTTCCAGCAGTGAATGGAATCCATTTTTCCGTACTTGGGTACCAACAATTTTCATTCCCTCAAGAAGCATAGCATAATGGTCTGCTCAGAAATTCTGGTGGAATCAACAATGTTCCATTTTCCTCATCTATCAAAAAATAGAAGTCATTGAGAGAAATTGAATAAGCAAACTGGTTAATTTTCAGGTGCTTTGGACCACTGTGCAAAAGCCAACCATATGACTGTATAATAGAAAGTAGAAACTCAAGATATTAGAAGGCGGCACTATGTTGTCTACATACAGTGAGTGTGTATGTGTGTATTCACTATACTTTGCTCAGATACAAGTCATTCAGTATCTGTTCTGTCTCCTCCCACGAGTGGCCTTGCAGAGGTTCAAATAGCCCAGCAGTAACAAACGCAGACTAGATAGACTGAAACTGGCCCTTTAATAAATAGTTCTCTTCCAAAACGTTTATCAATCCAATAGTTACTGGGCAATGTTCCAAAGGTCTTGGCAGATGGCCAGCAGGCTACTGCAGGAATGCAAACTTTTGTCAAAAAACTCCAGACTAACAGTTGTAAATCCACTACATCCAAAGCACCAACAAATTGTTCACCACGCCTTTCCAGCCCAGTCACACCTCTTTTATACTTTGTAGGGTGTGGCCCTACATCTCCTGACCATACCTCTTGGGACGTGGCAATAGCTGTTCTCTATGACGTCTCCTACGTCTCTCTCTTGCATCCAATAAGGGCTCCCCCTCTTTGTTACCGGCCTCTGTTTCCTCCTCAATTTGGCTGGGGTCCAGAGGCACGTCATCAACTGTCAGTTCTTGCTGACTCACCAGTGAAGACGACCCCTCCGGCACATAGCTCGTGACAGCTTCCTCCTCCTCCATATCATCCTCCAACTCAGCATGCGAAGATAAATCAGCCTCTGGGGCCGGGGTCACAACAGTATCTTCTTTATGCCTTATAAATCACGCCACCTTATTTTTTTTTTACAAAGGAATATTAATGAACATAAAATATTTATTACAGATGAATGGACTTCACAGCATAATGTGCTGGATTTCACAAAATTATTTGTGGACCAAGCCTACATTACTGGATTAATCAGCAGCTGTACAATTGAATGATTCCTCTTCATTTATTTGTTCTGTTTCCTTACATGCCTTATTAAATATTCTTACACAGTGGGAAACGTTTTATGAAGAAAATAAAAACAAGGTTAAAAAAAACAGAAGAAAATAAGTTAATAGTATTCACCGTAAGGGTGAATACTCCAGTGAGTTTTCATAGTTTATATTGTGCAGTACAAAACTGATACATGGCTTGTTTGCTGATGTGTCTCAAAGCTGAAGTGCCAGGGAATAGACTGAAAAGTGTTGAGGAATAACAAAATGGGCCAGAATGGGGAAAGCAACACTGGTTACCTTATTTATGTAGATGAGTAGAACTGGCAAGGGAGAAAAGAATTGGAACAATTAAATGATTGAGAGGTGTATTATACTCTTCAATGCTATCATAGAAGAGACTAGATGCAAGTTACACAATATCAAACTGAATTGCCAAAAAATATTAGGCGGCCATTTTGTACTAACCTCATTCTTAGTGCAATTTTGCTTCCTAAATTTTGACACTAAATTTAATACTGTGCAACATGATACTCAGTACAAGTTATATAGTTTTTGAGGATATCACATGACAAATGTATCTCTTTCAGAGTTTCAAAACCCAGAAATGACGTGTGACTTACTAATAATGTTCCCCCTTATTTTTAATTCATTGCTTGCTCTGATTGACCTGCAGATGGTTCAGGAAATCCAGTATTAGAGCACCCCCTTTAGTTTGGAATAATTTAAGAACAAGCATGACTAAATCGCTTTGTGTACTGCACCTTTAAAAATAGAATGGAAGGCGGCAGACATAAAACCTGTTTCCATGGTGAGGAAGAGCTTAAAATCCTCCCCTAAGGAGATGCTGAAGTTCCAAGTCTTAATGGACGCCATCCCCACGCAGTAAAATCTGCTCAGTTGTAAGTTTCTCTGGACTGGTTTTAAATGTTCTGTATTAACAACCAATAAAGGGGACATCCCAGATGATCTCAGTGTAAATGCTGGTAAACCTCCGCCTTGAACCTGAAATTGTGATAGGCAAAGATCCATCTGTATGACCAACTGCATTTTTGACGCTTGTTTTATTACTTAGTCATTTCATAATGCAACAAAAGTAACAGAGTGATTTCCAACACCTTTTTTTTTTAGTTGGAATCTGACAGGTTCTCTGTTCTTTAAATTGTTTAATATTAAAATTCTTATATTTGTTGTTAAAGTGGCAGGCTGGAGATGAGAATATAGCCATTTTGTGCAACTGCACATAATATTTTTGTGCCCACAGCCCCACAAAGTTCCCAGACACTGAATGGTGAATTCAGGTCAGTGTGGGTGTGGATTTATATACCTATAATTAAAATAATTGGTTTCCACACACCCTCTTCTGTTTCCAAAGCTAAGGGGTGTCTACCTATTTATAAGTTTGCTTGGGTTTCTAAAGTCTCACGGTATTTTAAATTTTATTTTTGGAAGCTTTCTTATTTAAAACTATTGCACTCTGTTGTGTATATTAACTATTGTAAACCACTTCTGGTGTGGATGAATCTTTTCTAAAGGTTCAGTATAAAAAATTTTGTAAAAGGAATTCAATGAAAATTATAATGATTTTTTTAAAAAATTCTCATATATAAAAGCTAGACATAATGTAGGAAGTTAGGACCCACCCCTCTCCTAGAAGAATGAAATATTTTGAGAAATATTAAAAAGGCAGAATATTATATTTCCCTGGATAAGAAATTGAGGATCATGTTTTTTTAAAGGGAGAAAGCAGCCCCTACCTTTCTTAATAGCCCTCAGCAGATGTCAGGACTTAAGAGATAAAGAGCTTATTGAAAGAAGCCAAGTATCTAGGCAGCTCTATTCATAGGCAGAAATTCCCTGCAGCAAGGTCTGAACAAAGGTAGGATTAGCCCTCAACCATAATAGGAATTGCCCAACACCCTTTCAGAACACAAGCACCTTCATTACATCATCTCAGGTGCACTACCCCAGCAAACTTCAGCCAAACTTAGCTCAGACAAACATGACCCCTACATGGCCCCATGGGAGTGTAACAACAGCCAATAAAATAATGTTCTTGCACAGGAACAGCAAGCTCAAGTTGGAAGCTCAAGTTCAAAGCCCTAGAGAAGGTATAAAAAACCCTCACTCCCAATTCCATGTGGTCAGCTGCGCCAGAACCATATGCTTGGTGGTTCTGCTTTATCATTAAACCATTTTTCCAAACAGCCTCCATGTTTCCAGTGTCTTTCTCCCTGCTTAGAACTGAACCAGATGGATATTTTGCCCAATATAAAGATTAAAGAAAATAAAGTGAAGTGAAAAAAATAAGAAAAGTATGAGAGAAAAAGATATATAAAAAACAACTCCCAAGCTTCTTCACTGAAGTTACAAGCAGGCAGATCCTCACACCTCCCTGTTTAAAATTACATTATGTTTCCTTTTTCCTATATTCAACTCTTTTTAATCAGCAAATCATAAATCACCACTTATCACTTTTTCACATTTTCAGTAAATATCCATAAACGGTTTCCAAACTTTAATAAAAGTACAAGTGATCGAACAAGTCAGTTTTGTTATTTCTGAAAATTTCATCATCTTCATAATCCATTCCTCCATTATGATAGTTGAGTATTTTCTATCTTTGTTCATATACGGTAATAACCTTGCTGCAGTCACTATATACAAAACCAACCTTTTCAGAGTTTTTTTCCTAATTGGCTACCCATAAGCCCCAATAGAAAAAGTTCTGATTTCAGCAATTAAAAGAATAGTTGCTGCTGGAAATCTTTTCATGATGTCTTTCCAAATGTAATTCCCATAGAGTTCAATCACTCTGTCCCTTAAAGGAAGATGAGTTGGAATTTGGTACAAATTTCAAATTCAATGGGGCAAAAGAAAAAAGAAAATACTACTTTTAACTATTTGTTTATTTAGTTGATTTCACATACTACAGTGTTTTAGTATATTTTTTCAACATGTTTGATGTTAGACCCCAAACCCATCATACCTGGCTCTCTAAAATCAGGGAAATAGATTGTCATCCTTAGATGTACATGTTGGCAGGATAAGTCTTCAAATTATGAAGATGTATTTTGTCTTCCATCTTGCAGGTTTCTTGACATACAATTTTCAAGATCAGAAGATTATGTCCCAAGCTCCCTTGTTATACTGCCCTTGTTGGGATCCTTGGAAAGCAAGGGGTAAAAAACTTATAAAAACTAAAGCAGGCTCACTGAATCAGAAGTCCAAGTAAGTAAAAGTACAGGGATGGTAAAGGATGGTTTGACCTTTATCAGTATAAAGGTATACCGGTAAAGGTCAATCATTTTTCAGTTGCTGAACTATCAATGAACATTTGAACAACCACAGAATCTCCATAAGTGTTTTTGTTAATGGTTGAGAGTATTACGGGTGGCCTCCATGCCATATTTGGGAAAATCCAAAACAACCCTACTTCTAAATCAGAAAAGTCACTGTGTGCTTAAGAGTGAAATAAGGGCATCTCTCATTCATTAAGGAGTAACTAAATACTGGATTATAAAGGGGATGAAATAATATACAATTGGTAGAAAAGTCTGTGAGAGGGAAAAAGCATTTCATCCACAGAGCATATGAAAATTTGAATCTTATGTAACCTGAGAGCAATACTGCTGCATAAGATCTTGACAGAAATACACACGTAACAGAACCACTAAAAAGCTGTTAAAGAGAGTTATCAATAGTACATTGCCATATAAAACATAAAATGTCCTCATGATTCATAAAAACATCAAGGAAGCCCCTCCCCTGCTAAATTTTAAGCAAGATAAATGGCAAGGACCTTACTGAGTTCCTTTTGATTTACATGGAGCCTGGAAAAATTATTGATTCCTGACATAAACTGTTTGTAGAATGTATGTAACTGTCAAATTAATTGTTTCTGTAATTCTGTAATTCAGATATAATATTGGAATTCAGGTATATTATTCAGGTATAATAGGAATATTATATTATATTATTAATCCAAAACAATTTGAAAACATATGGAATACTACGTAAAAACCATCGGCATTCAGAAAATCACTATCAGTCAATTGCAAAAAGCAACTATATGTGGAACAGTTTACTTCCTGTGACAATAGCTTTAACACCATCAAACATCAACATCTGCCTATCCTAGGTCCTTGGAAAAGATTTGATCAGTAGAGAAAAATATCAAATCCAGTCTAAACATTTAGTTGGCTGTATGAATTTAATCTAAAGAAAAGCTTAAAATACAGTCAGATGCACAACCTATTACTATACTCACTGTCATATGTTCCCAGGCCCTTGTAGGACTATCATAAGATTTGCAAAATTCTAATGAAAGATGTAACATTGCTATGTGCCAAAGAGAACAAATTATAATTTAGAAATGGATATTATCAATATTTAAATTGTAATGCTGAGAAACACTAATCCTATTCAGGTCAAGAACACTCAGAAATACTGGTGAGACTTAAAGACCAATTGCATTTTAGACTTGACATTTGAAGAAATTATTAATCCTTTCTAAACAGTGGTTTTTTCCACATTAGAAAAACATCACCAGGAGGGATCCTCAAAGACCAGTCCAAAGTCCAGTTAAATCCTTCAAATACTTCTAGGTAAGTTTCTTGTGCTTGGAAATCAAATGCAAAAGCAAGGGATGTGCAAGATATAAAACCTTATCTGTATGCTGAGAATTTTAAATTGTTTTTGATCAGTATTCTTCAGAGCACATGATCAAACAAGATATTCTTTCTGCAATTCTTGACACATCTGTGTCAGTCTGTATGTCCAAAATGGATGTGATGACACAGTCAATCTGAAGTCCATTACATATAAAGATGCATGCGCATGGGAGCAGATGACCAATTGCTAAAAATATATATAACCATTTATAAAATTGCCTATTACGTTGCTCATTCCAAGCACCAATTCCAGTATAGAAACTCAGGGTAATCTACTGCAAACTTGTTCCAGTTCACTGTCTTTACTATGTCAATTTAATGATATATACATGAATATCCTGGATTACAGTGCAGAGTATTTTAATTTTTGACACATCACGCTTGTACTATTGCTCTTAAACATTTGTAATACTTTATCAGACTTTTCCCAATTTTACTCAGATCTGATACTATACTAATTGAAGCCAGGCCAATTTGTTCCCCTATTCAGGATCCATTTTTAAATTTGCTGGTCTATAATGTCCTGGTTTGGAGGCCAATTGGAGCAACAAATTTAGTAGTAAAAGTAACAAAGTAATGACAGTGTCTCTGCAGAAGTGGTTGTGGATGAATATTGCTTTTTGTGTTATTGCTGGCACATTCAAGGAATTTTAGAAAGGGTTTGGACACCATAATCTTTCTATAGTTTTTTCATGCTATTTCATTCTTTTCTCTTTTTCTTCATAAAAAATGTGTAAAGGAAAGAAGGGTAAAATATCAGCACAATATAGGTAGTACCTATTATACCAAGTGTGTTAAACTCAAGGCCTGTGGGCCGGATCCGGCCTGCAGGGTGCTTAAATCTGGCCTGTGGCCATAGGGTTGCCAGGTGTCCACTATTTGAGTGGACAGTCCACTTTTTCACATTATGTTCACTATTTTTTTTTCACAAAATAGTGGACATTTTTTTTATTCAAAAGCTTTATGATGAAATGGTACGTAATCTAAAGCTGTACAGTCTAAGAGAATAAGGATAGGAGAATCGCGTTTTGTCTTTTTTTTCATAAGTTAGAATGAGACAAAGATCGAATGCTCATTGCAATAATCACATTTTACACAACAGCGCAAAAAATGCATTAAAGCAGTTATCTTTTGATATCGAAAATGTAGTGTGTGGGAATCAGGTGGCCATAGTATATGTGTAGATCGGCCTAGCTGGTTGGACACGTGTACGGAGCTTGGCACCGAAATAATCTGAGTAGGAAAAGCGGGTTCAGCTAGACGACCACTGGAGAGGCTCTATTTAGAATGGAGGCTGTGTTTGCAAGGCATAGACATCTCCTTGTGGAACATTCCTAAGGACTGAGGTAACCTCTTATAACGGGGAGATGGGCCTCTCGGCTAGCAGAAGAAGATGCTGGGAATGAAGCCAAATATGATAACATAGCAAGAGTTAAGTTTTGTTTCTGCCTTAGGTATCGCTTTCCTAGAATTCATGTGATTTACTGTAATATGGTAGGATGTGAAAGTTATGTCCAGATATGGAGAAAATCCTTTGTATCACGGATGTAATATGAGAATGTATAGCTGTAATCATGCCTTCTGATACGCCCAATACCCTTGCTTAATAAAAGAGAGGTCTGGAGTCAGCTCGAGGGTCTCTCATCCCGAGAAACACTTGTCCTGTGTCTTCTCTAATCTGGACCTCTCATGGGGAGCCCGCCAGGATGATTGCAACAGTAGTGCTGAAGGTTTTTGCCGAATTTTTGAATTCTGCGAAGAAACGAGAAGAGTTGAAATCATTTTTTGAATTTTGCGAATCAGAATTCCATGAAGTTTTGCGCCATGTTCCAACACGTTGGTTAAGCTTGTTTAAAGCGGTCGAAAGACTTCTTTTAAACTGGATACCTCTAAAATCATATTTTATTTCTCTTGGATCTGATGAGTGCCGTAAGGTTATCTGGAACCTTATTTCGGATCAGGAAAATTAACTCGCAAAGGACGATGAACCAACAATTTCAGAATTGTATTTATATTTCACACACTTCTTCATGTCAATAATGCAAGACACCCTACTGAAGCTGGAAAGCAAGAAAATTCTTGCATGTGATCTTCACATTATTTTTTATTTATTTATTTATTTTATTTCAAATTTATATACCACACCTTCTCCCAAGGGACTCAGGGCGGTATACAGCCAGATAAAAACATACAATACAAACATTAAGAACAATTAAAAGAATATATATTAATTTGGCCCCAGTTTAAAATGAGAAACCAATTAAAAATTTAAAATTTAAAAATATGTTAAGCCAGCCCGGTTTGATGAAAAAAGAAAGTTTTAAGGGCACGGCGGAAGGCACCAAGGTCTTGGATTCTCCTTAACTCAGGGGGCAGCTGGTTCCATAGGGTAGGTGCCCCCACAGAGAAGGCCCTCCCCCTGGGGGTCACCAGCCTACATTGTTTGGCTGATGGCACCCCAAGGAGGCCCTCTCTGTGGGAGCGCACAGGTCGATGGGAGGTTGTCGGTAGCAGCAGGCAGTCTCGAAGATAACTACGTCCTATGCCATGGAGTGCTTTAAAGGTGGTAACCAACACCTTGAAGCGCACACGGAAGACCACTGGGAGCCAGTGCAGCTCGCGCAGGAGCGGTGTTATGTGGGAGCGCCATGCAGCTCCCATAATTACCCGCACGGCCGCATTCTGGACTAGTTGGAGCCTCCAGGTGCTCTTCAAGGGGAGCCCCATGTAGAGAGCGTTGCAGTAGTCCAGGCGAGAGGTGACGAGGGCATGAGTGACTGTGCACATGGAATCCCGATCAAGAAAGGGTCACAACTGGTGAATCAGGCGAACCTGACAAAAGGTCCCCCTGGCTACAGCCGTCAGATGTTCCTCCAAGGACAGCTGCGTATCGAGGAGGACTCCCAGATTGCGCGCCCTCTCCGAGGGGGCCAAAGACTCACCCCCAATAGTCAGCGATGGAGTCAGCTGACTATATTGGGATGCTGGGAACCACAGCCACTCAGTCTTGGAAGGGTTGAGCTTGAGCCTGTTCCTCCCCATCCAGATCCGCACAGCCTCCAGGCATTGAGACATCACTTCAAGGGCATCGTTGGGGTGGCCTGGGGTGGAGATGTACAGCTGGGTGTCATCAGCGTACTGGTGGTACTTCACCCCAAAGCCACGGATGATCTCACCCAGCGGCTTCACAAAAATGTTGAACAAAAGGGGCAAGAGGACCGACCCCTGAGGCACTCCACAGATGAGAGGCCTCGAGGTCGACCTCTGCCCCCCTGCCAACACAAACTGCGACCGGTCTGAGAGAAAGGAGGAGAACCACCGTAACACGGTGCCCCCCATCCCCAACTCTTCCAACCGGTGCAGCATGATACCATGGTCGATGGTATCAAAAGCCGCTGAGAGGTCTAACAGGGCTAGAACAGAGGAGCAACCCCTGTCCCGAGCCCTCCAGAGATCATCTACCAACGCGACCAATGCCGTTTCCGTGCTGTGCCCAGGCCTGAAACCCAACTGGAACGGATCTAGATAAGACGTTTTATTATTAGCATGTGTAAGCTGCGTGATTCTTTGCAAAAAAAAATACGATGAGCAGTTTTTTGGAATGAAAGTTTTATTTGCCTTACGTAAAAAACATTTGCCTGAGAATGCCGTGCAAAAGTTCAAGAAAGAAGCCATCAACGTGTATCAAAGAGCCATTGCGTACCTAGAAAAGTGGTATAATTTCACCGATTCAGTATATGAGACGCTAAGTTGTTTCAATCTAATTGATCGCAATAATCCTCCAACTTTAGAAGAAATGACGAACATCTGGTTATTATCACCATGGCGAGAAGAACTTCCACCCAACACTCTCTTCGATGAAATTTCTGCCTTAGAAGAAGTTTATGTTCATCTGCAGGGCGATTCATCCCTTGGTAAGTGGATGTACTTTTTCAAGAAAGAGCCAGCTCCGAGTTTACTGAAACTGTTCCAGTATTGTGCATCAATTCCGGTATCAAATGCAAACGTTGAACGAATTTTCAGCGTCATGGGAAATTTGTGGACTGACGAATGTAACCGACTGCTTGTATCAGTTCGAAGTGAACTTTGTATATTTTTTAATATTTCTCAACGTTGTACTGAAATTAAAGAATTATTCCTTAAACACGAAGAATTGATCAAAGCTGCGCAGTCAAATAAAAAATACACATGACAGCAAAGTAAAATGTAATTTAATATTTTACACATTATTATAATATATTTGATGTTTTGAATTTTAAGTAAAGTTTTGAAGTGATTATTTTAATACATGTTAAAATGTTTGTAAGAAAATATATAATTTAATTGTAAATTTTTAAATTTATTTTTTTACTACTTAACCCCCCCCCCTGCTTGTCCGCTATTTTTTGAAGCAGACCTGGCAACCCTACCTGTGGGGCTGGTCTGGAAATAGCAAAGGACCAGCCCGTGGTGCCTCTGGCAACCAAAACGGGGCATGGGGGGCTGTGTGCCCCATTTTGGCTGGCTGCAAGAGGCCGTTCAGGCCAAAAACAGGGTGTGGGGGGCGCACATGGCCCCCACGTGCCCTGTTTTGGCTGGCAGCGTACTGCAGGAGGCATCTATCCTGTCTCTCCCCCCTCCGGCTGCCCCATGGAGGAGAACCACAATGCTGATCTATCCCCCGAAGAAATCCAGTTTGACACCCCTGTATTATACTTTAATTATTATGTATTTAATTATTTTAATTTCTTTGAAGGAAGTTTTCATGATTCTTTGATTTTTCTATGCAGAAATCCTTGTAAACACTCTCTCATTAATTTCTGAAATACATGTCCGTTCTATTTTTATGCAGAAAGTTCTGATTTTGACAGAAGTCCCTAAGCAAAACAATTTTGTTGCCATGGTATTTTAAATAACCTTACTTTTTTTTCCAGAATGAGATTTTCACATCAAAATAAAACTATTAGTACAGGTGCACAATCCTCAGAAGGTCTCCAGCTAAAACCTTTTGTACAATACTTAAGTTGAATGGATGTTCTAAGCAAGATTCTATCTCTCAAATTATTCCAGCAACCTTTGTATGCTCTTGCTTGTCCTTACAAAATGTAAAACTAAATTAGTTTCCTGCAATGTTGAAGAAAGCATTAGTTAGTAATCACTGGACCCTAGAATCAGAAAAAAACATGTTCAACAAAAAGATTAAGCAATTTCTTATGCAATCTTCTGACGGAATATGTTTAAATTCAAGAATGACACATTTATGGAAGGATGAGAGAAAATAGATTTCTTATCTTAATAGGAATGAATTAGGGACGTATCATTACAATATTTGTTTTTCATAATATATCCATTTTAAAAATTGATTGGCAGTATACATACCAAGTTTGCTTTTATATCAGATTTTTAAAAATGTATTCTGTTAAGCTTTCCTTTCCAAGTTGACATACAGATATATGTGTTCTTTTTAGTTTTGTGCAGAGATCAAATTTTTGACACATGCCTTTATCTCCCTGGTAGTCTAAATAATCTTATTTTTTCCTTCCAGAGTGAAATTTTCCACCAAAACCTATGTGCAACCATTAAGAAGCAGGGAGCCTCAAGATGTAAGTAAAATATATTATTTATTTTTTGTACTTGGAAAATGAATACTTTAACTCAGCTTTTTCCAAACTAGTGCCCTTTAGATGTGTTTCACAATGATTAGTCAGAATGTGATTATGGCAGTCATACTTTTACATATCCGGAGGATGCCAAGTTAAGGAAGGCTATTTTAATCATTCTCTTTCCTCCATCCTGTAACATCTTGAAAAGTAAAAACCTTGTACCAATTTCAATGAAGTAGAAGCATAAGGGAAAAAATTCCTTATCCTACAGAATAAGAATTTAATGATTAAGATCAGATATCAGTACTTTGCTTCTGACTATATAGCTCCTCCTTTGATAATCAGAATGAAGTCTTTCATCCAACACTATTCTGCTCTAGTTCTAAGGTCCTGTGGCATGAGCTAACAGTGGTATTAATAATATTAATTAATCATTATAATGCCCTTATATTGTACAACTCAAAATGGCATAACTAATGTTCCCTGCTCCTATGTTCCTATCAACAACACATTTAGGTGGATAGGACTAAGAGAGAATGACTGGCCAAAAGTCACCAGCTGGCTTCTGTGTTTAAGGGAAGACTAGAACTCAGAGTCTCTTGGATTCTAGTCCTGCACCAACTGGATCTCATGTACTGGCAACAAGACCCAGAAAAAACAGTGGGGTGTGTGGAGGACAACTTTAGGAATTGCTGCAAAGATACAGTTATAAGGGAAAATGAATAGAGAAAAAGAACAGCTTAAGGTAAAGTACACAGAGAAAAAGAGAACTAAAAGTTTGGACTTGGCTAGATCTTCAGAGAAAAGGAATTTGAGGGTTGAGCAATAGTTACTGAGAAACTCTTTCCTGGTGCTGTTAAAATATGACATAAGGATGCTTCCGGCAAGAAGAGATGTAAATCTTACCAGGGACAATTCTTAAAGCAGAGAAGGCAATTGCAAGATACATAGGATGCAAGCCACATTTGCTCTTGAATAAATTCCCAAAGACACTAGACAAATATCACAAGGATTGAAACATTGCAACCAATAGACTTTTGAAGTGTAAGGCAGTGCTTCATCTTGAGATAGAATCCAAACCCAGCAAGGAAAAGAACAATTTAAGATGGCTCACTTGAAACAGAGCATACATTTCTAAATAGCTCGGTTTCAAGTTTAATATTCTACTCTCAGCTTCTCCTCCAGTGTATAATGTGTTGAGTGGAAACAGTGATACACTGTTCATCACAGAGTGAAAAAAACCCCCAGCTTTGTGATGCCTTGGGAAAGATGGGATTCTGAGACTGATAAAAGCAGTTCTTGTAATCAATTATCCTAATTGATGGGGATAGGGATCATGGCCTGGAAAAAGAGAGGAATGCACATACTGTATATATTCATCCTCTCATCTTGTTTTGACATTGATCTGGACAGTATACGACAGCATTTTCTCTTAAAGAACATCTCCCTGATTCATTTCTTAATTTCTCATCCTTATTCCCATTCTTATGTAATCCTGCTGCAGATATTTGTTTCTCAAATTAATGTTCAAGTCCTTTTCCTTCTTCACTTTCCCAACATACTAAACCCAAGGACAGTTCCCCCCCCCCATACCATCACTCTGCTAACCAACTAATTCCCACAACACTGTAAAACTATCTAGAAAGGCAGTATTACCATCATTATTCTCATCTTCCCTATTATCTATCACCTTATCTTCTTATGACTACAGTATAACTTGCTGCTTGTATCTTATGATTTAAATTGTTTAATTAGTATCCTAGTATGTTGATTGCTTATTTAGTATCCATGATTATCACTAAGTGCTGTATCTAATGTTTTATGATGAATGTATTTTTACAATGACTATAATAATGATCTATCACTATTGTTGTATGTACACTGAGAGCTTATGCACTGGAGACAAATTCCTTGTGTGTCTAATCACAGTGGCCAATAAAGAATTCTATTCTATTCTATTCTATTCTATTCTATTCTATTCTATTCTATTCTATTCCATTCCATTCCAGTCCAGTCCAGTCCAGTCCAGTCCAGTCTAGTCTAGTCCAGTCTATTTCATGTTTCAATTTTATCACAATTTCATTATTATCTAATTCTTCATTAAGTGACCATTTGTTTTCATTTATTAATATTTAAATATTGTTATGTGAGCAGTTTGAAATTTTAGTTTTTCTTTTGGTCCTTGCAAGTAATGTTCTGAATGATTCCATATTGTGTCTTAACTCTGTGTCTTAACAGGAGGGATGACACTCTCCAGGCAAATATTTATATGACTATGAAATTTCTCTGGAAAATATAGACTCTTACCTATATATCTTCTATCCTTCAGACTGTTTTTAGCAAATGAGATTGTAAAAATATTAAGTTCTTAGGAATAAATATTTTTAAATATTGATCAGTCAGCCTGAGATTTCCTGAGATTAGAAAATGAAAGGATAGCATATATCAGCTTTCCCGTTTGGAAGGAGAATCAAAAGCATATAATTCTGGCTTCTTTTATGAGAAGACAGCACCTAAGGCTAAGAGCCAGATCAAAATGCTTTAAATACATTCAATTGTAAGAAGCATATCACTGGTTTGGAGTTCAAAACTATTCTTCTAAGGTTACTTTTTTTTCCAGATATCCAAAGTGTTTGAAGAAGAGATCACGCCTGGTTTTACCTTGTCTCACAGTAAGGAACATATTGATGTCACATTGGGTGAAGAATTCTTTGAGAAACAAAAGCCTACAGAAGAAGCCATAAAAACTACTGTGCCTGGGTAATCATACATAGTGTCCAGATGATGTATTTACATAGCATAATATTAACTTATTGCTGTGTGATATGTTATCAGTGTTTTGTTATTTCATGTATGTGGGAACAATGCAATCAGCTAAGTTTCCACTTCTTTATACAGATTCCCAGTAAATTTTGACAGATAATTCAGAGGTGGTTTTTTTTGCAGATGGTTTCACTATCCAAACATTTCCAGAAAACTATTTTAATGGATGAAGAGGTCAAAGGTCAAATAGAGCAGCCATTCACAAACTGCCTTCCTAATGTGTTAAATTTCACAACCCCCCCTAATCTCCAGAGACTATAACCAAAGACCATATTGGCTGGGAATCATGATGAAGTCTTGCACATCTGGAAAGCAATAGGTTGTTAGGCTGAAGAAGGACATCTTAAATTAAAGAGTATATGCAGAGGAGGCAAGGGAATAAATAAGTACCTGATTATGTATACTATCACCACAATTTACAAATCTGCATCAGAGATCTTTGTAAAAGTGGGTCATAATGGCATGTGCATGTCTGCATCAGTGCCAATATCTCACCATTTTGGCATCATGGTGGTTTACAGCTTAGGTCTTGTTAAGATAAATACAAAAAAATGAAGTTCAAAATAGATGGCTTTTTTTGTCCTACAATGAAAGTGAGAGCTGCCTATAGAAATCTCTGAAGAAATTTAGAATTTAATTGTGGATATGACTAGACACCAGTTACGTAATTTTCTCTTCCCTTCCTCTACCCCCACTCCCCAGAAAAAGGAAACAAGCATTTCCTAGTTCACAAAACCCTTAAACTGTTTTTACATCTGCTTGGGATATTTCTTACATCTTATTGTTAGGAAAATGAATGTTCCTGAAGGAAACCTTCAGGGAAGCCTTTAATTAAATCCCCATGTCATTTTTGACTCTCAAGTTTAGCCTGAATACATTTACAGCTCATATTTTAAGATGAGATTTTGATTCAATGTATGATTCAACTGAATGTTTTTCTGTTATGATTTTCCACTATAATGGGATTGTCTAGAGATTTAAATAAAATAGACATTACATAATAGTAATAATTGAGACAATTTAATTATTTGTCTCAATCATTTGATCATCATATTCAGCTTGTTTTATGCTCCTGTGCAGATCTGAGTCTCAATCTAAAAGCTCTAATAACATCCCCAAATTCCTGTATTATATTAAGACATATGCTTATAATTGCTGAAATTACATTATGTCTGCAGACTCCAGAATTTGCAAAATATTGTAATCCACAAAATTCAGCCCATAGTTTCTATATACACACATAATAGATTAGATCTTGAGTACACTGATTTTATAAAATGAATGTATTTAATAGAATGCAATGGAGATTTATACTGCTTTCCTCTCTCTCTCTCTCTCTCTCTCTTTTCCCTCTGTCATTCCTTGCAGCACTCCACCAAAGCTCGAAACGTAAGTACTGATACAGTCTTTTGCTGCTTATGGTTTTCTTGGATTGCAATATAGTATAGTGCCTAAATGTGTCATCTGGTTTGTTTGCCCCTCTATAATCCTGTATTTTGTTAATCTGAGTTAATCTTATTTCTTTATGGTCTATTTTAATCCAAGTTTACAACATATTTTGAGGAACAGTGTACCAAATCTGTTGCCCTGGAAAAAACAAATTCTTGTTCTGCAAAAAAAAAAAAAAAAAAGGAAAGAAAAGAAAAGAAAATCTGGGGTGTTGCTGAGTTAACTCATGTGTATTTGTCTGCTCTGGAGTAACGTTGGACAGTTTGATAAACTTCATCACTGTCTGCTGCCTTTTATAGAAAAAGGTAAGGAAGGCCATATAAATTATATTACAGCACTGTTTCCTGAGATGTGGCAACCCTATACAGGATTTATGAGCCCTAGGCCAAATAAGCTGGAGAACATCAGGTTGCTTGTCTGCTGAATTAGTTGAAATTCTTCCTACATGAAATTCTTTTGTAGTTACAAACCTTTATGTTTAAAAGTCTCATTTTCAGGGGTATTCAAAACAGCCTCCTATACTGAAGAGACACTCATAAATGATATTAAAATTGGGAAACATTTCAGATTCCAAGGTTGAGTTGCTGTTGACTTAAAAAAAATTTCTTTAAAAGGAAAACATATTAACATAAAATGTCTGAACTGAACTACTAGGCACTTTCATTCTGTTTGTTTCAGATTTAGCATGGCACTTTGATAGGCAATCTGATATTCTCCAGGTGCCTGGACAGCAACCTAGCTGACATGGCCAGTAGCCATTATTATGGAACTTGGGGAGGACAACAGACTCCCTATCTTGATATACCTATTGTCAGAGGCATGCATTATCATTGTTGTTATGATCTTTGTTTTTGTTTTGAAAGTTTATATTGAAATGGGAAACTGTCCTATTCCATTTCATTTTGACTATATCAGATTGATAGAATTATCTCTTTAGAATGTATTATTACTTATTAGTAAATTCAGATAAGAATGCCAGAGGAGTTATGTCTTACTACACCTATCTATCTAAACTGCCATTGGGGGGTATTTCTTACTATTTCTTATATTTATTACCTCTCGGAAGTTATTTATTATTCATTCAGGATTTTTTAATGAATTTAGTAATCCAAGTTATACATTGCATTTGCCTCCAATACAAGTCCAGGCTGAGTCATGCATTCATGTGACAATGGTGTAGTCTAGAGAGGTTTTTACAGATTGAATGACAGAAATCGGATTTCCAAATCTCCCAAGCACTTTTTAAAAAATTGAGTCCACTGGGAGAAATGATTAAAAAAACCCAATATGATGTTTACATGTAGGAACCAGTTCTCTATCATATTCTGTTGTTCAGTTTTTTCATGATATCATTTTGCCTGGATTGTCAGTAACTAGTTGGCTTCTTTTAAACTCCTGCTTGTGTCATCAGTGATACTATCTAGTTAGTCTATCTTATGTAAACATAGTTTTTTCAATTGACTTTAATTTTTCCAAGCAGCAGAATCTTCTCCAAGAATGTTTACATTTTATAATATGTCCAAAATATTATGTTTGGAAGCCTACCTTCTCTTAACAGCGTCCACCCTCTGGAAGGAAAATTCCCCAAGATTTCAGTTTCAAAGGGCCCTAAAGATCTGGTTCTTCACCCATGACTGATGCCTCTTTCCCCCTTTTTGTTCCCTTCTGGGTTCATTTTCTTTACTGTCATTGTTCTTTGGTCTTATACTGTTTTCATCCCTATGTAGAATTTTTCTATTGTTCTTTGCTTTTAAATGTTTTAATGGTTGTAAGCTCCCCAGAGTTGCTGGGACTTGGGTAATATATAAACTAAACAAATTATTATTTGTTCACAACAATGTGTAGTCACAGCTGACAGTTCTTTAGTTTCATATTCAATGAAGAACCTAGGATGTCATAAGATCCAAGCAGTATGACCATTTGCAATTGACAGATGTTCACCTCCCATTGTTGAGATGAGTGGCCATACAAATTGAATTAATTAATTAATTAATTAATTAATTAATTAATTAATTAATAGAAGGTTCTTGGAGCGTACCCATTTCTAGAATGAACAGGATGGGCAGAAACAGTTGGAGATAGGTGCTTTCTGCGGGATCCAGATTCTATGCCAAGATCTTTATAGTTAATAACCAGCATCTTGAATTTCACTCGGACTGGCAACTGATGCAGCTCACATAATAGCAGTGGTAACATATGGGCATACCCAAAGGCACCCATTACTCTTGGCATTTTTGCATTTTCTACCAGCTATACATTCCGAATGGTCTTCAAGGGCAGCTCCTAGTAGAGCACATTGCAACAATTCAGTTATATCCATTTAAATTCAAACAATTTTACATTTCAAAGTAATAATTATTATTTCTCTGGAACAATTTGTACATTATATTTTGTAGGGAAGATGTTGTTGCTGATTTAGTGGAACAGATTTCTGAGCTGACAGCTATTATAGAGCAATTGCGCCGAGATCATCAAGTGACACATAAACAGGTGAATCTTATTGGTCGTGGAGAGAGAGTAGTGGTTGGAGGAAATTATTTGGTCCTCTTCCAGAAACCAATTACTATCAAGTTAGGTGAACTGAATTTAAAAGACATTTCTAAAGCAAAGGTATTAATGGGAATAATTAATGTGGAGATGGGATGAAATGGAATGTATTTGGCCTCTTGTTTGCAGATAAAACTTTATGCACAGTTGAACTGTGCATCTTTGAGTTAGTCTTGATTCCAGCCATGTTCCTGCAATTTCCTTGGCAAAATAGTTAGCTATTGCCTTCTTCTGAGGGCTGAGGGAGACTGACCAGCTGGCTTTGTGACTAAAGCAGGACTAGAATTCAGTCTCCTGAAGTCTAGCCTTGTGTCTTTAAATACTGCCCTGGCTATCTATATATACAGTTACACTGCTAAAAGAAAAATACTTATTAAATGTAATTGTCTTTTTCTTTTTTTCTAGATGGAGAAAGATATGGAAGAAAAATGCAATGAGATGCAAGAGGAACATGATAATAAAATGAGGTCTGGCTGTCCTTGTTTGGAAGCTTAAAGTAACTTTTCTTTTTCCATAGTTATAGGAGCAAAGGAGGAATAACAACATATTAGGGAACCAGTTTCCATTCCTCCCCCAACTTTAGAAAGGAAGCGGACAGCATGTGACTTTTTAGCATTGTTCTGTGGAGGTCAACTCAGAAGTAATAATGAACAAAATATTATGACTACTGACTAATCTTATTTGAATCTGTGTCATTGGCCATTTTCAGTCACATAAAAATCTTTTTTTTAATGCAGAGCACAAATAGAGTATACAAAATAAATGATTAATTGTTAAAATATTGCATTTTTGCATACTGTGCTTTTTAGTCTTTAAAGTTATTTTTTGTGTGACTGAAAATGGCCAACAAAAAAAAACCTCAAAGTTATTCAGAAGTTAAGTCCATACAAATTTGGTGAAATTTTCTTACAGGTATATCTGACTGTTTAGAGCCACAGTCAGCATAAGTTAAATAGAGCTGCTACTCTATCTGCAGTACTGAACAATTCCCTCCCAGGATGTAGTCCTGTTGAAAATCATTCTTCTGTTACTTACTCTGTGGGGAAGCTCCCTATTGATGCCATGATAAGCTTTCTTCTTAAGCAAGTATAAGCACGAGGGAGTAGAGTTAATTTTCCCTACCTTACTATTGGAACCCAAATATTTATCAGCTTTCCCTTCCCAGCAGTGCCTACTACTTTACCTACACATCAGATGCAGCTTTGGGCCTTTAAAAAGTCATTCTCTTTCTCATTAGTTCCAATTTCCCACTTACTTGTCTACATTGCAATTAGGATTATTCCTTAATAACTAGAGTAGCAATTGGTGTGGGCATGGCATGCTTTCAACTCAGAAAAAAAATCTGTGAATAAAAACATAATAATAATAATAATAATAATAATAATAATAATAATAATAATAATGATGATGATGATGATGATGATGATGATGATGATGATGATGATGTAGCATAATAGGAATAATAAAGCCAATCACAATAATTGTTCTCCATACAGTACAAACATGCAATAAAAATAATATATAAATATAATTGAACATTGGTTTTGAATGTACCTTGGTACTCAACTGCTTTGAAACTCATCAAATTTGGTACTCAACACTTTTGATGTAAACATTTTGTCCTGAAACTCATTTGTTTGGTACTCAATGCACAAGCAAGAACTTGCCTATGTCATCTGCCTTGTGATTCACTACATTATTCCTTATGGGAAAAAATTGTTTGGTACACATCACTTTTGGTAGTCATCGTGGCTCCTGGAACCAATTAATGTTGAGCACTGAGGTATCACTGTAGTAAGAAAACTTAAGTCTAAAAGCCTAGGTTTAGCTCCTATGCAAGTTACAAACAGTTCAGAGCTTTTCAGAACAGGATGGAGTTATCCATTTTCCCAAATTCAAGAGAGCCAGTAATTTCAAGGCTTTGCTTATGGAGATTTTTCATAAAACTATGTCCTTAGTTACTATTTGCAAAGCCTATTAAGGAAAGGAATTGCTGACTTTTTTTTGTTTCCTTCCTTCGCATTCCACCAAACATCAGATGGGGTTGGCTTTGAGAAAAGATGGAGTCTGAAGAGTAAATATTTGGTCCTGGTGCCTTGTGTGGTTGCATTCAAAAGAAGCCTGGTCAACAGTTGACAGATGCTATGGGCTTTTTTGTTTCCTTGTGGAGTTTTCTACCAGCTCTAGTTATCTGTTAGCTGGGCTGAAAGGTTGTAAATCAAGGACTATCTGCATTGAGTTGATCTCATGGTTTAGATCCTTTTGAGAATACCAATGAGAGAATGATACATGAAAGGCTGATCTTCCTTATTTTATCTCTTCAGCCTAAGACAAGCTTGTGTGTGTTTCTTCTGTACTTTTAGTGCTGCTTTGCTGTCACCTCTCTAGATAATGCACAGATTTTTGTAGATTTCCCTTCCCCCCTAGAGTATTTGAGTCCTTCTGAGTTCCTCCTAAGGAGCTCTTCTTGAAATGTAAAGGATATTTTATAACCGGATTGCATATGATTTTAGATATGATTAAAGATTGTACAGTAAATTGGCAAAAATCAGGTGCTGTGATTTGTACAAGAGAAGAGCTTCTCACCAAGGCAACATTACCACTCTTCAAGTTTATTACGAAGACATACTAACTAGAGGACTTAACAGACCACAAGTGCAGGGACGCCTCTTTTACCTTATTTTGCTGTTATGTTGTCTTGGCAGGGAGATTCAAGGATTTCACATAATACAAGTGAATAACCTGGAAGAGCAGTATAAGAAAGAGTTGCGGAATGAGAGGGCAACTGCGCAAGAAAAATTGGGTATGATGCAGGGCTATCTATTTGTCTCATGCCTACATGTGTACTGGAACTTCAGCACACAGAGTTGTTTCACAAAAGAAATTAGAAATAGATAAGTAGCCAGGTACAATGGGATGATTAATATACCAGTTTCAGTGGTGGGTTTCACTTACCTTTGCTACCAGTTCGCTTACACACCAACCATCATTTCACTTGCACGTGTGCCACTTCTGTGCATGCACAGAAACATGCGCAGAATATATTTGATGACGTCTGGGCGGGTGGGCGGAGCCTCCCAATGCCACTACTACCGGTTTGCCCAAACCAGGGCAAACTGGTAACAACCCACCACTGACCAGTTTGTTATAGTGGTTAAGACACAAGGCGAGAAACTGGGGACTGTGAATTCTAGTCCTGCCTTAGGCACAAGGCTAGCTGGGTGATCTTAGGTTAGTCACTCTCTCTCAGCCTTAGGAAGAATGCAATAGTAAACCACTTCTAAAATCATGCCAGGGACTTGCAGGCAGTTGTCAGGAATCAATGCTGACTTAAACACACACACACACACACGTATTTCCATCAGCTGTTGCTATTGCATTTAGAACTACATAAGGAACAAAACTGCTCCCTCTTTTTACAAATCCAGAGCAATTTGTAATTTGTAATTTACAAACCCAGAACAATTTGTAAACTATTTGATTGGTATTTGTATGTGCGTGTGGGGAATTGAAAAAAATCAACAAGCAACTTATTTTAATATCTTAAATACTTATAGGCTGAATTTTCTATGCTACCAGTCACAGACTTGTAGACGTCAATATTAGAATCCTGACAAGGCAATTTTAAGCTATGAGGCACAGCAACCTCTGGTCCTAACATCTACAGAAAGGGACAAAATTGTTAAACTAGAAATTGTGATCTTCTATGTTTCACTAAGTGCAATGTGTTAAAAAATCCTAGCTGAAAGTAAGTCAGTGACAGATTCAATAGAAATATTGGACCAGTCTTTCACAACCTGCTGCTATTCAGATGCATCAAACTCTCCTTTGCAGCTAATGTTCACCCCTAGCATGGTGAATGGTAGCAAAATGCACATTGAAGAGAAGTTAAGAAATCACAGGAAAGTCAACAATCTTAAAATAGTAAAAATAAAACAGAAGCCTATCAACAATAAGAAACCTGACTAGCCAGTTGATGAAAGCCTTAACTAGAAAAGAAGAAAAACAAGCTTAAAATATTTCACCTGATTTCATTGAGAGATTTCCATATTCAAATGCTATTTAAAAAATAAAAAATAATCACCTAGCCATCTCATCTTTGTTTTGCAAGGATGCCCTGTGTCATTGCAGGAAGTTTCAGGCAGAAACTGTTAAGGTTTTGAGAAGCAAAATTATTTTCCCTCCACAGGATGTTCTATATCAGTATAACTTTTTTTCTTATTTTTTCTCTGTTAAGATCAAAGGTCCACTTACATAGGGCCATGTGGGCAAACTCCAAATAGTAAAAGAACTTGGTATTGTAACTTAACAGTTTACTTGGATAGCTTTGATTGCAGCATTGATTTCTTTGGTCAAATAGAACATCTAACTGTACTTTAGAAGAACTTCCCTCAGGGTGGGAAATGCCCTAATGACTGTAAAAGCCAGAAGCCAAATTCAGTTCAAGTTAGAAATATGAAGAATTGAACAAGTCTTTCTGAGAATTAGGAAAATTGTCTTCAAAAAGAAACCTTGTTAATCTCACCAGCTTGAGAAAAACTGTTTACAGCTAGCAGGAGAGACTTATGAGGGCAGAAGGATATGAGAAGGCATCATCTTCAGATGCCATGGTCTCAAAAAAATAGATGTGTTTCAGGAAGTTTTTTAAGGGTAGGAACTTTCTCTCAAGTTCAAAAGAACCTGATTTTTACCATTGGGGGAGGGGGGTTAATAGGTGAGGGAAAGTAGGGCAGACAAAGGACCAGTTTCTGTCTTAACGCCCTCTTTCCCAAGCTCTAGACCCTGACTCAAAATTGCACTGCCAAACTTGAGTTATTTTGTTGCTGAAGTTAATTGGTGTAGTTTTGAGATGCTGGGAGATTGCAAATAGGATGCTTGAAGATGGGCTGAGCCAACCTTACTGGCTTCTCTATTTGGATCTCTAGGAAAATAATCACAACTTAAAACACTACAAATCTCTAACTCCGCTCTCCATATCTTTCTCAAACTGCATCCAACCTCCTTCTTCCTAACTAGAATGAGGGGGAAAATATTTCCCTGTCAGTTACTTCCTAATATTTTGGAATAGGCAGCTCCTAGCAACAATTAGGAGATACTCTCCTAGCAAAAACATCACCAGTGACTAGGACAATTAAAATATTATTTTTAAGCGCTCCTGGCTTCATTAATTCTCTTCTATCTATGTTGAGAAGTGGGCCATGGGAAAAAATACTGATAATTCTGAGTTAATTTATTAGAAAAATATATAACTAAAATTAAGACAACTCAAACCCAAAACATGAAAAATGTTTGAGTCAGTAGTTTATAGCGCTATGATTTGGATACGTGGAATATATTACTTCTTTCCTTTTTTCCATCCTCAGCTACAATGCAGAAGGAATACAAATACCTGAAGAATGCATTTCGTATGTACCAGGTAAAGATTTAAATTGCCATCTAAGAATTAATGAAGTACATTTGTAAAACTCATGGATTTAGGAGCCATATTTATAATTCGGAGATACAACAGAAACACCTTTTCATATGAGCCTTCAGTTGGCTGTGGCTTTCCCACAATGTGCAACTACTGCAAGGCAGTCCATATGGGGCTACCCTTACAAAGCGTCTAAAAATTGCATGGTGCAAAGTACAGGATGGAGTCTGATATACATTTAAGCATTTTTGGCATCCTCCAAAATTATCCTATCTAATTCCTTATTGGACCTGCAGCTTCTTATCCATTTTATTTGGTCTTTCTCCTGATGGAATCTCAAGTAGAAGAAAATATGGAGGCTATCCATTCTGTAAAATATTATCCCTGATTCCTAATAAATATCCCATAAACATCAAGGACAGCAATTAGTGAATGGTTTGGGGTCTACCTTTTGCAATGTGGGAGAGCAAGGCTGTTCAACTGACTGCACTTGATGTGAATGAGTTGCTGCAATGGGGAGACAGTGCTCAGGAGCTAATCTCTCTCTACCCTCCCCCTCCTTTATTTAGCTATGTACTGCCTATTTGCCTACCTATCTCTACAGGGCTTTGGTGGTTGGCTCCAGTCAAAAACTTTTTATTATGCAGAGCAATTTTTATTCTCAAAACTTATTTGAACGCAGAAATTAAACTCTTTTCTTACTTAGAAATGGTTATTTTTATTTTAAAAATAGTTTTTTCCTTTTTTAAAATCTTTATCCACAAGTGTATTTTTAAATTTTGGCTTTTTAAAAATCTTACTATTTTAGTATGCAAATGTGCAAGCAACTGGCAAATTCTTCATATTTTGCAGAAGGCAGTATGGGTAGTCCTTGATTTACAACCACAATTAAGCTCAAAATTTCTGTTGCTAAGTGAGAGAGTCTTACCCCCTTTTATGACCTTTCTTGGCACTGTTGTTAAGCGAATCACTGCAGTTGGTAAAGTTAGTAACACAATTGTAAAGTGAATTTGGCTTTCCCCATTGACTTTGCTTGTCAGAAGGTCGCAAAAGGTGATCACATGACTTTGAGACACATAAATATGAACTAGCTGCCAAGCATCCAAATTCTAATCACATCACTATGGGGATGCTGCAATGGTCGTAATTGTGAAAAATGGTCATAAGTCACTTTTTCTAGCACCATTGTAACTTTGAACAGTCACTAAATGAATGCATGTACCTATGGTTTATAATTCTTCCCTCCCAACCTGGAAAAAGACACATATGTGCTCTGGTGAAAAGCTCTTGTGACTTCTCAATATCCCATGGAGTTCATGGTTTAAAAAGTCATATATGCAATGTCTTGCATAGGAGAAAATAAGTCAACTTTAAATCCTCCTATGTGCTGAGGGGGTTATAGTTAATCCACACAACTGAATGAGCAAAACTCATGATGACTTTTGAAATATTTTTTTAATTGGACCACAATATCCTGTTTAATATAAATAACATATTTTAATGCATTGATAGGCAGAACTGGTGCCTATATATGTTTCAAGCTGGTTGGTGGTTTTATTTGCTTGTTTGTTGTGGTAGGATAGCATTTCTGATGAAATGGAAGAAAAATGGCTGAGAAGACAGGCCGAATGGAAAAAAAGTGAGCGGACTGAACGAGAAAAGGCATTATTACAACAAAGTAAGTAAAAGAAATGTACTAATCTTGTACTACTGTAATCAAAGCACTATTTTCTGTTTCCTCAGCATTTTATTATCCCATAGAAAGTTTTCAGGAAAAGAAGCAAGGACACCCAAATGCTGCAGAGGTTTTGCCTTATTCTACATGTATATATAGTAATATATAGTATAATCTCACCTAAATTAATCCAGGTTATAATAGCAATATCAATAAGACTTATATACTGCTTCACAGTGCTTTCCAGCCCACTTTAAGCAGTTTACAGAGTCAGCTTATTGCCCCCCAAAATCTGGGTCCTCATTTTACCGACCTTGGAAGGATGGAAGGCTGAGTCAACTTCGAGCTGGTCAGGATCGAACTCCTGGCAGTCAGCAGAATTAGCCTGAAATTCTGATTCCAACCACTGCGCCACCATGACTCCTATAAAATTAGTAATGATCATATATAATTAATATAATTAATATTATAAAATACTAATACTAATTATTATTATACTAATTAATATTAATTATAAAACTAGTAAGAGTATTCTGAGACTAATAAAGCCTTAGAGCAGGGGTCTGCAACCTTTAACACTCAAAGAGCCACTTGGACCCATTTCCCACAGAAAACAAAACAGTGGGAGCTGCAATGCCTGGGTGGGCATGGCCAACTTGACACATGACCCCCTAGCCATGCCTGGTGGGTGTGGCCAACTCACCACTCCCCCTGGTCACATGACCCCCCCCAGCCATGCCTGGTGGGTGTGGCCAACTCAGCATCACTCCCACCCAGCCACAAAACATTTCGAACACGTGTATTGGAGGGTAGGGTGTAGTCAGCTGTCAAACTGAATAAAAAATAGAATAGAATAGAATTATTTATCAGCTGAAGAGGTTTCAGAAAAAAAATGCTTTTAAAAGCCTCTGACGATCAGGCAACTCAGCTGGGATCTCAGAGGCTTTTAAAAGCATTTTTTTCCTACAACCTCTTCAGCCAAGCGGTTTGGCTTACATTTGGGAGGTTTCCCCCCCACCCCTTTCGGCCGTGCACGGAGCGAATCTCTTACTTACTTTCTCACCGAGTAGCAGTGACTTCCTGGATAGCGAGGCGAGGAGTGACTGGGACTCTCTTCTTCCTTCTCTTATCCAGTGAAGGGAGGAGGGGTGGGGGACAGACGGGGCCAACCAGGTGAGGAGTCTCTTCTTTTCTCAAGCCACGTGAGGAGTGACTGGGGCAACGGGTTGGGCCAACCACATGAGGAGTGACTGGGAGGGGAGCGAGTCTCTTCTCTTCTCAAGCCACACGAGGAGTCACTGGGCCCGGGATGAATGGATGGATGAAATCAGCCGGTACTACCAGTGAAAAAGTTAACTACTGGTGGGTGTGACAGGGAGCCACAGGAGAAGGGCGAAAGAGCCACGGTTCGCCGACCCCCGACTTAAACCATTCTGATTTAAGAAAACATATTCACCAACTTTGGGGTTGGGAATAGTGTGAAGGGATGGTGGAAGAGGAGTCACAACATGTAAAATGGTGAACAAAATTGAACAATGTGGGGGGAAACAAGCACATAGCACCATCCTAGACTATCCAGGCCTAAGTAAGAATAAACTTATAACCATATTTTTGGTTATATATTATATTTTTACAAAAATTGCCCTAAAAATAAATAAATACTACACAATTCAAGTAAATATAAATATATAAAACAAATAGGTAGAAAATCAGTTGTCAAAGGCAGAAGGAAGTAAACACATTAGCAATATGGAATAAACACAAAGCTACAAGAGAAAATATTTTGCTAACAAGTTGCAGGAATCTTCCTGTTATATACAAAATTCTGCACACATAAAATTTTGCCACATTGTATTTATGGTTGGAGTCTTATTATACAATAGAAGCAGCGTATGTTTGGGTGTCTTGGGAAATGTATTAGTAAGGGTATGATATGGGTGCTGTACACATGGCTATTTATATGAAATTACCATGCTAAATTCATATGCGAGTTTCCAGGACTCAGGCACAATGCAATTAAAAAATAGATTTTAAAAAACCCTTTATCCTTTCCTCAGAGCAATCTTTAACAAAGAGATTTGAGATGGAATTAGAGGAGCAGAAGAAGATTATTCAGAATAACAGTTTTTTGCTAGGTAGAGTTTATGAACAAGAGAGAGAAGTAAGTGCATTTCCTACTTATCAAAAGTTGCTTTGCTTTGTACAGAAGGCTATTGTAACTTGAATTAAAAGCTTTTTCTTACAAATCTCAGCCAATATGATTGTTGCAAATAGGCATTGCTTGGATGATGTGTGGTGTTGTTCTGTATAACTTGTATTCTTATAATAGCCTGAGTTGCTGCTCTCATTTTTGTTTAGCACTAAAAGACTAAAATAAAAAATAAAAAACAAAAGTCATAAACCATTAAAGCTTGTTCCTGAGTGGAACAAAATTTCTTCAGGAATAATTAATCAGAAATCCATCCATCCAGTCATTTCTTGGAGATTAGAATGGCTCCAACCCTCTTGGCCTTTTGTAAGGCTTTAAAAACATGGCTGTGTTTTCGAGCTTGGACATGAAGGTGTTAAAACCCCTATTTCCTGGCTTTATTTTTAACTGGTTAATTATCTTGGTTGCTGTGTATATTTATTTTGGATGTTTTTATTGCGTTTATAGTTTTGGAATCATAAGCCACCTAGAGTCATTGCTTCAGATGGACAGGTATAGAAATTACGGTAAACAAATTCATGAAGCAAACAACTCCAAACAGGAAGCAATAAAGTGTTGAATTTTGAACTGATATTGTAAAATGGCTTAGTTACTGCATGAGATTTTATGATTGGGCAGATATCTTGCAAGTAAGGAAGGTCAATACTGCAATACCACATTGGGTCATTTCAAACTTTTTTTTTTCATTCTCCTTTCAGTAATGGATAAAGATTAACACTATGGCATTAATGAAGGGACTAGTGGCTCAGTGGCTAAGACGCTGAACTTGTCGATCGAAAGGTCAGAAGTTCAGCAGCTCGAATCCCTAGTGCCGCATAACGGGGTGAGCTCCCGTTACTTGTCCCAGCTTCTGCAACCTAGCAGTTCGAAAGCATGTAATAAATGCAAGTAGAAAAATAGGGACCACGCTTGGTGGGAAGGTAACAGCATTCCCTGCACCTTTGGCGTTTAGTCATGCCGGCCAAATGACCACGGAGATGTTTTCAGACAGCGCTGGCTCTTTGGCTTTGAAACAGAGATGAGCACCGCCCCCTAGAGTCGAGAACAACTAGCACATATGTGTGAAAGGAACCTTTACCTTTACCTTATGGCATTAATGAGCCCAATTGGGAAGCAATTTAAGGCTCTGAGTTTCAATCTGAATGGAAGTTTTCAGTAAGATGTAAACTTACTGAAACTTAGTAGTAAATGTTTTTTTCCTATTATCAGTAGAATTACGCACCTACCGTCCTTGTCCTACTGTCCCCATTTATTCGTATCCTTATCCTGTATTCATAATCATGTTTATATTTATATCTGTTATCTTACGTGTTTGACAAATAATAAATAAAAATAATAAATTAAAAAAAAGTTATGTTAGCCTCATCCGGTGCATAGCTGGTCAGAGTGTGAATTGAAGTCCTTAAGGGGAGACGTACACCAAGACTTCATTGGGAGCCACAAAAAATTAAGAATTGAACATTTATTGTCAGGTATATTTTTCTGTTAATTTCCCTTTTTTTTTTCCCCAGGAATTTGAGAAGCAGAAACAAACTGCCTTGGAAAATATAGAAGCGTTAAATGCCAAAATCAAGGCATGTGTATTGATTTTTTTTTAAAAAGTACAATTGAAGCATCTATTTAATAAGTAGCAATGTGGTTTATTTTAGGCTTCCTATTTATATATATTAGATGCAACTCTCCCAAGATTCCACCTGCTAGTTGGGGAAAAGGAGAGTTATTAGTGGGAATAATGATAATTTATTAAACTAGTATTTGCTTTAGTATTTTGATTAGGTCCAGCAACCCTTGACTATAAAGCCTTTTGAACCATTAAACAAATCTGTGAAGAACAAGGAGAATTTCTAATATTGGAATATATTGGAATGTGCAACTGGAATATAAATATCAATAATGTACTACACATGTACAGCTATAACCACAAATGGAACTTGTCATAGAATGCTCTTGCTCAGTCTGCTGGCCAAGCTTTTTTTTAAGGATACTTTAATCCATTTCATCCCCTCCTTCTCTCTCAAAAAAAACCCCAACTACTAAAAAGTTAGCTTCTTTAGCAAGCCAACACTGCTTTAGAAACCCTACACTGCTATTTTTTACCCCCTGGCATTTTCTTCCTCTGATATGGTAGTTGAGTATCATTTGTATTTTCTTTCTTGTTTTAAACTTTTGATTTCATCACCTAGAATTGCTTTGGCATTTGGGGTAGATGTTTAATTGAGATAATTTTCTGTCTTCGGCACTCTTTAAATATGGTCCATCCTCACTGGCTTTTTTTTTTTTTTGGCAATGGAAGCTTTGCCTTCAAAGAATTCTATTTCCGTTAATGGAAAATATGGCAAGTTTGCCAATACATTCTTTTCTTTTTTCTTTTTTTTTTGATAACCTCCTGTAGACCATTAAATTTTAAGTTCAGTGTAAGTATATACAAATCAAGAATTGGTTTATTCCTTGCTACTGCAATTCTTCAAGTGATCGTTTGTGAATTCATGCACAAGGCTTCTGCATCGATGCAGTGTCTAGTTTTGAACCTTCTAGTTTACAGAGTTGTTTCACAGGAATCCTACTCTTCCTGCATACTAAGTCACAGGTGAAGCTCTCACAGAATGTCTTCAGTTCCTAAGACCATCATAGTGGATTTGAAGGGAATAGTGAGATCACATGAGACCAAGTGGGGCTAAGAGGATAACATGTTGTGAAGTAATGGATTATCACCTGAACTCCATGTACAGGGAGATAAGCAGCTCTTCACTGTATGATTCATATACACGGAGAAGATCTAGCTGCCCTAAAATGACCAAACAGAAGATAGTTCTTCCAGAAGTTGGATTACCCAAATATTGGTCCCACCTATAAGGCTTGATTGAGGGGTTGGGCTGAACTTATCCAGCTGCCAAGAGTTCTAGTAGGGAATCGGAGGAAAGCTATCAATATTGCCTTGGGCTGTATGTGGGAACAGAAATGGGGCACTGTTTTTTGGCTAAATTATACCAACACTTGAACACTGCCACTGAGATGCTGGAGAGGAACACAACAAACTTTAGATGAGTAAGAAAGGCATGCAGAAAATCCCAAGAACAAATGGATATTTGCATGAGGGAAATCCCAAGAACAAATGAGTATTTCCATTGATGTAGAAAAGATGAGAACATGAGGTGAAGATACATGGGAGAGGCCCCATTCCACCATGCCTCTTGGCCCTCCCCACTGCCAGTCTTGGGGATAGAGCTAATGCAGCCTCTGGTTATGAATTACTCTACTGTAGTTATTTCTTGCTGCCCACACGCCAATCTTCCTGGAGGGAAAAAAGTCTTGTTCAGGCTCCTTTTTAACCCAAGGTTATGTGAGAGAAGGGCTGTCATAGTCTGACATGCATAATTTACCTGTAACCCTAATAATAATGGTTAACAACAAGGTGATATTAACTGTAAAAATGAAATGGAAAACCAATTCTGTATTACACTCTTCTTACCATAGTAACTTTGAGGCTTTTGGTCAGAGAATAGCAATCCTGTCTCCTTTTGAGGAGACAATTAAAACATCAATCATTTAATTTAAAATCAGTTTTATTAGAAATAGAATTTTCTTTTAGCTTAGGTAGCCAAATGTCCAAACAATTTCAATGAGATAGAATAACGCATTTATTGCTGATGAAAATCCAGTGTCTCCCACGTGAGTCTCCCATGGTACCCAAGGTGCAGGTTGTTCACAGATCCAGGTGGACAGGATTCAAAGTGCAAAAAACGTTAAGATGGAATGGAGCCTACGAGAATGAAGTTTCAATAAAAATGATAAATCTCTGATACAAAAACCAGAGGCATGTTCAAAGAACAATTAGATACATTCAAAATACCAAAGACTATGCAGCAGATTTTTGTTTGCTTGTTTTGTGTTGATTCCTAATAACTGCCTGGTTAAGTCCTTGCAGGGTTTTTTTTGGAAATAAGTTTGCCACTGGCTCTTTTGTAAGGCTGCGAGTGAATGTCTGGCCCAAGGTTACAACTAGATGGCTTTGTGCTTCAAGATGAGGCTAGAACTCACATAGTAGATTAGCATATTTTAAAGCAGAATTATCTGAATGTAGAAACAGTGCTGCTTTATAAAACACTAGTAAGACCACATCTGGAATACTGCAACCAATTTTGGTCATCATACTACAAAAAAGATGTTGAGTGTTTGGAAAAAGTTCAGAGGAGAGCAACTAAGATGACCAAAGGCCTGGAGACTAAACCATATGAAGAACGGCTGCAGGTTTTGGATCTGGCTAGTCTAAAGAAAAGAATTGGGGTGACATGATAGCAGTATTCCAGTATTTGAGGGGCTGCCACAAAAAAGAGGGGGTCAAATTATCTTCCAAAGTACCAGAGGGCAGGACAAGCAACAATGGGTGGAAAGTAATCAAAGAGAGAAGCAACCTGGAATTAAAGAGAAACTTCCGAACAGTGAGGACAATTAATCAGTGGAACAGCTTGCTTTCAGAAATCGTGGGTGCTCCATCACTGGAGGCTTTTAAGAAGTCACTTATCTGAAATGGTATAGGTTCTCCTGCTTGAGCAGGAGGCTGGACTAGACGACCTTCAAGGTCCCTTCTAGCTCTATTCTACTCTAGATGACGGCCAAGAGACTCCATTTTTTCTCCAAGAGGAGGGATTTTTCCACCCACTTTACTTCTTCAGATGCCTGGTCCAGATTAATTGACTTCTGCAACTGCAGCCTTCAAGTTCCTGTCTGGATCATATTCAGCACCTTCCATTAAATCTCTTATTTGTTCCAAGACAAAGCTTTTTTTTCCTAGCAAGAATGAGGCTGAGGTGAACAAATCTAGATTGTATTACTCCATGCTTGGGAATAAGCTTCGATCTTCAAGAAGCTAAATGAATGTGGGACAGCAAAGGGCTTGCCATGCCTTGTGTAAGTGAATAGGTGTTTGCCAATTCACTGAAGACTTTAAGGGAAGTCTTTAAGGGAAAGAAAGGGAAAAGTTACAGGACAGAGGAGGCAGGGAACTTGTAATCTGTCTCGCATGTAATCTGCATCTGTACAACCAGGCTAACTTCCTCTCCCTTTTCTGTCTCACTCCAATTTAAATCTTACATCACCCTAGCCACTTTGTGCATATAATGAAGTGAAAGCGTATAGTTCAGTGATGGCTAACCTTTTTGGCATCGTGTGCCAAAAGCTGGGGGGGGTCGCGCGTGTATACTCACACCCATAATTCAACGCACCTCGCTCCCCCGCGCGCAACCCCCTGCGCTCCCCCCGCTTGGTACGTGATGGCCCGGAAGGCCCGTTTTTCACCCTCCCCAGACTCCAGAGCCTTTCTAAGAGCCTGGGGAGGGCAAAAACAGCTTTCCCCAGCCCCCCGGAGGCCAGAAACAGCCTGTTTCCTGACTTAAAATCAGCTGGCCGATGTGTGCATATGCACTGGAGATGAGCTAAGGCAACGCTCGTGTGCCCATTGATATGGCTCAATGTGCCACCTGTGGCACGCGTGCCATAGGTTCGCCATCACGGGTATAGTTCATGCAAGCTTATTCCTTTCAGTAAAAGTTATCAGACAGAAAAAATGCCCAGCAAATTCCTTTGGTCGGTCTTTCATGAAATGGATTATTGGTGGGTTAGAAAAAAGTAAACATAATTTTATTGAAGAGAAAGCTACTCTTAGGTATTTTAAATATGAGCAAAAGAGCTAAAATGTGTATCTATGTATTTGGAAGGCAGAAATATTCATGACAGATAAAACAGAGGAATGGAATAAACCATAACTCTTAAGGTGTGGTGAAGGGTGTAGTTGATCTTCACCAAAGCACTGGTAAACATGCTTTTAAAAAAAGGTAAGAGTAACCTGTTGGGATAGGCAGCTATAGAATTCGATCAAATTTAAAAAAATCCATTAAAAAATTAGCATGGAACTTGAGGTCTACCCAACTCCTATTTCAAATGAATAAAACCCTATCCTATAAGTCTTATTTGGTTGGATAGGTAATTTGAGTCTTCAGTTGCATCAGTTCCAATGAGCTAGCAGCAAGAGCTCATGAGAACTGTAGTTCAAACATAAAAGTGTAAATTGCCTAAAATCTTGCTTGAGTTAAAGAAAGTACTGCTGGGTAATTTGGTGGAGACTATAATGCTCACTAAATCTAAATATGATTTAAAAATCATTGTAACTTTTTGGATCAGATCTTGTGAAATTTGGAGCATTTTCAATCGTTCACAAAAAAAAAAAAAAAGAGTATTCCTATCCCCGGTATGCACAATATTGTCTGGAAAGAAATCTCTAATAAGTGTGCTTTATTTTACTAAAATCATACATTTTCATGGAATAACTGTGAAAATGTGATGCAAATGCTTGAAATTATTTTAAAAAATGTTTTTATCCAATAAAAGACATTGGAGAATGAAATGAATGAGAAGAATGAAACTCTTCATGCTATTGCTTCATCTCTTCACAAAGCAGAGTTGGAACTTCAGAAGGAGGTGAGATCTGTGATGTGACTACCCTTTTGAAACTTGTCTAACATTACTTTTTACTTGCTGGTGGTAGATGATTATTTTTTTAAAAGGATAGCCCTGCCTTTCCTTTTAATAATCCCCCAAATAGCTCAGAATAGGATAATTCCACATATTCATGTAGCGAGTAACATTGGCTCCTTCCCAGTGACTGGGCTCCAAATATTGTCACTCTGCAATTCCAGAGGAGTTTTATTCTTGAGGAGGATAATAAGCCCCTTGTTCCTCCTGCTGTCCTGGGGATGGGTGAATCGCCTCCCTTTTGCCTGTAATGCTCTTCCTCCAAGGCCAGAGGCACAACCATCCAATCAGCCTTGCTCACATGCTAGGAGCTTTTCTTTACCTCTGCAAGAGACAGCTTTCATCTGCATCAATATTCAATGTGTATCTTTTTAAAATTCCATTAAATCCTGTGGCCTTTGGTGAAGAGAACCACCATGTTTAGTTGTGCAGGAACAACAAATTCAGGTCCCATGTTCAGCTACTGCGCCACAGATGCTCCTGAAAAGGCCATTAATCATATTTTTTCTTTTCCTTATCAAACCAAACAGAAAAAAACTTAGCCTCTGCATCTCAGAGATTGATTTTCTGCTCTGATAATGGGCCATTTGCTGAATACTACTTCGCTGAGAATTGTGAAATGTGCTCTGTTTAATGGTTGCTGTAACTGCTTTCAATTGCCTCTAGTTTTCTTTGTATCTCATTGCTATAGTCACCATTGGTAGCCTCCCTTGTTGTGGAACCTTACTTCTGCAACTCTCTTTTACTTGCTTACTTTACTCTGTCCCCGAACAAGACAGAGGCAAGCAATTCTCATGCAAATCACTGAGCCAATGCATTAATTCTTTGTGCAAACAAAGGTTTGTTTAAGAAGGAGAGACAAAACATGGGGAGAGCAGGACATGAGAATAGCTAACTAACATTAATAAGATAATGTTAGTTAGCTAAATAACATATGGGTGAAAGCAAAAACGGTAAGATTGAACTTTATTGAATATAGCAAAATTTGTTGATTGTGCAATCATACCAGAATGTGCAATATAACAAACACCTGATAATTATTCTGAGTAACTGTTAAATGAACAGATACTGACACTGAATCAAAGCAGTGGTGAAATGTAAAACTTGTTACTACAGGTTCTGTGGACATGGCTTGGTGGGGGGGGGTGTAATATGATTGAGTGGGTGTGGCCAATTTTTTTTTTTACTTCGAAAACCATTTTTTCGACAACCTCTTCGGATGAAGAGGTTGGTAAAAAAAAAAAAAAACCTTTTAAAGCCTCTGACAATCCCAGCTGACTTGCCTGATCGGCAGAAGCTTTTTTTTTTTTTTAAACATTTTTTCTATAACCTCTTCAGCCAAAGAGGTTGTAGAAAAAATGCTTTTAAAAATAAAAAAAAGCCTCTGATTGCACGGCTCAGCTGGGCAATGGGGGGGGGCAGGGATTTTTGCTACCGGTTCTCCGGACCACCTGCCTCCATCGCTACTGGATCGGGCAATCCGGTCCGAAGTGGGAGCATTTCACCCCGATACAAAGCATGCAAGAATGGCAGGTTTAGTAGAGATGGCAGCTGGAATTAAAACTGGAGATAGAACATTAATGTGAGATTTGCAGATGCCATCACTTTGTAGCCAAAAAACAAGCTCATTGAAAAGGTTATCTGGAAATAAAAATAGTTAAAATCTGGGTAGTTAAATACCAACAAAGATAAGATCAACCAGCAATGATGCTGTAGTTTTAAGCTACAGTGATTTTGTGGAAGTCAGTTAAAATTCCATCTTTTCTTGCATAGTGATCAAGCAAATGACTACCTCTAAAAAGAAATGGCCATAAGGTGCCTAATATTAAGATAAAAGTTCTCTAGTTCAGTACTAATTTAAACAGTACTCAGATATCAGTGCTCTTCCAACAATAGCAAAAAAAAGATTTCATTGATGATAGAAATATGTATGTTACTTTCCACTTTTCCAAAACCCAGTTTGTTTTCTCCACTACAGAAAGTCAAAATGGCAGACATGGAGAAAACTATCCAACAAAAAGCAGCAGCTGTTGAAGAGAAATATCGAATTAATATAGCTTCTTTGACAGAAGAAAACAACACTTTGAGGTGGGGGAAAAAATCTAGTAAAATCCAAAACAGTAAGTCTTTTGAAAATGTTTAAGAAATTATTTGCCACATTCACCCTTCTGGAAGCATTTTTATCTTAGGAGTGACAAGGGCAAAGATGTAGGGGGGCATGGAGAGATATCAGGAAATCTTAATGACTGTGAAGCTGAATGTCTAAACTTTTGTCCTTCGAAATATTTGCCATTAAAACAAACATTTAAAATGATCCTTAGAACTGTTTGAAAAAAAGATACGTATGCCAAAAGCATGCAGTAACATTCAGTAATAACGGAATTGATTTAGTAGTTAAAATTCCAGTTGCAATATTTTGTGTCGTTAAGACAATTGAATTTGTCATTTTTGAGAAAATGAGAGAGTGGCTGGGAATCTCACTGATACCAGTAACAATATTCACGATGAGATCTGATTCCATTACTGTCCATGAGTTAAAGCATGCCCATATACACAGATTGCCAAATGTAAGTCCCATTGTTTCAAGATTACTCTCTAAGGTTAATGACTCCAAGGATCATAGCCATATTTGAGGGCAAAATCTTGGAAAGAGCTGCACTTAAATTATGCTTTTAGACTTTCCTTCCAAAATATAACTGTTCCTATAACTTCCCAGTACTTTTATCCCAGTACTGAATGCAACCACGTTTGTTGGACCCGTGTCCCTCCTGGTTAGTACTGGCTTCCCGGGAGGTGACGCGAGGCTGGCTCCAGGGGATTATAAATGCTTCATTGGGTGAGGGTGCCTTCCCCGCCGCCTTGAAGGAGGCGGTGGTGAGGCCTCTCCTCAAGAAGCCTTCCCTGGACCCGGCAGTATTGGCTAATTATCGTCCAGTCTCCAACCTTCGCTTCGTTGCGAAGGTTGTCGAGAGTGTGGTTGCACGACAGTTTCCCCAGTACCTGGATGAAACGTCGTATCTAGATCCGTTCCAGTCGGGTTTCAGGCCTGGGTACAGCACGGAAACGGCATTGGTCGTGTTGGTTGATGATCTCTGGAGGGCTCGGGACAGGGGTTGCTCCTCTGTCTTGGTCCTGTTAGATCTCTCAGCGGCTTTTGATACCATCGACCATGGTATCATGCTGCACCGGTTGGAAGAGTTGGGGGTGGGAGGCACCATATTACGGTGGTTCGCCTCCTTTCTCTCCGACCGGTCGCAGTCTGTGTTGACAGGGGGGCAGAGATCGACCCCGAGGCCCCTCATATGTGGGGTGCCGCAGGGATCGGTCCTCTCGCCCCTTTTGTTCAACATTTATGTAAAGCCGCTGGGCGAGATCATCCGTGGTTTCGTGGTGAAGTACCACCAGTACGCTGACGACACCCAGCTGTACATCTCCACCCCGGACCACCCCAACGATGCCCTTGAAGTGATGTCCCGGTGCCTGGAGGCCGTACGGATCTGGATGGGGAGGAACAGGCTCAGGCTCAACCCATCCAAGACTGAGTGGCTGTGGTTTCCGACGTCCCGATATAGTCAGCTGGCGCCATCGCTGACTATTGGGGGCGAATCATTGGCCCCCACGGAAAGGGCTCGCAACTTGGGCGTCCTCCTGGATTCACGACTGTCTCTAGAAGAGCACTTGACGGCCGTGACCGGGAGGATTTTTCATCAGGTTCGCCTGATTCGCCAGTTGCGTCCTTTTCTAGATCGGGACTCCCTACACACGGTCACTCATGCCCTCGTCACCTCTCGTCTGGACTATTGTAACGCTCTCTACATGGGGCTCCCCTTGAGGTGCACTCGGAGGCTCCAACTGGCGCAGAGTGCGGTCGCGCGGATGGTTATGGGAGCAACGTGGAGCTCCCATGTAACACCTCTCCTGCGCGAGCTGCACTGGCTCCCGGTGGTCTTCCGAGTGTGCTTCAAGGTTCTGGTTACCACCTTTAAAGCGCTCCATGGCTTAGGACCTGGTTATCTACGGGACCGCCTGCTACCACCAATAGCCTCCCACCAGCCAGTACGCTCCCATAGAGAGGGGCTCCTCCGGGTGCCGTCGGCCAAACAATGTCGACTGGTGGCCCCTAGGGGGAGAGCCTTCTCTGTGGGGGCACCTACGATCTGGAACAAGCTCCCCCCGGAGATACGGAGGATCCCGGATCTGCGCATCTTCCGCCGCGCGCTTAAAACGTTTTTATTTCATCAAGCTGGCCTGGCCTAAATCTTCTCCCTTTTAAAATTTTTAAATTTAAATTTTAAACACTAAATTTGTTTTAATTTTAATTTGTTTAATTATGGGATATTTTTAAAATTGAGCCAAATTGTTTAATCTGTTTTAATCTATTTTAAATTTTGTATTCCTGTGTTTTATCTTTTGGCTGTTCACCGCCCTGAGTCCTTCGGGAGAAGGGCGGTATAGAAATCTAATAAAATAAAATAAATAAAAAATAAATAAAATCTAATCATAGAGTCCCCAAACCAGGGGTGAAATGTTCCCGGTTCGGACTGAATTGGGCGATCTGGTAGCGATTCTGGCAGGTGGTTCGGAGAACCGGTAGCAATGGGAGCGTAAGGCTCCACCCACCTGCCCGGGTGTTGTTACTACCTGCTTTTAAAAGATTAAAAAAAAGGCTCTGACAATTGCGCGCCACAGCTGTGACCGTCAGAGCCTTTTTTTTACTTTTAAAAGCATTTTTTACAACCTATTCAGCTGAATAGGTTGTAAAAATGCTTTAAAAACGTAAAAAAAAAAGCCCATTTCTCCCACAAGCCACGCCCACAGAACCAATAGTAACAAATTTTACATTTCACCACTGCCCCAAACCAACTTTAAAAAAAAATACTGACAGGCTCAAATGTGCCTTTGTGACATGCTGGATGATATACAAAAGAGCCTTTAACTTCACTGTAGAGAATGAAGCAAAACCCAATTTGAATTTATAAATTGATTCAAGGTGCACATCTTGTGCTTTGGCACATGGGTTATAACTTTGCTAAACAAAACATTTGATATGTCTAGTTGTTTTAGCACAGAATTTCAACTAGCTTCTTATAAACCACTTTCACTTGATTGTGCAATGAGTGACACAGCAAGTGAGGGGAGAATTGGGGTGAATGTCACTCCCCAATGCCATCTGCAATTGAGGGAAATAGTTTCCAACATTTGTTATACTATAGGCTCTGTAGTCTCCCTGTACAATGACAGAAAAAAAAGTTTGCTTTTTTTTCTCCTTCAGGCGCAAGCTTATTGAGAAGAATGAAGAGATATTTACTGAACGTGCCCAAAAAAGTAGTATTTTTGGAATGTTTGATTAGAACTATGCATGAAGAATTGGTTTATGGGAGATTGGGTGAAGCTATTTCTTCAGAACATTAGGCTGAAGCTGGAACACCAGAAGTGTCAAAAGATTACTTATATATATGTATCATTATGTTTTTCACTTTATTTATATCAGCTGTTGTCTAATAGTTTGGTGCTGTGTTTTCTTCCCTCACTAACTTATAAATAGAATAAATGTTTCTTGGCCAGATGGTGGACATTACATACATTATATAAAAAGGGCACAACCTGGTCCTGTAGGTTTAAATCCATAGTTATGACTAGATATAAAGTGAAACATAAACTGCTAAATTCTAAATGTCTATGGAGATTCTCAGTCATCCAGGTCATGGTTATCCCAAATGTGCTTTTTCAAGAGGCAACTGGACTTTTTGATTTTTCTTTGAAGATGTTTCGCTTCTCAGCCAAGAAGCTTTTTCAGCTCTGACTGGATGGTGGGGAATTCCCTGAAGAAGCTTCTTGGATGAGAAGTGAAACGTCTTCAAAGAAAAACCAGAAATTCCAGTTGCCTCTTGAAAAAAAAAAGCACCTTTGTCAAATTATAATTAAAATACTATTTGTTAGTACCTTAAATATCAGGAACCCAAAACTTCTGCATTGATTTTTTTTAATGAACTGGCTTCAATATTTCTTTAGAGGCCCGCCTGGGGATGTAGAACCACCTACCTAGAACTGTTCTCATGATGTTTGGCAACTGTTGCACAGTGTACATAAAACACTGAATTGATCTTCAATAAAAAAGAGCTGAATTTTAGAGATGCATAGCACTTCAGATCTGAAGCCAAAAGGCACTGTTGGTGCTTCCGTAACCCATATGTTCATGGGATTGTACACCTACTGGTCACACTCAGGAAAGGACAGCTTCTTTAAGGTGTGCACATGGCCTTAGACTTGTTCTAATCACCTATTTGGTTCTAAGTACAAAATTCTGTACATCCCTACTTTATTCCTGGAATGTGACTCTACATATGAGATTCTGTCTATTTTCTAGAGGATATATGTAAGAACTTGCTTTCAAAATATATAGCAAACCAAGACTTCTGTTACTTCTTTCTTGATACAATTTTTTAATTGGCCTGAGATTGGCCTATGTGTATCCTCCTTTGCCAGTCTTTGCAATAATGTATCATTATTTATCCATTATTTCTTTGTTGAAGTCTTATCTCACTGCTCTAAAACACTGCATTGTAATTTATCATTTCACTTTATTTCTCTATCTTCACTGTAATGCAACTGTTCAGATGTTCAATTTATAACTGTACATTTACAATTTACAATGTACAGTCCATACCTGCTATAGATTAGAGGAAACATTTTCCCATTGAACAGGGGAAACAGAACTACCAGGTTCTGTCTTTTATATGGATTTTGTTCTGGATTTCATTAACTTCTTGCAAGAGAGGTGGAACTTAGGCAAGATCTACAATCAAGGCTTCTGCAAACGGCATCTTCTCTGCCTCAGTAAGCATTAAATAAATATAGCAGAGTATCAGCTGTATTTAATAGCTGAAGGACGTATTAATTTATTTATTGTAGTAGTATTTTAAAAAATCTCATTGTGTTTAACCCACAAAGGTTGCTCCTGGCTTGGAGATATATCCCTGAGCATCAATGATTCTGCAGTTTACTCTTTCCAATGAAGCAAACCTAGTTAGACAATATCTGATATCCTTCAGCTCTAGAAAAGGCTTGCTTAAGAAATGTGCTGATCATACAAATCATTTTTGAGATATGCAATGAGTAGCAGATGGGGAAAGTGCATGTCTCTTCATCTTCTTAAACATCAAATAGCTTTGAGAATAGGTATTCCTGTTCAACAGTATTCCTGTCCAAAACCCAACAAAGAATGAATGAAAACAAGAGAGTTCTTTTTGAACTCACCACTCTTTTCTCTCTATGTCCCCAGCAATCTAAATTATTGCATGTCTGAACTCTGCTCTGATGGTACAAAAGGTTTGTTAGGCACAGGGAAGATCAATTTTTTCCTGAGAGTATAAGCTGGTTGGGGCATTTGTTTCCTTTCGCGTTGAGGATCTGCACGTTTGCTCACTTCTTCATTGACTTCTGTAAGAATGGATAATAGATCTTCACCTCTAAAGAGAAGAAAATGAACATCAACTAAATATCAATTCTTACTTTACCCTTACTTCCCTTCGTATTATTACTGGACCATAAACTAACATAATTGCAAATCAGAAAGCACAAAATCAACTATGTTTAGGCCTGGAGACAAATTATTTAGCATGTTAGAAATTTCTTAGGGCCCCAGCTTCTCTGCAATCAAGAATTTATATTGTTTATCTCCCCTCTGCCTATTCAGCACAAAGATTACTAGAGCCAGGATGGCATCGTGGCTAAGATGTTGGAGAAGACTGGGAGACCCAGGCTGAGGGCTACTGTAGCTCCTTGGACTAGTCACATTCTCCCACCTCTCTCCCTCACAGGATTATGGTGGAGGGGAAATTCCTAACTCAGGCAAGCCTGTACTATCAGGATTTTGAGCATGAAGCTTATGAAAGACGATTGAAAATTGTGTGAAAAGTCCATTTGGAATGGGCTAAGTGGCCTACTAACAGCTTACAAAACTATACTTGGTAGTTCATTCAGAACAGTCACATTAAAGAGAAGACCTCCATGTAACATGAATCCTACCTTGGCACCAGGAGCTGCAATTTACTGCAAAGAGCCTGAATGTACCAAGTGCCTTCCAGTACATGCCGGAAAGAGAGATAGCCATCTACAGTGGCCATGCCAAGCAGGAAATCTGCTTCATCTGGAATACTTGAGGTCAGCTGCTGGGAAGACACGAATCCTGAACTTTGTGCATCTGGTTCAAATGAGGCAGCATGCCCGGTGTCTTCTTGGAGGAAGGCTGGCTGCTGTGTCTTTTCACCTTGACAGGCCTGGATGAAGAAGAGCTTAGGTTTCTGAGCCAACAATGGACAGCGGTTGGCTTTGAAGTATGATGTGATGGTACGGATTGGAATCAGACATTCATCTGTCCCAAAAATTTTTCCAGATTTTCCATGAGATAGAATACAGCACACCAGACAGTCACTGTCTTTCCAATCTTTAGAAGACTGCCAAAACTCCAAAAGTTTTTCAATTTCTGTGGAAGTCTTGTCGTCATACTTTTTCACTTTGAATCCAAGCCAGGTGAACACACGTTTCAGCTCCACTGTTACAAAGAAATACGGCAAAGAGTTTAATACAAAACAATGTCTGTGGATGTGCCATTTCATGGATCTGTTACACAGAAAAGATATGGAAACAATGTGTATTTCTGCATTTTTAGGATAAAACAGATTTGACAATTAGTAACAAAATGGACTTTTTTTGATAATTTACTAGGCTTATAACTGTGAGACTGCCCTTACCTGTTTATTTCTTCTAAATATCCTATAAATGCAGAAAATGCAGAATAATGATCTGTATTGAAACTTAACAAGAGAGCCTATTGCCCCATTTTAATAGGCTGATGGAATTTGCAGAGGAGTTTTGGAATTGCAAACACCAGCCTGGGCCCTTACATCTCTGACCTTTCTTCATTGAATAGGAAGGACTTAAAAAAGTAGACCGCCATGTGAAAAAATATACAAACTAAATATCACTATTGTCCTCCCTTAATCGCTACAGCAGCCATCTTGTTTATGCTCAACATTAGGAGCAGAAGTAATAATACACAGGTAATTTTCATTTATCAATCATTCAAAGTTACAGCAGTGCTGAACAAGAAGACTTACAATTGGTCTTCGAAGTTGTGGCCATTGCAGCATCCCTGGGGTCATGTGATTAGGATTTGAGCACTTGACAATCAATGTACATTTATGATGGTCGCAATGTCCCTCAGTCATGAATATAAGTGACATTTGTATGCATCAAAGCCAGCAAGACATCACAAGTTGCAGTCACATGACATTGTGTTTAATGACCTGTGATGATTCGCTTAAAAACCGCAGCTGGAACCAACAAACTTTGTAAGACAGGAAGTCATTTGACTTTTCACTTAATAATCACATCACTTAGTGACAGAGTTGCTGGTCACAATTACGGTTGGTGAGTCAGGATTATCTGTACTATCTTATGAGAAAGTTGATAGAAAAAGAATTGCCACTCCCCTTTCCATAAGATTAATGGAAGCTGCAGTATGAATGCTCCAATCCATGAAAATTGCAACTTATTTCCATTTGCACATTTCAATTCTACTTATTTTCATTAAGTTAATTGTCTCTTAATCATAAAATCCTAGCCTGGTACCTTCTGTGGAATAAAATGAGAGATTAAAAAAAATCTGCACACAGGCAGCAACAATAAAAAACTTTTACGGCTTGAAACCACATAAAAGGTACACATTAGTAATCATTTGCTGTTCTGTAATGTGAAAGTACTTTATAGAAAGATACGGAAGCATTTTTTTAAAAAGGGGGGATATCCCAATATAAGCACTTATTTAAGCCACTTACTGGCATCTTTCTCAGATCCATTCCTTTTTTTGAGATCACCTTCAAAATTGACATTGTTAATGATAAGACAATATCCTCTGCACTGCCCATCCATTTTATACTGAGATAACACCTGCAGAATGAAGGACAGAAGAAGAGTATCAGACTTTGGTTTGTAAGATCTTAATGATATTAGCATTATCAAAAGTGATTGTGGAGGGCATAGGGGATGCTTTTGAAGGACAGAAGGGACAGCCGCTTAGCAAGAGAACGACTGATCAGCATAGCCTGTGTCCATTCCAGGAAACTAATGTGAGAAAATCTCAAACAGGCCTCTCCCCAATTTGACCAAAGATAAGGGGAGGGAGGTTGGAGAAGCACATTCAGACTTGCAAGATTCTGTTACTATAGCTGTTCCAATGAAAAGAGTTTTAGATTTATATGGCATTGCTTTCCTGGTCTGAACTACCTTATAGAGTTGACAGCTATAGACTCATTTATCAATGGATTTCAGTTGTTTTGCAACAATGTCTGGAATCCTAACAAAATATTCTTTGATTGAGACAGTCTGGTTTATGCAAACGTCATTCCTCAATTGCTGGAAAACCAACTAGAATTTAACAGCAATCCTGCTAAGTCACACCAAAGGTCTTTCTTGTCCAGTATATCTTAATATTGGTGACTTTCAATTGTCTGCTCTTAATTGCAGGCTTTGCACTCCAATATTTGTCACAAACATTCATTGCCTTTAACAATGAATGCCTTCACTATTACAACCTGCAAACTGGACATTATTTTGTGTGTGTGAAGAACAAACCATCTCAGAGTCATCCAGATCAGTTCTCTAATGAATCTAGAATCCTTTGATTGCTTCTAGAAATGAGACCTGAGCTGAAAAACAGCTATAGCTACACTGGTATCAGATCCTCACAAATGAAGCAAACAAACAAAATTGCAACAAGGTGGGGACTGCAACAGATGGTCAACTTGACGAATACAGAAAAAGAAACTCCTGGGACATTATTTTTCCAAGAATATAAACTTTGCTGAATAAATCCACATTGGCACAGAAGAAGCGAAACCTGCTCTGGGCTTCCCCTGCAAATGCACACATAGTTCATTCCCCCTTTCCCGATGGGCCACCCACAGTCCATTATGTCCACCAATCACTTCTATTCACTTTGTTATGAGAACCACATGACCACGCTGTGCCATCTGCTCTGGGTGTCCTGGGGAGGGGGCAGCAATGTCTCATGGGAACCGATGATGCTTGGAGACCATTCCCCACACCCTTGCATTCCAATCCATCATCACCCTATTCACTGTCAAGGTATGATCAAAGAGGAATATAGGTGAACGTTTGAGTCAGTCTTGACACAGACAGTCGGTTGATGTTGCATTACAATTCTCATGGAGCCCGGGCTATTAGATTTGCTTGCTAGATCTAATGAGAATTGAAGTTCAATAGCATCTGAAGGGCTCCATGTCCACCATGTTGTAAAAGGACTTTTAAAAGTTAAGAATTGGCCAACATAAAATATACTAAACCACTAGATTTGGGATAAATGTTACTCCAATACATATACTGATTGATTGGGATACTCGAGAAACAATTCAGAAGATACAAACCACTGCTTCAGCATTCGTATCATTCTCCCTGACAGTTCGTTGTAACCCCTGTCTCAAGGAATCAAACACAGGTTCTGCCTTGACATCTAAAAAAATTACAAAGAAATAAGTAGACTTAAAGATTTATCTTATCTCAATTTAATCATTTGAGAGTAAAATACTGCAGACAATAGAGGTAGTCCTTGAGTTGTGATCTGCCTTGCTGACTTTCTCATCGACTTTGCTTGTTGAAAGCTAGACCAGTCTTCCCTCCTTCCCCGTAAGGTCTGGGGCTCTGGAGATCCTCAATCGTCTGGCTTCTTTTGTACCAGTCCATGGAGCGATTCCATACTGGAATGCCCCTTTACTCCCCCCTCTCCTTTAGCTGGTAATTCTACCACATTAATAAGATATCAGAATTCTGCTACCTTTCATGACTTTCAGCAGTTCACAAAAATATGAAATAAAAATAAAATACTCAAAATACATTATATTTACATTTAAAAATAGATCACAAAACTATTAAAACAAATACTTTAAGTAAACAAAAAGGGTCAGAGTACTGAAGTATCTTTTGAGAAAGAGCACACAAGTAATTGGATGTCTTCTGGATAGCCTGGATCAAAGCCTCTCCCATCAGTTCCAATTAGCATCATCCAGAGTTATTATGTGATTTGTAGCCCAGAAGATTATCTCTTGTCGTAAAAGAATCAGATAGAGAAACCATAAAAATACTGCCCTAATGTTAGTCTGTAAGTGTAACATATAATAACTATGTTTTGATGAAGGTGCCAGGCAAGTGGACCAACCTCACATCTCACGCTAAGAAAAGGTTGTTTGAAGCATTAAAAACCGGGCACCTCATCACTTCTTTCTACTCCCAGATTCCGTGACAAGAATCTTCAGGCTCTCTGTATTTCCACCCTTTCTCATTCCTTCTATGTCCAGATTGAGAAGGACACTGGATAGTTCTGTATTCTACTGTGGTGAAGTATGAAGTACTTCTAGTTTCATTCAATGCCAATCAGAAAACCTATTTATTTTAAAACTAGTGTTACGCAGAAAATAGGTCCTGGTCATATAAAACTTCTAAACAAACCTAGATTTGCAGCTAAAGAACAAACATTTCCAATATGCTCTTGTAAGCTCCCAAACTGTTCATCGTAAAGGTGTTCTAAGAAGAAAGGGAAAATTCATATATTACTTGACTTAGCAGCTGTACACACAGCTTTATATAAGATACTACTTGATTTTTTTAACCTAATGTTTTACATTGGCTGATTCAGCCAAAAGGCAGTATATTTGAATGGCAGAATCTGCAATTACCCTAATTAAATCAATTTCTAGCCAATGATTGCAAATATTTCTTTTTTATTCATTCATTCAATTTCTATCATCGCCACTCTCAATCAATGACTTTAATATAAATCTAACTTACAACTATTTGTTTAGTGAACAAGTTACAACAGCACTGAAAAAAGTGACTTATGACTATTTTTCACAGCTTTTGCAGCATCCCGATAATCAGGGGATCAAAATTTGAATGCTTGACAACTGGCATGTATTTAGGATGGTTACACTGTCCCAGGGTCATGTGATCAACATATAACATTCCCAGCTGGCTTCCAACAAGCAAAGTTGGGGGGGGAGCCAGATTTGCTTAACAACGGCATGATTCACTTAAAAACTGCAGTGATTCTCTTAGCATCTTCTTGTCTGAACTATTGTAACGCTCTCTACATGAGGTTCCCCTTGGGGTGCACCCGCAGGCTCCAACAAGTGCAGAATGCGGCCGCGCGGGGGATTATGGGAGCGATGGGGCGCTCCCATGTGACTCCTCTCCTGCACGAGCTGCATTGGCTTCCTGTGGACTTCCGGGTGCGCTTCAAGGTGTTGGTGATCACCTTTAAAGTGCTCCATGGCTTAGGGCCGGGGTACTTACGGGACCGCCTTCTGCCACCAATTGCCTCCCACCGGCCAGTTCGCTCCCACAGAGAGGGCCTCCTCAGGGTCCCGTCGGCCAGACAATGTCGGCTGGCAACCCCCAGGGGGAGAGCCTTCTCTGTGGTGGCACCTACCCTCTGGAACAATCAACCCCCAGAGATACGAGTGATCCCAGACCTCCGGACTTTTCATCAGGCCCTTAAAACCTACTTTTTCCAGTTAGCCGGGCTGTCCTGATTTTATGGTTGGTTTTAAAATTTGATATTGATTTTAATTGAAATGTTTTAAATTATGGGCCAATTTTTATTTAATTATTTTAAATCTATTTTAACTTTTGTGTATGAATGTTTTATATTTGGCTGTTCACCGCCCTGAGTCCGGAAGGAGAAGGGCGGTATAGAAATCTGAAAAATAAATAAATAAATAAATAAATAAATAAATAAATAAATAAATAAATATTATAAAATGAGCCAAAACTCACTTAACAACCGCCTTGCTTAGCAACAGAAATTTTGGGCTCAACTGTGGTCGTAAGTCAACCTGTATTAACAACAGCTTATTGTTATTTCGCAAGTTAGATTCCTATTTTCTTTCAATGCCATATCCCAGCCTTTTAATTTCTCAGCTGGTATGAGAAAAGAAAGGAACCTTTGGATATATTTCCAGTCTGTCCAGGACTCCATGTAGAAAGCAGAACTGAAAGTATTTTGATTGCAACACCACATTATTCAAACGACCATTAAGAACAAAAGACTTCTGGCAACTCTACCAGCGTACTGGCAGAAGGAACTGCATTTCCTGTTCAATTGGCATAAGCCTTAGCGGAACTATGACTCTACATACAGGACATGTTACAATACTGAGGTGAACGGCAAGACAGTTTGCCTAAAACTTAAGTCTAACAGGCAAATTAGAAAATTCAGAACATTTCAGTACACTGCAAAACTACCTACCGTGATTCTTTGGCAGAACAGGATCCTGCATAGAAAAGAAAATAAGAAAAATTAAAATGAGGTATTTCTTGTCATATCTACTCTGAAGAATCCCATCTTTGAGTTTAGCTTATTCCCATGGAACTGCACAAGATGCCATCCTAAATCAACTTAACTGGGCTAAACATTTACTAGCAAATACTCTAGAAGTCTAATCAGGAAAAAGAATAGGATCGGGGATGTTAGGCCTTAAAACTTTCTGCAGAATTTTTTTTGTTCCATTTCAGTTCCATCTCTTTCATCATCTACTTCTATTTCCTCCTGGTGCGAATTTCAATCTATACGTATTAGTTGCAACATTTTAAAAGGAAAAAATGAGATAGAATATTAAAACTGTCTGAAATTGGTACCTTTTATTAAACAAAGTAATAGGCACCATCTACATTTTATGATATATAGATGTAACACAGATGTTAACAAAAGAGATCTGAGAGGACAGGTAGACAAGAGCAATAGAAGAAAGAAGGTATTTGTTCAGATCAGAATCACCAATCTGGATATAAAATTTATGTTCCAGCATGCAGCATGGCCCCTATCTAACAGATTTAAAAAACAAAAACCTCCTTTCCCCTTTGAATTGACTGTCAAGTAGCTTTTCACTTACTCAAAATCAAGTCCAGACTAGTGCTAATTTTTATAAAGTTCTCTTCTCACCCCTATTTGTGGTACATGTCTTCCACAATCTTGGGTCCTCTACCAGAGGCCAGGCAGTTTGAGGATTCTGTACAGGCTCTTAGCTGTTGCTAGCACTGTACTCTTCTGGAAAAGAGAGTTCTGATGTCATTCCTGGCATCTGTTGAAGCCTCTCTCCCAGCTTAGGAGTCATATTTGCAAGTGCTTCTACAGCCCCTGGATGTTGACCTTGGCCTTTACTTTCCATAGCCTCCCTAGTTCCTCCTTCAGATCCTGATAATTCTTCAGCTTCTCATACTCCTTCCTGATGTTGCCGTCACTTGGAACTGCTACATCTTTCACCACTGTTGTCTTTTGGTCTGTGTCTACTACCACGATGGAAAATGACCCTTCTTCTTGTTCATGTTTCCAACATAAATTTGAAGTACCTTTATACATTCTAGATAATATTTTTGATGTCATATGCCAGGTATTCATTATTTTTCAAGTAAATACAATCCTCTAGTACAGTTACTCTCATCATCTGGGGATTTTTAATGCTCCTTTTCCTCTTGGTGACACAAGACTGGAAGAAGCTGGCTGAACAGGTAGAGTTTTGGGAAATTTTATTTATTCAGCACTGTTAGCAAAGCAGATAAGCAAGGAGTTTAGAATGAAGAAATTAAATCAAAGATTGTCATTTAAAAAACCTAATAAAATAATCAGACAGGAAGTAATGGAGAAATTGAAACTATTAAGTCAAAAGCAGCATTAAAGAGCCCCTATAACTAATGATCCTGGACTGAACAGCTAAACCAGCCTGCCCATCTTTCAGAAATATTGTAAATTACTCTCTACTAGCCTTTCTCAACCGGGGTTCTGTGAGAGATTGCTAGGTGACCCATAAGAGATGTGGAAATTAAAAAAAAAACATTTTAAAACTTTGTGCATCATGCAATGCTAGCATTTGAGAATTGGAATGTTTAGGGATCACAACATAGCTGCTGGCCTGCCCCTTTGCTGGGGTTTCTAAGAAAGACCATGGAGAAAAAAGATTGTTGAACTTTGTAGTCACACTGATGGAATCTTTATGTGCTACAACTCAGCTTACTGTTCACACTAACTACTGTGATATAATAATTCCCTGAGATCTGACCATTTTTTCAAGGGTTCCTCCATGGTGAAAATGTTGAGATAGGCTTCTTTACACAAATGGACAACAATATTTGCTAAGGCATACCTGGAATGAAATGTTTCCAAATGTTGGTTTGTTAAAGGCACAAACAGAAGAGGGATCAGTTTCTTTGATTCCTTGATGAGGCACTACAAAGCAACAGATAATAAAATGATCTGGAAAGAGCACAACTTTTTGTTTTCCAAATAAGTACTAAATATTTTTAAGAGTGCTGATTGATCAATTAAAAGATGAAGGAAGAGTCATATGACAATGAAAAAACAAAATAGAACCCATTAGTACACCTTGTTTTTAAAGTGATTGCACTCCATATTAACTTCTAGTCTCAACGCACCTTTTCTGTTATCTGGGGAAGTAACTGGTAATCTTCAAACTGCTTCAGAAAATGGTATTTTTGCTAGAAAAAATCAGCTCAATAATGGAGATCATGACCTAGAATCTCCCCTTTTTGTGGGCAATTCTTTTAGCAATGCCATTTTCTTTCTTTTATTATTGTAACCATATAACTGAATCAGTAAGTAGAATATTCAGGTTGTTTAACATAACCTCAGGCAAGTGATTAAAAATAGGGTGTAGTTAGGTTATTATTACTCATGGCTCTTTTGTTTTTTCTAAATGCAACTCTGCATTAACAAAAGGCTCTGGAAAGATGACAGTAGTCTGAAGACTGCAATTAAAAAAAAATACACAAAGTCTTTGACTTACAACCTGCTCCAAAATTTCAGCCATAAGTCACAATGGTCATAACTGCATGCAATTTTACTTTTAGCTTTGCTGCAGTGGTCGTTATGTGAACCCATTACAGGTATTCCTCGAATTACAACAGTTCATTTAGTGACCTTTCAAAGTTACAACGGCACTGAAAAAAATGACTTGACCATTTTTCACACTTATGACCATTGCAGCATTCCCATGATCACGTGATCAAAATATAAACACTTGGCAATTGACTCATATTTATGACAGTTGCAGAGTCCTGGGGTCATGTGATCACCCTTTGTTATCCTCTGACAAGCAAAGTCAATGGGGAAACCAGATTCACTTAGCAACTGGGTTACTAACTTAACAATGGCAGTGATTCACTTAACAACTACAGCAAAAAAAGGTCGTAAAATGGTGCAAAACTCACTTAACAAATCTATCAATTTAGCAAATGACCACAAGTTACTGCAAGTGGCCATAAATGCAGGGTGGTTGCCAAGGGCCCAAACTACTATCTCTTACCCATGGAGGGGGTGGTGGTAGGCTGTCAGAATTTCAAATCTTGGTCACCCTTTTTACGAGTCCATTAAGGAGTACTTTTGGCATTTTCCTCTATTTTATCTAACATAATTTCACCCAACATCATTCACACCTGAAGTGAGATTGGCCCCATCTGTGTCTGCCAATCTTTCGGAAGTCCCTTAAGACATGGCTGTGTCAGCGGGCTTGGGGATGATGGTGAGATGCCTCTATTGTACTTAATGTCAAGAGGGTCTCTCCTAGTCTTTTTATTAATATTTTGTTTAATGATTTTACTATTTTTAATAATAGTTTCTATTATGGTATAATTTTAAAGTTTGTTTTTTACAGTCTGTGGGGTTTTTGTATGCCACCCAGAGTCTTGCATGTGAGATGGGTTGCTCTATCAATGTGATGAATGAATAAATGAACTTCTTCACAAAATAACACAAATGTTACATGTTTTATCCAAACAATCCTCAAGATGCTTTTAGGAAGACTAATTGGGCAAATTCAGCATTGATCAACTTAGGAGATGCTTAAATTCATCAGGCTACAAGGGGAAAGACAGCAAAAGCCAAATATGTCAGGCCACAAGAGCAGCCAGGTGGGGACAGGATGCTGCATGAAAGAAGAAAAAGAGAAGTGAGGTTCCTTTCTTGCCATCACCTTTCCCTCCATCTCTTCTCTTGGCAATGATTCTCCATGCAGGCAGATCCAGCTCTTAAGCATTTTGGCTAAAGAAACACCTCTACCACCCTCTCTCCCCTAAAGATTTTTTACCTCACATAAGGCTATTTTTGTTATCAGTTAGAAAATATTAATGAAAACTTTAATTATAGATCAACGTTTTTCTTCCATATGCTTGGAAGTAGTCCAAAGCCAGTTAGGAAACCCATAGTCAATAGGGGTTGCAGGTTAGTTGGTATATTTGAAATTGCGGGTAAACCACAAGATGGTCCCAAGTCACATACTAAATATATTTTTTGTGTTAAATATATTCTTGCCTATTTATTACAAGATACAGAACATAGGGAGGGAATGGAGTGAAGCTCAAGCACTTTTCCTGCCTCACCTCCCTTTACTTTTTCTGTTCCTGTCCTTTTTCTCCTGAAATATGAAAAGTGAGTCTACAGAAGAAAGACATCTCTAGCAGATACAGGGTTTAAGGAAGAAAAAAGAAGGCAGTGAAATAGGTTATGTTCCACATTTGCTACCTGCTCCCCTTCAAAGAATAACAAGGGCATACTTAATAAACCCGTTTGCTTGGCAATACTTGGCACAGAATTAATCTAGTACCATGTGACTTGCACAGAAGAATGACCACAAATATTTGATAAACAATATTTTTCAAAATTAGACACCTTTTGCTTGTTTGTACATCTCTATTTTCTTCAGGAGATGAGGTGCTGTTTTCCCACAGATATATTCAAGAATACTCAGGTTAGATTCCATTAGAAGGTCTTTCTTCTCCAGAGAAGTCAGCAACTCCAAAGCTGACTGGGAAAGAAAAATCAATGCAGTAGTTACAACTTAAATGTGTTTTCCATGCTGCACTGAGTAACCAAGTCTTTCCACATCTTCAATCAAGTTCTGTAGGCAACATAAGAACAACTTCCAAATATTTCTTCAACAAATAGAAAATCTCCTAAACTGCATAGGCCTAAATCAATCTCTAGGATTGGGCAAACATAGCTTTTCTGGACATGTAAAGTGCACTTCTGAAAATCTCTACCTTCCACATTTTTCTCAAAACATGTGTATCTTCAGGGGAAAGGCTATGTTAAGGCCCATTTCATGACCAGGACTAAGGATAGTCCTTGCTCTTGACAACACATCTATAGCACTCTTTCCTTAGGGAAGTGGACTTGATGTTAATCTCATTTAAATGTTTAGGACTTTAAAAAAAAATTCCTGCTTTATTTAGATTTTTGGCAGGCATTTTTAAATATGTTTGATGTTTCTTGCTTCTTTATTACTCTTTGGTTTTACTCACCATAATGGGTTGCTTCTTTGGGAGATAGTTCTTCAGAAGAAAAGCAGCATTCTTGACATTATCCATTGTCAGGTCTTGTGTTATTTCATACAGCAACTGCCTGGGTGACAAGTCTAAACATGTAAGCTAATTCTTTTTATATAAGATTATAAGATATTCATCCTTAGCACCTTGCCTACCATCTCAATTTAAGCTTCTGAAATTTTGGGTAATGAACTTTGATGGCAAATATTTAGATATAGAGAGTCAAAATAAACAAATGATTAAAGTGCTTGGTACCCATTCAGAAGAGAAAATAATGCCTCAATCAGTGTACTTTAAATGGAAGTTATATTCTTGTTTGGAAAACTCACCGATAACGAGATACCTTTCTTCTCTTAAGCAGTTCTTCTTGAACAATCTCTTTAGTATAACCAAGTTTCGGGAGCAGAAAGTTATTCCCAATAATGTAGAGAAGCTCTGCTATGAGAAAAGTATCATCCTTATTAATTAAGTCCTCATTGATGAGGAACAGGAAAATATCCTGGGCTGATTTCACTGTTTCCAGCTTCTTTAATGTGATGAAATCAGAACAGAGAAATTTCATATCTTCTACATCGTCCTTCCCTAAGTTTTCATCGATTGATAGTAGCTGCTGGTGAAATACCACATTGTCATTGTCAGCCATGAGGAAAAGTTTTCTTAGGAGGTAAAATCTCTAAAACAGGAAGAAAAAAAAATGCTAAGCATTTAGAAGTAAGGTAGTGGAAAAAGAAAAAAAAACTCCCTGGAAGATAAACACTCACAAATTCTCTCCCAACCAATCAAAAGCAAACACTTTTGCGCAAAACAATTACTGGTAAGAACAGCAGTTATAGGAAATAATATATATATAAACTAAAGTTAAATAATTCAGCAAATGATCACTCTGGGCCGGAGGGAACAGATAAGCCACGTTACTGCTTTGTAATGTGGCACTATTACTAAAAGCTAGAACATTTTTTTCTGTTTTGCCATGCACTCATATACACACTAAAGAAGTCAAATATATCAACTGTTCCATGATCAGACCTTTCCTTCTATTTCACTGAAACATGGTTTGGCATCTATTTGGTTAAAATATTGTTTTCAAAGGTAATCAACACACAATACATAAAATCCTATGACATAATCCAACCATTTGTCAAAAGAGCTAAACGTTGAGCAGTTCTGTGGCTTCAAGTTCCAGCAGGATAGGAACACCAATCCATATGAAGGCAAGAAATCAGATAAAAGTGAAAAATCACAGCTGTGGGGGCTGGAAATCCACCACTAACCAATAGAATTGCTTCAATATAGTTGTTCAATCATCAGTCTAAATCTAGTAAGCAAGTAATTTCATTATTACTTTAGTAAGTAATTTCAGTAGGTTCAAGGTACAACTATAGGTACTCTCTCTAGTCCCGTGATGGCAAACCTGTGGCACGTGTAGCCATATCAGTGGGCACGCCAACTCAGCTCTGGTGCGCATGCACCGGCCAGCTCATTTTTGGGCCTTTTGGGCCCACCAGAAGTAGGCACGTGTAGCCATATCAGTGGGCACGCCAGCTCAGCTCTGGCGCGCAGTGCGCCGGCCAGCTCATTTTTGGGCCTTTTGGGCTCACCAGAAGTAGGGAAACAGGCTGTTTCCTGCCTCCAGAGGGCCTGAGGGGTGGGGGTGAGGAAGGCTCATTTTTCTGTCTTACCTGGCTCCAGATCCTCTCTATGCATCTGGGAAAGGCAAAAACAGCCTTTCCCACTCCCTCGGAGGCAGTGGTGAGATTCTGCCGGTTCTAGGCAGTTCTGCCGAACCGTTTGTTAAATTGCTGGCATGCCCGCCCCTCGCCCTGCCCACCACTATTTATTGGCCTCGCTCAGAGTGTTGCACAGCTTGCCTGCAGTGATTCTTTAGCTCCTCGACCATGTGGCCCAGCCTGCTTTCCTAACTTTGCTCGTGGTGGCCTCCCACTCTGTTCCCGAACATCCATCTCGGACTGCCCCCAACTGCTCCAGCAGCAGAACAGGCAAGTACAGTCAAGTGCTGCCCTCGGGAAAGTGGGGCTGGGAAAGGTGGTCGACCTGCGCCCGTATGGCTGCTGGCCGTGGCCTACCCCCATCTGAGCACCTCGCTAGTGGCTGGTGGCCCCGGGGCTAGCGAGGTGCTTGGATGGGGTGCTCAGCAGCTGTGAGCCGCTGGCTACCCCATCCAAGAGCCTCGCTAGCCACGCGGCCGCCAGCCACTAGTGAGGTGCTCAGGTGGGGGTAGGCTGCGGTCAGTGGTCACGTGGCCAGCGAGGCCCTTGGATTGGGTGGCCAGTGAGGCGCTTGGATCGGGTGGCCGGCGAGGCGCTTGGATCGAGTAGCCAGCAGCTGCTGGTTGCTGGCTACCCCATCCAAGCGTCTCAGCCTGCTGCCGACCCAGCAGGACTGTCTTACGGCCGCCTCCCACCCGCGCAGCGCAAGCCTACCTTACCCCAGTCGCTGGGGGAGACACACAACTTTTTTCCACCCCAGAACACTGGCTGCCCAGGCTGAAGCCGATGCTCCGCATCGTAATGGGCTCCAGGAGGAGCCCCATTGCAAAGCTCAGTAAGAGCAACCAGAGCTGGCTGCAGGTGCAGCCAGGCGGGCACGCGCGCAGTGGGGCACAGGCTTAAGGTGCTGCCTCCAGGCCGAGGGGTGACCCGATGGTGCAGTAGGTGCGTTGCCGCCGCCGCCACCCAGGCGGGAAATAGAAAGAGATGAAGGAGAAAAAGAGGGGGTGGAGAGAAAGAGATGGAGAGAAAGAGAGATGAAGGAGAGAAAGAGGGGGAGAAAGAGAGGTGGAGAGAAAGAGAGATGAAGGAGAGAAAGGGGGGAGAAAGAGAGATGGAGAGAAAGAGGGGGAGAAAGAGATGAAGGAGAGAAAGAGAGATGAAGGAGAAAGAAAGGGGGGAGAAAGAAAGAGATGAGAGAGATAAAAGAGACACACAGAGATACCTATTTAAAAGAAAATACTGGGAGCCACAAAACCTGGGTGGGAGTAAGTGATATGGAATTGGCAATGCCCACCCAGGTTTAAGGTTGTATTTAAGTATTTACATGTGTTTAAGTTTGAGTGTTTAAAGTTGCAGACCCCTGACCTACCCTATCTGATTGCTTCACCCTGCAGCCAGCCTTGTAGCCCTGCGCCTGCCTCCCACCTGGGCAGCCAGCCTACCTACCCCGGTTGCAGGGGTGAAATGCTCCCGGTTCGGACCGGACCGGCTGATCCAGTAGCAATGGAGGTGGGTAGTTCGGAGAACCGGTAGCAAAAATCCCTGCCCCCCCCCATGCCCAGCTGAGCCGCACAATCATCAGAGGTTTTTTTTTTAACTTTTAAAAGCATTTTTTCTACCTCTTTGGCCGAAAAAATGCTTTTAAAAGTAAAAAAAAAAAAAAGCCTTTGATGATCGTGCAGCTCAGCTGGGATCGTCAAAGGCTTTTAAAAGAAAAAAAACCTTTTTTTCTTTTAAATGCCTCTGACGATCCAAGCTGAGTTGCCTGATCGCCAGAGGCTTTTGAAAGCATTTTTTAACAACCTCTTCGCAGAAGACGTTGTAGAAAAAATGGTTTTAAAAGTAAAAAAAAATTGGCTACGCCCACCCAGTCACATTACACTCCAAGCCAGACCCACAGAACCGGTAGTAACAAATTTTAGATTTCACCACTGCCCGGTTGTATCACCTTGCCCTGCAGCCAGCCCGAACACCCGCCTCGGACTGCCTCTGACTGCTTCAGCAGGTCATTTTTATTTAATTAATTTAATTAAGTGCTGCAATGGGCATAAATGATGACTGGTGAAAAGTGCGAGGACCTGTCAGAAATCACTTTTTTCAGCCCTCTGGGTAGTCCCTATGTGCATATGGACTATCAGAGGGCTGAAAAGGTTATTTTTGACCGGTCCTCGCACTTTTGACCAGTCCTTGCACTTACAACTGTCCTCACATTTTACATTTTGCGCCCTATCTTGTCACCGTGGTGAAGAGTAGTAGTTGTGAAATGAGTGACACGGTTGTTAAGAATGCTGCAACAGGTATAAATGTGAGGATGGTCATAAGTGCAAGGACCTGTCAGAAATAACTTTTTTCAGCCCTCTGGGTAGTCCCTAAGCATAGCCACGCCGACCCGGTCACATGACCAGCTAGCCACACCCACCTGGTCACATGACCACACCCCCCAACTAACCCATGCCTACAGAACCGGTTGTTAAAAAAATTGAACCCCACCACTGCTCGGAGGCCTGAGAGGGCCCGTTTCCCAACTCCAGGTGGGACAGGAAGTGAGGTTTTTTGCTGTCCCCAGCCTCCAGAGACTCCTAGAGAGGCACATCATACTTTAATCAAAATTCTAAATGGCATTGATTCAAACACGGGGATAACAGGCCATTTTCTGGAACACTGTAAATTACAAGCCAAGTATCATCTGAGATTAGGTAGTCGTTCAGGAGGAAGCAAAGGATTTTATACATTGTACTTCCAACACTCTGTCCTACCTTATCACAAAAACAGGGCCTGGAGAATTCTTAAGTGAGAGAAATTCATCATTTTCTATACAAAAATACGAAATTTGTAATTTACAGTTGAAGTTAGATCACATGGCAACCGTGGCCATCAACGTCCCTTATCCATTTCCTTTGGGGCTTTCCAGATTTCCTGACCATCTACTTTTTTAAAAACAGTATTCATTTTCCTAACGCACAAGTCCCTCTGAGCAATGAGATCAACGTAGCTGTTAGGATAATAAAAATACACCGAATCTCCTTGAATTTGTCCATTTGATGGGTCGGCCCCCTAAAACCACAGAAGGAAACTTCTCTCCGCCCGAGGCTGCACCTTCATTTGGGGGAAAAGCTTTTTTTCAGCTTGGATCAATGAAAACGGTGGCCTTGTTCATTAATTGTAATGGCAGCCCAGGAAGGATCCTTCCCGTAACAAGGCCAATAACTTTAATCTCTCTCTCCTCCACAGACACCCCCCCCACCGCTTTATCACAACAGCCACTCCCTTTCCCTCGTCCCGAAACGCCACTGCCGTTTTACGAACTTGAGCCTTTTCTGCAGGCCGAACAAAACTTTTCAAAAGTTCGTGCAGCAACTTTGCCACTTGTTCGGCTTTCACCTGGCCGGAGTTGGGAGGTGGGGGGGGGCAGTCAAGGCTGAAAAAGGAAGGACGCCAACAGCGAGATCCAAAAAAACGGAGCCCCCTCCCTCCTCTCTCGGTTTACTAAGACCCCCCCAAACTCGCTTGCTACCTCGATTCCGGCTCCGGGAAAAAATCGCTGAAGTTGAGATGTAGGGAAGGCAGCTGTGGCGAAACGATAGTTTAAACTATCGTTTAAACTATCCAAGCACCAAAACTAACTTCCAAGTCCTTTTCCCGAATTCATTCATTAGAAGCAGCCGGGATTACTAAAGCGCGCAGGGAACGCTCTGGTACCGACGGATATTGTGAGATCCAGCAATCGGAGAATCCTGTCTGAGCAAGATAGAGCCAGTTTCGCTTACCAAAAAAAAAAAAAAAATTGCTCACAAAATTCTGATACTCAGTTCGGTGTTTTGAATTTCCGGTTTACAGGATTTACGCATATCGCTCCTCCCCTCGCAGCGACCTGGCAGCAAATGAGCTGTTTGTGTTGGTGGCGCCATGCTTCGTCGGGTATAAACTGTCCGTCCCCCCCACCCCCACCCCCACCCCCACTGCTTTACCCAGACCTGGTCCGCGGGTTTAAAATAGTTTAAGCGAGGCCAGACATCGTTCCCTGCCCCTTTCCTCTTCCACAGAAGATACCGTTTTAAAGGGTGCAACTATAAAGGGGGAAGCCGCCTCGACGGCATTTTTCTCGTCTTCCAGAGAGTTGCGTCACATACATTTCATGGGGAAAGGAGTCCACTGGCAGTCTTCATAAGGGGTGAGAAGAGTGGAAAAAGAGGTATTGGGCTGACTGAAGTGAGGGAGGGACCCTCACTGGCCGAGATCTGCGTGCTGCTGGTGGGGAAAAGTGGCGTGGATTCTCTCCTTGCCTGCAAACTGGGAAATATTTGTGTGTGTGGGGGGGGAATAGGCGGAAATCGACGCCTATCATTGCGGGCGCCCTATACCAGTGGTGGGTTGCTACCTATTAGCAGGGTCGCAGAACCAGTATTAATTGCTGGCTGGCCACGTCCCCGAACCGGTCTCCCCCCCCCCCGTCACTTTTCCTCCTTACCAAGCTGCCTTCCCACTGGTGCCTGCCCTGCGCCCCAATTGAGCTGCCGCCTCCTGCCTATAGGTAAGTCGCGCTACCCCCCTCCCAGCATGCTGTGTCACCCCCACCAGGCTCACGACCTTACCTTCCCGGCCCCTTACAGGAGTTTCCCCACATGACCATGAAGCTACTCCTGCCATCACATGACGCCCACAAAATAAGCCACGCCCACAGAACCGATAGTAACAAATTTTACATTTCACCATTGCTCCTCGTAGAGTCCAGCTAGGACTTAAAGGCTAGACTGTGGACTGCCCTCTACAAGCAGTCAGCCAGGCAGCTAAAGCTTGCCAAGGGTGTCATCCATTTTGCTGCACAACTTTTAGATGTGCCTTTTTGGTTTTTTTAGAGATGACCCCCCCCCTCCCGTTTTAGTTCAAGGGAGAACTTCAGCTTAGTGTCAGGGTAAGGTTTTTATCTTCATTTAAATCATTTATGAAGATGCATACTTCCCACCATGTAGATGTAGTTCCATTGACTACATGTTGTGGTTAGCCAGTTACGAATCCATCTGGTGGTGATGCTGTCATCTTCCTGATTTACCAAGTAGTATGTCGTGGTATCAGATGCCTTACTTAAGTCCAAGTAAATTATGTCCGCCACATTTTATTGGTCCATTGATTTAGTCAGTTGAAAAATGCAAAAAGAAGCCAACTTCTGGTTATAATTTTGCTTGCTTCCAGGTGTTTGCAGATTTGTTGTAGGTATCTTTTGCAGAATTTTCCCAGATATTGATGTCAGGCTGATTGGTCTGTAGTTTCCTGAATCCATTTTTTCCCTTTTTTGATGATGGGAAGCATGTCACTCTTTTCCAGTCCAGTCCTCTGGTAGTTGTCTGGTGCTCTAGGATCTTTGGAAGATATAATAAAGTGGTTCTGAGATCACATCTGTTGGCTGCTTCAAAATCTTGGGATGTAATCCATCTAAACCTGGTGATTTTCACTCATCTAGGGTAGATAGGTGTTTTCTTATCATTTTCTTGCCCATTTTGATTATTATTCCTAATCTGTCTTTTACAGTACTGTTTTTGATAGGCTGGACTGTTTTTTTCAATTCGAAACTCAAGTTCCTATTGTAATTATTTCTGATCACAGTTCAGAATAGACTGTCCTAACTTTGCAAATCCTAACTTTGTTAAGAACAAGAAACCATCATTTATGATTACAATAGTTATTTTCTCCTTTCACAATCTCATGGTCAGAACATTGTACTGGAGGCTGAATTGCTGTAGCCTCAAGGTCCATTTGAGGGGGTCAAGGCTCAAGGACCCCCAGATTTGTAACAATCGTTCAGCTTTTCTCTCAATAAAGAGGTATGAATGACTACTTAGGAGTATTCCCATTGCTGGTTTGGGACATTTCTGTGCTATGTTTGTGCTTATATTTCTACTATTGCTATTGAAGTCCTAGGGAAGTTGTTGCTTAAGTTCTCAAAAAGTTGATTCCGATTAAAGGGAAAATTGGGGTGGTGGTAGTGGTATTTTGTCAAGGTCTGAGCCTGTTAAACAGGCAATTTCATAAGGCTATTGCCTTATTTGTCTGCACAGCTCCCCTACCTTACTACATTTTCTATAGGCTGTGTGATTAATTTTATCAGATGTCTGCAGAAAGTCCTTTAAAATTTCAATTTTGTTGCCACTCCCTTTACAACACTATCCTTCAGTTGAACCAAAGTCTCTTTTAGTTCCACCATTTGGCTCTTTTGCAGGTGGTAATAAGCTTGCAAAACATGGTAGTCATTTTTGAGTTGTTCCAAGTCTGTTTTTAAAGAGCAATTCTCTTGACTGTAATTGCCTTGTAATTGCCTGAAGATCTTATCCATTTGGGTCAGCCCAACTCCCAATAGTACTGCTAACACTCCAGGTAAATCTTTCTGTTTCTTTCCTCCTCTTAATTTGTACGGTTTCCCAAATTCTATCTTAACATTTCTCCCTGAATATACTGATTTCATTTTCTCCTGCAAGTCATCAATAGGCAATCCCAACTTCTCAAGCAGTTTCTCTATCACTTCACAAAATACCAAACCCATTTCCCCTCCTCAGAATTCTCCAGTAGAGCTGTAGCCTGGGCAGTGATAAAGTATCTTTTTGTCAGGCATCCCAGATTTCCACAAAAGCATAATTGATCACTCAGATAGTAAATTTAAACTGTTTAATCTGTGTATCTCATCCTGACACCAGTAAAAATATTGCATGCATTCCCAGGTTTGGTTTATGGTCACTCACACACTCACAGCCATAGTCAACAGCTGGAAAATGATTAGAGGCACATTCAAACCACTTTCAACTGAACATTGAGGCACAACAGATTCTTTGGCATACATGGAAGACCAGTGAATTTAAAGTATAGCACAACTTTACTGGTTACAATCAGTGGTGGGATTCTGCCGGTTCTAGGGGGTTCGGCCGAACCATTTGTTAAATTGCTGCTCGCCCCGCCCCTTGCCCCGCCCCTCCGCACCACTATTTATTGCCAATAAATAGTGGTGGGCGAGGGGCGAGCCAGCAATTTAACAAACGGTTCGGTGTTTTTTTGTAATTTTATTGGCCCGGAGCTTCAGCATAGGCTAATTAGCCCTTGATTAGATCGGCTCCCGACTCTCAGCTGATTTGCTCTCAGCTGTTTTGCTCAGGGCTCTGCTTTTTGCTGGAGCAGATTTTTTCCCCCCAGCTATGCTGAAAAATGAAACTGAAAGTAAAGCAGGCTGTTGGCTTTGCTGTTGCTGCAACATTGGAAAATTAGGCAGGCAGATTTCTTTTCTTTTTCCTCACCAAAAAAGGTAGGTGCAAACAATGGGAAATTTAGGGAAAAAGAGGAGAGTTCAAGATTTTAAAACACAAAAGAAAAAAAGCTCTATTTAGGGAATTGTAATAATTGAGATACTATTAATTGTATATTGTGTTGAAAGCAGAAATGGTTAAGTTGTGGTTTGGAAGAATATATGGGGGAAATTATTTGGTTTATTATTATTGGTAAATATAATTAATTGATTTGTAAGAAATTGGATTGCATGGAAATAATTGGAATATTCATGTTCATATTGATTAATATACAAAAAAGGTAGTTATATAACTAATTGATTTATATTAAAATGTTGAATTTATATTAAACAACTAATATTACATAATTAACCAATGTGAGGATGGATATAAAAATAGATGACAATGGGAAGGGGTATAATATAGAATAGAAGGGAAAAATTGAATTTGATTAGGATTAGAGATGAGGATGAAGGGTAATATTGGTTTTTTACAAAAATAGATGAGGAATAAATATGGCAAAAAGGAAATATAGAAATTGTAAATTTAATTGAAATGACTAAACACTGTTTAAATTTGTGAACCGGCCAAATACTCTGTTCAAAGAAAATACATTGTATGTTTGTATGTGTGTTTCTAATTATTGTTATTTATTCATATTTGTTCTATTTTATTTTTTAAAGTTTAACAATTCATTCTTTATCTTAATATCTTTATATTTGTTTGGGGTTGGCTTTCTTCCCTTTCATCTTTTTTATTGTACAGCAATCTTTCTCCTCAAACCTACCACCTCTCTTTTCTTTCCTTCTTACTTTCTCTTCCTCCCCCTCTTCTCCTCCTCCCTACTTCCTCTTCCTTTCTTTCTCCTCTCTTCCTCCCTCTCTTACCTTCACTCCTACACTAATTTCCCTTCCCTTCCTTCATCCCTCTCTATTGCTGTATCCTTTTATGCATATGGACTACTCAGAGGGCTGAAAAAGTTATTTCTGACTGGTCCTCGCACTTTTGACCAGTCCTCGAACTTACGACTGTCCTCACATTTTACGTTTCGCCCTATCTTGTCACCATGATGAAGAGAAGCAGTTGTGAAATGAGTGACACGGTTGTTAAGAATGCCGCAACGGGCATAAATGTGAGGATGGTCATAAGTGCGAGGACCGGTCAAAAGTGCGAGGACCAGTCAGAAATGACTTTTTTCAGCTCTCTGTAGTCCCTATGCAGATAGCCACGCCCACCGGTCACATGACCAGCTAGACATGCCCACCCAGTCACATGACCACCAAGCCACACCCCCAACTAAGCCACGCCCACAGAACCAGTTGTTAAAAAAATTGAATCCCACCACTGGTTACAATGCACATTTGCTATTCCCCACCATCACCACCACAACATTCATACATACTTACCCACACCCTTCACCAGCTAGAGCAGTGATGGCTAACCTTTATGCCGTTGTGTACCAAAAGCAGAGGGAGTGCGGGGGTTGTGTGCATGTGTGCCCATACCCATAATGTATCCCACCCCCATGCATGTGTGCCTGCCCCCCCAAACCGCCCATTTTTGGCATGCACGGTGGGCCCGGTAAGTCTGTTTTTTGCCCTCCCCAGGCTCCAGAGGCTTTCTTGGAGCCTGGGGAGGGAGAAAACAGCCTTCCCCACCCCCCTCCCCACCCCCCAGGAGGTCCTCCAGAGGCCAGAAACGGCCCACTTGCTGACTTTTGGGCCCGGAAGGCCCAAAAATCAGATGTGCGCGCCGGAGCTGAGCTAGGCAACACTCGCATGTCTACTGATATGGCTCCGTGTGCCACGCGTACCATAGGTTTGCCATCACGGAGCTAGAGTGCTTTAAGTCTGCATCTAAAGACTACAAAGAGCGGACAGGCTTTGGGACCCTTTTATCCTCCAAAGTTTTTGCTTCCCCCCCAAGTTTTTATATTATTTATACGTATTAATGCGTGAATAGTATGATACTTGGGTATCATACATTTTAATACAAATAGACAATATTACTACTCATAGTTATTGCATCTCATGTTGTTTAAACATACCTAATACTACCGCCCTTCAATTTCTAAACCTCCCTTATTATTACATATATCTTGTTATATTAATCCATATATACTATTATTCCCCTGCTTTGTTATTCATATTTCCCTTACTTAGCTCTTCAGATCTATTTATATTAGTTTCCTCCTTCATTCTTTCATTGTTCAGTGTTTCACCGGTAGCAGAAATTTTGAGTAGTTTGGAGAACTGGCAAATACTACCTCTGGCTGGATCGAGAGTGGGGAGGGAATGGGGATTTTGCAGTATCCTTCCCCTGGAGTGGGGTGGGAATGGAGATTTTGCAGTACCCTTCCCCTGGAGTGGGGTAGGAATGAAGATTTTGCAGTATCCTTCCCTTGCCATGCTCACCAAGCCACACCACAAAACTGGTAGTAAAAAAATTTGGATTTCACCACTGCTTTTTTCTATCCATCATCTCTTGCCTGCATCAGTATTTTAAGGTCTTTTTTTTTGACTTGCCTCCCATATTCTTTTCTTAAGTCTTTTACTCCATCTACTTCTAGATCTGCATTCTGACTGTGCAATCTAACTTTTTCTCCTCTCTACCCTTTCCCACTGTCTAGTTTTAAAGTTATCTGTTGTAACCATTATCTCCTTTCCCCAAATACCTTCCTGTTTCTCCCAGTCTCTTTTTAGAACTTTTAAAATATTTTCCTCCTGTTTGAATTCCTTAGTCATTATTCATTTTGATGATATCTTTTCCTTGTTGTCTTCTTTTCTCTGGTTTCTCGGTTCTGCTTTCCCCTCCATTCCTCCTGGTGGATCCTTTCTTTCCTGATTGTCCTGGTCTTTGCTCATTGTCCCTTGTATAATATTTTCCAGTTTTTGGTCTCTGCCATCAAATAATTTTACCATCGCCTTATGTTGTTCCTGTATAAAGTCCTTAATGCTTTGAAACATCAGCTCCATTTTGTTTAAAATTCCACTCACTTCCACCTTGCATTGCATCTTATTTTGTTTAATAGGTCCCACTTTTAGCTGGTAGTCCAGGAATCCTTCATTCAAAACTGAGTTTACACAAATCACAATTTTTAATATCTCATAAATAATCAATCAAATCCATTTAAATAAACCAGGGGGTTGTCCAAGCCTCCTCAAATCACTTTAATACGTTCAATCATATAGCGTAACATTCAGGGGTCTTTTACTTAAAGTTCTTATTTAAATATTCATATCTCCAGTGGTCTTAGAGTAGATGAATGTAATCCAGTATTTTCAATCCTTCAAATGGTTATTCTCAGGCTTGCATATTCCCTCTCATCAGCAGATGGCGCTCTCTACTTCATGATGTGATATTGGCAAGTCTGATTTTAATTATTTTAAATTATAATTCCAATAAAAAAATATTAATTTTTAAAGTTCATAGTTCCAGCATTTTAAAATGCCTTCTCAATACCACGTCTTCTTTGAGAGTCCAATTTTCTATATATATATTTTAAAAATTTTCCCCTCTCTCTTAGATTCTCCTCCTTCCGATTTAATAATTTTTCAAAGTGCTTGTTCACTGCTTTAACAATAGTTCTAAATATATATTCCCCCTAGATTTCCTTGAGGTCAAATTTTAACAGAAAATATTCTCTCACCCAGTTCACACACTATTCCCCAAAGTCTGCACCTATACAGTGCTTAGATGTTTGTCGGCTGTCCCAGCTTCGTGACAGCCATCTTAGATTGCTTCTTCTCCTCGCCGTGGCATAGAGGGAAAAAAGCCCCGAGGCTCAGCAGGAGAGTTGCGATCTCTCTTGTGACGTCTCAGGGCGCCCCTCCTTAGCTTCGCCACTCCTACAAGGCAACTTTGGCTCCTTTCGGAGCCCACAAATAGGGAGAAGCCAGCACAGGAACTGAGAGTCCCGTTTCCCCCATTTCTTGTGACTGATGCTGCTATGATGTCAGCCAGAAGTCCTTCAAAAGTCTTTGCTTTTTGAGTCACAAGACTGGCAACTTCTATTGCCTTGTTAACAGTCACCTGGTGGCTGTTGATTGAACTTGGTGGAGGGAAGGGTTCCATATGCTCAGACCCAATCCCTTCTGTCTGGTTTGGGTGACAGCTTGGGTCTTTCTTATCTAGTGGTCCTCAAGTTTCAACAGTGAACTTTCATTAGTGACCCTTTAGAGTTACAGTGGCAGTGAAAAAAGTGACCTATGACCGTTTTTCACACTTACAACTATTGCAGCATCCCATGGTCAGATGATCAGAATTCAGACATTTGGCAACTGGCTCATATTTATGACTGTTGCAATGTCCCAGGATCACTTGATCATCTCTTGCACCCTCATGACAAATTAAGTCAATGGGGAAGCCAGATTAATTTAACAACTGTGTTGCTAAATTAATAGCCACAGTGATTCATTTAACAACTGTGGCAAGAATTGTCATAAAATGAGGCAAAATTCACTTAACTCGCTTAGCAACAGAAATTTTGGGCTCAAATGCGGTCGTAAATTGAGGGCTACCTGTACCTCCCTGAAGGAGACAGACAAGATTCCTGGCTTTTGTCCACCCTGCTTATGTACCTGCTGCTTCTTTAGCTATAGCTGGTTCAGCTTAAACTCACAGTAAATTTTCCAGCAACAACTAAATCACTCTCTCTCGCTCTATCCTCTCTGCATCCACCAAATTATTGCCTAATTCTAGTACTTTAAAACAGAGGTACCTACAGTGATATTGAAGGTAGGGAAATCTTTCTGAAACAACACTGGAAATGAGTCTTAATAGAAAAGCATGGTACAAGGCTTAAAAGTAATCTACTGAAATAATAAAATCAGCAATCAAGCAATTAACAAAATAACTAGATTTAGATTTAAAAAGGGAAAAATTTCCCCAGGATACATATATACGTGTATAAGATTGTGGTACAATCCCAGTTTACAAAGGGGATGGAATAAACAGACTAGCGAGCTTGGAATCCTTCCAGTGGAGGAAGTAAGAGAGTTCAGATTCTCTTTAAGATCTTTGAAGGCTTTATCTGAAGAGTTCTCAAGAGAATGCAGTTAGTCTGTTGAGATGCTTGTAAGTAGGTAAGCAACAACAACCAGAAAAACCCACCCTAGTGATCATTTCAGTGTCATTCTAGTTCTTTGTGCCTGACAAAGATCGAAATATTTCTGACCAGCTTCCACAGAAAGGAAAAATATAAACCAACACCAAACCATCCAAAGTAATTGTAACAATTTTTAAAATACAAATGCACAATACATGTCTCAAGATATTCAGATGAAATACATATTAAGGGCATTAGTATTGCTAATACCTTTAAAAATTATCTCCAGCTTAATACCAGTATTTAGTTCAGTAACAATCCAAATTCAATTCCTTATCATGACTATGTTCTGTTCTCATATACCTTCTTTCCCATTCTTTTTCATCAAATCCCCAAGTGTTTGCTTAAATTCAATACTTGCTAAGAATAGCACCATCCCTAGTTCTACTGGTTGTCTCGACTAGGCTGGAAACTAGCTTCTGTTCCCCTATATTTCTGCATTCATGGGATTTTTTGGTGCAGTGGATCTATAGTTGTTGCTGAGCGAACCACAAAATAATCACATAGTACCACTAGCTACATTTAACCACAGTCTCCCTTATTTTCAGACACTCTTGGCCACTAAGTGTGCTTTTATAGAGATGATAGGACTAAGAATTGCACACTGGAGGGCCAAGATTAGGGAAGACCTTCAAAACCTGGCAGAACTCAGAAGCTTCCCCAATTTCTAACCTCCTTTTTCAATATCTATGGTGTGCAATAAGACTTTAAGTAATGCATTGTACGAATAGCTGCTTATTCCCACTATTTCTTGTCCAAGCAATTCTAGGAAGTCAGAATTATTTGTTTAAAAGTACAAAATGTTTCAGCATTACATATGCTGACTCCAGGAGAAAGTGATAAATCTCAGAAAGGCTTCACAAAGACCTCTACTTGTCAATCAGGAAAAGTTTTTTCCTCAGGGTGTGCTTCAATACGAGTAAGTACTGTTCTGTAGAATTAATTCTATTCCATTCATAAACTCTGTTGTTCAGCTCTACAAAAATATCCAACAGAGGCAGCTTTCTGTAAAGAAAAAGGGGAAAGGAGGGAGGAAAAAAAATCTTCAACATGAGATTACATACATTTTATAAATAAGTAAAAAGCTGCAGGTGAACAGCTCCAGATTTTGCAAACATATTCAGTTCTACCCTTCAGCTGAAGGTAATTCAGCTACTCTTAAGACAATGGCCTCCAACTTATTGGGCACCAGAGACCGGTTCCGTGGAGAGAACCAGAGGGCTTTTCTTTCTGAGTACCGGAGGGGGCGTGTTTTCGCATGATGCCTGCATCCTGTGGATGGGGCTTCACTTGTTTGTGCAGGCCATTTACTGGCATGCCGTGGCCCGGTGCCAGTCCACGGACCAGGGGTTGGGGACCCCTGCCTTAAGGCACACTTGGACTGCATGGTATTTGGGATGCTTGAGCATGCATGGATGCAAACATAGCACTTCCTTGCAAGCAATTTTACTTCCACATAAATATGTTTAGGAGAACTTGAAGCTTTGTGTTTTGGGCCACTCCTTGTATTACCTGGAGGGCTTAACAGGGTAACATTTATTGAGGAATTATTCAAGACATTTTCCCTGCTCCCAGCCACGGGACAATAAAGTTGTGTTTGTATCAGTGTTTCTATCACTTGTCTGGAATAGAGGCCTTACGTGTTTATGGCAAGCATTGGTTCCAAGCCTAACCATCAGAAGCCCTTCAGTTCCCTTTTATAAAGAAATGTATATGGAGGACATTGCTCAGTTACAGGGAAACCACTACATTTCTATAGCATACTTTTGACCCATGTCAAAATTGTCTCACTTCTGTCACTCACTCTTTCTGCAGGAACCAATATCAATGTTACCTTATTGCTGTAAACCAAGCATTGTCAGAATGCTGTTTTCATATTCCTATCTATTTTCCATTCTCCCAAACAACAGCATTGCTCCTGCATGGCTAGTATCTGACATAAACACCTACCTCTTCTGAGGATCCATCAGAAGGCCAGCCAAAGTGGAAAGATAATAGGATGATGAGCATGGGGATCTCTCCAATACAGAGGCATCCAAGGTGCAGTGGCTCCAGAAAATGTCTGCTACTTGTGGGATTGTGCATAGATCTCCATCTGCCTCTGTCAGGCTGGCATTTCCTTGCCAATTTTGGGGCTCAACATAGCTTTGGATAAAAAAGAGTTTTGGTTTTCCTAAGAGATCAGGGCACTTCTCACCAGTAAAGAAATCCTTCAGCCTTTCCAGTTGAAATCCTGGAACAATATGGTCTGTGCAGAATATATGTTGATGGTTCCCTCGACTGACTAGCACACAAACAAAACAATCTGCATCTTTGTGAGCTCTTAGCCTTGCTGCTTCATATAAATCACGCATCATTGCATCCATATTCAGAAATAATCGACAGTGAACTTCAAAATGTAGTGATTTAAAGGTTTTCGTCAACAAACCTACAGAGAAAGAAGCAAGAGAGCAAGAATACCAGGCCAGTCAGTAGGTTAGAGTCCAGGCTGAGGAAGGCTGATTTTGTTTTAAGATCCAGTTAATATTTATTGGCCTCCCTGTAAATGGCAGACAAACTGGCAGACATTTTTAGCAGTAGTCATTTGCTAAATTTATTTCATCACCTTCCCCATATATATTCTCGATATTGTTCTATCCTGCGGGCTTACTATCTCTTGCACTGCCCTTGATTACACCTTAACTTGTTCATATTACATTTTCTTACTTTATATTCTGCTTTTTCCTTAGAGTACCTCTACACATTTTTTGAGAGGGAAGATTGCAATTTCCATGCATTATATGAGAGCCAGTTTGGTCTAATGGTTAAAGCCCCAGGCTTAAAAACCAGGAGACTGTGAGTTCTAGTTCTCTTAGGCATGAAAACCAGCTGGGTGACTTTGGGCCAGTCATTTTCTCTCAGCTCAACCCACCTCAAGGGTTGTGTTGTAAAGAAAATAGGAGGAGAAAAGAAAAGAATATTAGGTATGCTTGCTGTCTTTATAAAAATAATAAAGGCAGGATAAAAATAAATAAAATAAATTACATTTTGTTTTGTGATATTGTAATTTATATTGTGTGAAGTTCAGATTTTTTTTAAAAAAGTATCTTCCCATGTTTATAATAATTGGGGAGAACAAACTGTATCTTGGAATATCATATTAAGGACACTATGGAAATACATAGGCATGAATTTTTAGAACTACAAGGAAAAACTCTTTGAAGATAAGGAGACTCATGAAATCTACACATCAATAGTGCAGAAAGAAAATCATTACAACAGGCTCAGGAAAAGCCCTTATTACTCAGTGCAAGATTGTGTAAATACCCATAATTGAGGGCTACAACCATCTAACATTTGGCAATAAAATTCAGGAAAACTGATGAGATCATTCTTATAATCAATGTCCCTAATTTGTACCTTTATCATTAATTTGGCTTTCTCAAAGTTTCTCATATGGTCTACATATTATGCATACCGAAGTGACCAAATGAATGTAGTGTAGCAATTAATGTCTGGCAGGAAGGAGCAATTTGATTTCCATTGCACTTACCTGCATCATTGCCAATGCAGTCAATAATCAGGCAGACTCCTAAAGGTTTGCTTTGCATTCTGTACTTGTTACAGCCCTGCAAAAACAACACCACGAATGAAGCCTTTTACTCTAAATCATCATCACAGCACTTTCTGTCTACTTTGCATTGTCTAATTAGTTTTGCTTTTGTGTGGCAGAAAACAATAAGGACTAATGGCTTCTCAGAGTCCTTTCTAAAACATGGGCCTTGGGAGAAGCATTACATTCTGGAGAACTGTGCAATACTTCAGATTCAAAGGCGAAAAAGACACCAGGGGCATGGGTAGATTTTTACAGAATTACACTGCAGCTGTAGTGAGCAGACTGAGAAAAGATGCAATGACAGCCAAGAAGTTGCAAGTAGGTACTTACACATTGTTCACACTCACCCAAAAAACAATTTTCTGCCTTTGAATTTGAAGCACTGCACAATTCTAACATTTTACCTTGAACCAAGGTGTTCTGCGCTGACTGCTTCCTTTATGTAACTCTACTGGGATCAATTCTATACTGATAAATACAGTACCTAGACATGTTATGTGTACAAACAGGCACATACTTTTCTGTGTGGGTAAATATGTATCTATGAATACAGACACACACGATTATCAGTCTTTGACTCTTTAAGCAGTATTCTGCTCATGGGATCCTGACCCGGATAAAAACAGGAAGAAATGTTCACTGATTCTCCCAATTATTGTTTTGAAAATTTGTTCCGGAAATTTGGAAGGTTCTCCAGAACAACAAGAAAATTGTCAAGGAAGGAACTTTTCTGTTGATGGGACAGCTCAGAGTTGCAGAATTTTTCTCCAATGAACTTCTGTCCCAGGATAGTTTTCTTCAACCTTTGTCCTCTCAATGTGATGGATCTCAGCTCTTTATTCACTTTCTTCAACTGCTGACCACTTCTGGCCCACCACTATTTTTTCACTCTAAAGCTTAATTACTGCTTGTAGAAATAGCAAGATATGAGGAAGGGTTGACTTTTTCTTCCCCAGCTGTCAATTCAATTCAGAGTGATTTGAGTCAAATTTTCTCACTGAGTAATTTGAGAAGTCCACAGGCCACACCCAAGTATGGTATGAAGTGTATGCAAACTTGGAATGAAGGGTTATAGATTGGCCTCTAGCCACCAAATATTGACAGACTGATGCAAACAAGAAGCCAATTGCAGTAGCCAGTATAGAGGAACTTGAGGCTGGATTTCTTATAATTAGCTTTCTCATTCTTCTGTGTTTGCTGCTGCTAACTGTATTCTATTTTGCATTCCAGTTTGTTTTCATTTTCCCTCTTCATAGTGGGGAACATGCTTGCAATGCATTCCATTGTTTAAAAAGGCAAGGGAAATACAACTTCAGTGTAACAGACCAAAGAAGGCAGAAACTGAAAGTGCAATCAGTTATTTCCTAATGCTATATCACTCTTAATTCCTAAAATGCTTCCATACTAAACAAAAAGATATGTACTGTTTATCATAATTTTGTACAATACCTGTACTTGTGTTTCTGGAATGGATATGTGAATCTGTTCTGCTGTAGATATAATAAAAATGCCCGTTAGTTGCAGTCTGCTTACTTTCTTCAGAATATGAAAGCTAGTGAAAATTCATGCAAGTTTATATAAATTAACAATCCTCTCCAAACTGTCAGTCTGCATAAGTGCTAAATACAATGTTTTTCATACCAGTATCTATTGGCCATGCTAAATAGGAACAGAAATCAAAGTTCACATATTTAAAGGACAGTAGGTTAGCAGCAAAGCTTTAGGATCACAACATTTTAACTAGCCAAACTATCTTGCCAACTGTAGCGTCAGATGAAAATAAAATACCCAGAAAGGCATGAGTGATTGAAAGGGAGTTCATGACTTATGGCTCTTAAATGAGGTCTTTAAACCACATTGAGCACATACTAGAAAAAGGTACTCTGATGAATGTGTAATTGGAATAATAAGAATTTATCAAAAAAAGAGATGGGGAGAGAGTAGAGTGCTGGTTTTGAGAAAAAAAAACATTTTACATAGTTAATTTTTTTTTTTTTTACAAATATTCAAAAAACACAAAATACAAGATGTATTATTCCCAAGTAGTCAGGGACAAAATGGCTATAAAGATATAACAGGGCTTACCCTGGACAGCACAGGCTCCATTCATTACTCTTTCCCTTTTCACGGGCTGTAAACATTAAATATCAAATCACTTTTTGTTTCTGTTGGAAAACTTATATATTTGCCTGTTTGTGATAGCAGAAAAAGCATATTCTAGACAGGTCATTAGGAAAAAAAGATCTAAAATATAAACTGCTTAATAATAATTTTGGCTTTCAAATATGAGTACACAAATATATTCAGAGTAAATCAATCAATGGCTAATAGCTCTAAAAACAAATCAGTCCTTTTCGCAGTTATCATGTAGTATTTCTTAATATCAGTTTTGTACAGCCTTCATAAGCTACTTGAAACATTTGACTAATCAGGTTAGAAATAGAAGGCTAGACTGAATAGACCTTCCTCTAATCTGGTGGATCATTTTCTATTCCTTATCCTGCAGCATATTTTACTATGGAGGATACAGTATATACATATCTGCTTGCTCTTTTGTAACGGTGATATTATCTGGCCTGCACTTGAAGCAGGGTTTCTGACTGAGGAAAAGTAATTCAGAAATAAGAATCTGCTTCTGCAAACATCTGGCACCCTCCCATTAGGACAGATATAAACAGAGTCTGACTGCTCTGAATTCATGATCCTTGTTCTTATGGTTCAATTCACTGATCTTTGCAACTCTCTTTATATCCGAGTTAAGCTTTCCTCCATGAAGCAGGTGCTTCTACTGCATGGTTTCTACCCATCCTCTTTTCCATAAAAACAAACAACACACAAAATTGCCATTAGCTGAAAAAGAAAACCAAGCAGCACAGAACTACGGTAGTTACTGACTCAGTGAATGGCTGGTGGAAAGGAGGTAAACCCACACACTCTCCATAGGGATAAGGTGCTAGGTTCATACAGCATTTCAGACACATTTGTTATGATTCTTTATAAAACATGGGAGAGTAGAAATAGGTTATATACATTTAACAAAAATTAGTACACTGGATTGTATTGATCAATCCAAAACTTTTGGGGATTTGGTCTGAGTCAAATTCACAAATTTAATCTCACCAAGTACCACCAGAGTTTTCAGATAATTGGTTGACTGATTTAGCAACCATACCGATTTATATAGCTGCCCATCTTGCAATGGCAATTTTTTTTTTTTTACTATGGTAACTAAAAGCATGCCACAAATACAGTCTGAAAAAGAAGAAAATGCTACTCTGGGGCATTCCAACACCTGTCCTGGTCACTCTTCTTAAAGAGTTTTTGTTTTCAGTATGGCATGAAGCAAGCTTTTGGAGAGGCAGCTGAGAATGGAAGGATGTCTTGCATCCCAAAGGACTGCCTGATTTTGCACAGCCCAAGAATCCTCCATCTTTCAAGTCCAGTGGGTGTATATGGAATTCTGAGAGTTTCAGATACAAAATTCCAGAAGTTTGGGAGATCACCCAAATGTGGTTACTATTGGTAAGGGGGAGGTGTCACTTATTAAAATAGCTGTCCTAGCAGGTAAAGGCATTCTCAAACTAGCCCAGGCCTGTCAAACTCCTGGCCTGTAGGCCGGATGTGTCATGCGCTGGCAACATCTATGCTTGGTTTAGTAAAGGGGAAAAAAGTCCTGATATGCCACATGACGCCACTGTGACGACCTGAACTAGCCATTTAACAAAAAACTTGAAATGCTCCTTAACTCGTCATTGAGCAGGTTTTCCACCCCCGTGGTTTCTCCTGGTCAGATGGACAAAGTTCAAAACTAAGCTTATTAAGACCAGCTGCCTGCAATTACTGCAGGGTTCGAATCTCGCCAAGGCTCAAGGTTGACTCAGCCTTCCATCCTTTCTAAGGTAGGTGAAATGAGGACCCAGTTTGTGGGGGCAATAAGCTGACTTTGTATAAATATACAAAAGGATGAAGGCTATTGCTGAGCACATTGTAAGCCGCCCTGAGTCTTCGGAGAAGGGCGGCATATAAATCAAATTAAAAAAAAAAAAAAAAAAAAAAAAAAAAAAAAAAACACTGTATCAAAAAACTAAGATAATGATGGGAATCTTAATTTGGTTTAAATACCTGCTCCCCCTTTTAAAATAGTTGTTTGCTTAAAACTTCTCTAATAGACTATACAAAAAAATACAAAGGGGGGAGAGAGTTCCCTGCTAATCTCATCTACATAGGTCTTTTGATGCTGAAAAGAAGAATGCACAGATGACTGCCGGGAGTTTTAGGCCAATCCACTGAGGCCACAGCTAATATTAGAAAATGATCAATCCCATGCAATAAACTTCTCCTTTTAGATCATTAATGGCTGCAATTTGCAAATAATCTTGACTCAGAGTCAGATTTTGACTAGAATACAGATAAGCTATATCTTGCCAAGTCCACTTAGAAAGGACCACACACTGCCATCTCATCAGTTCCCAGTAGTTAAGACAAGCTTTTTACAGCTTCTTGGCTCTGCATACTTCAGAAAATTCTTTTCTCCCAAAATTGAGGAAACTACCACCATTTAATTGTACTGCATTATACTGCACTTACCTCTGGAGGGTCAGCTAGAGATAACTTTGGTAAGGACATCTGAAGAGTGTTTGCATTCATAGTTGGAAAGTGCGCTAGAACCCAAAATGGAAGAGAGATCTCAGAAATTACATCAACAATGGTTATTCTGTAAAACAACTGTCCTGCTCAATTCTATTCAACATGCTGAATATAGTTTTATTTAAAATTCCATCACTACATACTGTTTCCCTGAAAATAAGCCCTAGCATGTTTTTTATGCGTGCACCTAATATAAGCCCCACCCCCAAAATCAGCCCTACTTAAGAGCCTGCACAGCTGGCCAGCTGCCCACCTATTCCATCTGGTTGTTCGCAGTGCTGCGGCTACGAGGCAAGGGTGGTGGTGGTGGAGCTGTCCCATGCGCCCCGCATCAGCTTACCCCACGGCCCCCACAGCCAGGCCATCCATGCCTCGCGGTGGCAACACCAGGAGCCATATGCAGGAGTCCACATGGCCACAAGCCCACTTCTGCTTGCTTGCGGCCGGAACAGAGCAGGAGGCCAAGCAGTGTGTTGGTGTTGTGGCTGCAAGGCGAGGCAGGTGTAGGAGCATGGATGGCCTGACTGCAGGAGCCCTGAGGTAAGCCATTGCAGGGCGTGTGGGGCAGGTCCATCCCCCTGCCTCAGCTCATTGCCGCGGCATCGTTGCGTCACTCAGCCTCCTCTGTTGTGGCTGTGAGGAAGCAGATGAAGTGGGCTGGCAGCCACGCGGGGTCCTGCTGGACAGGGCTGCTGGAGCTGCCACTGCAAGACAAGCCATGTGTCGGGGCATGGGTGGCCTGGCTGCAGGGGCCTGAGGTAAGCCAGTGCAGGACACATGGAGCAGCTCCATTTCTCCTGCCTTGTGGCACTGGCACACCGTGTAGCCTCCTTTTCCGCCACAAGCAATCAGAAGAAGTGGGTCTCCCATATGTGGGGAAAAAATAACACCTTATTAATAAAATAACACCTTAATAACAAAAGAAAATAAGACCCGGTCTTATTTTTGGGGAAATATGGGTAGTTGATTCCAGTGTTTTCCCTAAGAAGGAAATCCTACTGTTTGCATCAAGGAATGTTTATTTTTCTAGTATTTAGAAGAAAAAGTTCTTGATATCAGAATTCTGGGAGTTGTTAAATCAATCTATGTAGATGCTAAGAGTCAACATTTCATAGGCATAAATCAATGCATTTAATAGTCTGTAAGAGGATAAAAGTAGAAGAAATACAGATAGACCTTGATTTACAACCACAATTGGGATCGGAATCTTGGTTGTTGAGCATTAAGTGAGTCACCACATTATGCTTCATTCAATAACTGCAATCCTGGTTCTCCTAGTTGCAGTATTTAAGCAACCATGTGAATTGTTAGGTGGACAGAGCAAAAATAATGCCTGGAAAAGAATGCCAGGCAGTTTTCCTCCACGTATGGAAAGATTATGCCAGTGATGGCGAACCTTTTTCTCATGGCGTGCCGGAAGTGTGTATGTGCACGCACAACAGCTCGTGTGCGTGCCAGCACCCATAATGCAATGCGAACCCTCCCACATGCGCATGCGCTCATGATCCCCCCATGCATGCATCCCACATTGCGCATGCGTGCCCTGCACATGCACTTCGGGCACCCCTCCGCCCCGTTTTGGGCCTGGAAAGTCGTTATTTTGAGAGCAGTCCGGGGCTTCCCTGTCTCCCTGCCCGATAAGACTTCTGGCATAGCCCTAGGCCTCTGGAGGGAAGCCCCGGCCTGCTGCTCCTGTCACCGCCACCCCCTTGCCCCCAGCAAGAGCGGTTCTTGTACTGCCCCAGGAGGACTAGAGGAGAGCGCAACTCCTCACTCATGGAGATCCACCGGTGGGGAAATGGTCGCGGAAAGCAGTAAGAAATGCGCGAGCCAGGAAGTGGTCATGCTCCCTGGTAGGAAAGGGTTGCACGTTCACTCCAGCAAAGGTTTGTGCAACCCTCTCTGGCCAGGGAGCATGACCGCTTCCTGGTCAGCACACCTCTTACCGTGCCCACTTCCCAACCAGTAGAAGCTCCATGAGTGAGAAGCTGCTGACTCGGTACGTGAGGAACTTTGGAGAGAGAGGCCGAGGGCAGGCTGTAGCCTCACCAGCTAAGAGACAGGCTGCTCACACAGCCTGCCCCCGCCCTCTCCAAAGTTCCCCATGGCAGAGGCAGCGTTGATTACCTGCTGAAAGCCCAGCTCTGGCTGCTATTTCTGCCTCTTCTCCAACCACTCGGAGCCCTGCATAATAGTGCTGCAGCTTGCTTGAGGTAGCCGCCGTTTAGACTTCCCCCGCCCCCCTCTTCCTCCGTCTTCTCCTTGAGTTGGAGCCTCGCGGCGTGACCGAGGCTGAAGAGGGGTGGGATAGTAGCTGCACGGATCCCCTGGTGCCACCCGTGTCCCCTGCCCTGCAATAATGAAGCGCTTTGCCAAGGAAAGCAGAGTCTCTCGGTCGGGCGGGAGGCGAGATCTGGCATTGCAGACATGGGAGACTGACAGCCTCCTATTTAGACTTTAGACTTCCCCCGCCGTTTAGACTTTCCCCGCCCCCTTCTTCCTCCGTCTTCTCCTACTTGAGTTTGAGCCTCGCGGCGTGGCCGAGGCTGAGGAGGGTGGGATAGTACGTGCACGGATCCCCCGGCTCCGCACGTGTCCCCTGCGCTGCAATGATGAAGCGCTTTGCCAAGGAAAGCTGAGTCTCAGGCTTCTCCTGGAGCAGCAAGGAGAAGGAGAAGCTTCCAGCTGGGAGGCGAGTTTCCCCAGGAGGACCGGAGGAGAGCGCAGCTTCTCACTCATGGAGATCTACTGGTTGGGAAGTGGGCACGGTAAGAGGTGTGCTGACCAGGAAGCGGTCATGCTCCCTGGCCAGAGAGGGTTGCACAAACCTTTGCTGGAGTGAACGTGCAACCCTCTCCTGCCAGGGAGCATGACCGCTTTCTGGCTCACGCATTTCTTACCGCTTTCTGCGACTATTTCCCCACTGGTGGATCTCCATGAGTGAGGAGCTGCGCTCTCCTCCAGTCCTCCTGGGGCAGCTTGCCTCCCCGCTGGTGGCTTCTCCTTCTCCTGCCTGCTCCAGGAGCAGCCTGTCTGTTACCCAGCGAGAACGGCCTGCCACCACAGCCTGCTCCCGCCCTCTCTGCCCCGGCAGTTGCTCCTGGTGCTACCGGAGAAGCGGCAGCACGACAACCGCTCTTGCTGGGGGCAAGGGGGTGGCGGTGGCAGGAGCAGCAGGCAGGGGCTTCCCTCCCTCCCTCCCTCTGGAGGCCTGGGTCTATGCTAGAAGTCTGCTTGGGTGGGGAAACAGGGAAGACCTGGACTGCCCATCCTTGCCACCACTGCCCCCTCGGCGGCAGCGGTTCTCACACAGCCGCTTCCCTAGCAGTGATAGGAGCAGCTGGCAGGGGAGAGGGGATGGTGGCAGGCTGCGGCAGCAGACAGTTCGAGCCGGCTAAGAGGCAACATTCTTCCTCCTGCCAGCCTCGAGCTCAGCTCCAGGCAGCATCCAGCCAGCCATACCTAGCCTCCCACTGTGGCAGACCACGTGGATTCCAGGCAGCGCAACCTTGGGGCCTTTCCTCATGGTGGCGGTGACGAGGCAGGCAGACAGCCGGGTGCACGGGAGCGACTGGAGGCAGCGCTCCTGGCTGGCAACGGGCGGAGTCCCGGGGCTGCATGTGGGCAATGACAGCATGGCCGGTGCGCACGCGCACTAAGACATTAAGGCCAGCTGATCGTTGCACACGCATGCGCACCAGTAACCAGCAGACTAGCTGGCTGGTCCGCATGCATGCCCTGAAAACCCGGAAGAAGAATGGGCAATGCCACGCGTGCTGGGCGACATGGCTCTGTGTGCCACTTCTGGCACGCGTGCCATAGGTTCGCCAACACGGGATTATGCTTTTATTATTTTTACAAATAATTCAAGAAAGTGAACATATCCAACATATTTTCCTCTTCTTATTTTCCCCATAACAACCCTATGAGGTGAGTTGGGCTGAGAGGGAGTGACTGGCTCAAGTTGGCTTTCATGCTTAAGGCAGGACTTGCACTCACAATCCTTGCTTTCTAGCCTAGCACCTTAACCATTAAAACAAACTTGCTCTCTAGACCAAACTGGCTCTCAATTTTTTAATAACTGCATTAAGAAAAGTACAAAGCCATAAAGCTAGTTTCTTTTTTTCCTTCTTTTAATTTACTTGTCAATCGTAAACTTACTCTTTACAAAATCTTCAGCCTTTTAAAAAATAGGGAAGGAGGAAGACTAGATACATAACATCCTTTGTGTTTTGTGTTTACTCTCTACATCAAAGCTGTTCACTATTTCACTGCTGTGCATGTGGTAAGCTAGTAGCCCTGTACAGACACTGATTGCTGCTCATGTATGTGAGGAGAAGCAGAGAGAATAAATAAACTTGAAATCTTCTAACACCTTGATGGCGAACCTATGGCACATGTGCCACAGGTGGCATAGAGAACTCTCTCTGTGGGCACGCCAGCCGTCGTCCCAGCCCAGCTTCACCCGCATGCGCGCACGCATGTGCCAGGGATGGGTTCCACTTACCTTTACTACCGGTTCGCAGCGGGAGCATGCATGTGCGCTCGCTTCGCTCGTGCATGTTTCTGCACATGCGCAGATCACCCATATGACATCATGGCGGGTGGGCAGAGCCTCCCGCCAGTTTTACTACCGGTTCTATAGAACCGGACAGAACCGGGATCATCCCACCACTGGCACACGCATGCACTTTGGGCACTCGGCACCAAAAAGGTTAACCATCACTGTTCTAACATATCCTCATTACCTGCTGTACTATAAAGGCCCATGCTTGGAAGGATAGGTAGTACATGTTCTATATGTTTGTGGATGCTCAAGATTTAGAATGAGGGAAAAATCAAGGCACAGAATATTAGAACAGTAAACTCTACTTGTTGTCTGGAGGATTGTTCAGATAGGTAACCAAAATTCCAAGGATGGGGCATGACCAACAAGTTCTTTCCTGCATTCTCCCTCTCCAAATCCTCATTACGTGAGAAATAATTTTTTTAGATATTATTGTACTGCTAATATTACCGTTTTCAACTAAGACTTAAATAGGTTGATGACAAGATGAAATTATTGGTTTCGTATTATTTCAAAACCATGAAACTCAAATTTCTGGAAACAACAACTTGTTCAGATATACTTTCTATTAGCAGCATTCCTAGGTATGTTTACATATTAGTAAGCCTCACTGAGTTCAGTACAATTTTTGCCCAAGTATTTCTCCAACTACAGTAGGCAGGGAATGCAGAACTCTCTTTGTTAGTGAAGACAGCAAACTATGAGAATTAGCCACTAAACCTGAATGTTAAGACCTATCAAATCTTACCTTCTAGTTTGTACTTTTGAATCTTTTTTGCCAAGTCTCTCCTGTGAATGGTCAGGAAGCAATTTTCTATTAAATCCAGATGCATGGGAGATATCAGATCTAGCTTTTCCAGGTCAGTAATAATTGCCAGAAAACTCTAGAAAAATCAGTCAGAATAATTGTAAAGGACAAGCCAATGCACTCCGGAGAAATGAGAGTTATATATTAAACTTTCATGGAATATAGAGAGATTGGTGATACAGTATCTGTCTCCCCTATTTAGGAAAATATATTACTTCACAATTAGTGTTTCCCCTACTAATCCTGCAAGGGAGAGTTTTTGGAATTTCCAGTTTTACTAATGAGGAAGGGATTACACAACATAGTGGCGTAAACTTGAAACTAGCACCAGAGTAAGTTCATTTCAATGAACAAGCTGGAAATAGAATCTTTCACTCCAACCCATCCCAGTGCCTCTCTATATATTTTAGAGCCCTATACTAGATTGGCTCATAATTAAGATGACAGTAATTTTTGTCCAAATCACCTGGAGGGCCCAGAATTGAATTCTACTCTTATTACAAATCATTCTAAGAAACACAGTTGGGGAAAGGGACTTCTGAGCAGTTGTTAGTATCAGGTAAAATTAAATAAAAAACAGTCCTGGATTAAATTAATCTATCAGCTAAGAATTCTGCTTCATGTATGTCAACAAGGGACAATAAAGAGGTTCAACAACTGGAAGGTATTAGTAGGACTGGTAATTCCCAAATGCTTGCTTGCAGTTTCAGTATTTTATTATCACTGACCACCTAGATAGAAATCAATATTCTACTGTTAAGAGGACCTTATGGAAAGAGAAAGAGAAAAGGCTATTATGCTGTACCTAGCCTTGAGGAGCTATTTATTCATCCTTTCATTATAATTTGAAATGGCCTGGTTTCAACAGAAGCTAGCTTTCTATCCCATTAGGTTTATTACTTTCTATCCCACCTGTTGATTTAGTACTATCTTTCCAAGTTTGAGTTATAAAGCATACATTATAGCTGCATCCTGCAGGTGCATGGTGGCTAGTTACACCTGCATACGGAAAGAAGGCAAAACCAACAGACATCCTTGTTCCTTCCTCTGTGTTCATTCACTGTAACACAGAGAAAACTGTGAGGAATTACTATCATGTTCATGTTAAGTTTACCTTTTCCTTGTATGATGTACCCAGATGACTTTTTAGAAGGAAAGAGAGAGATCTCAAGTCTTCTTTATCCAGATCTTCATTGATTTCAGTCATCAACACCCTGCATATAAACAAAATTTGCAATTAATTTAAAAGTAAATTAACTTTTAAAAGGCTTGCACTCCTACCTAGGGACTGTGCTACATATTCTTATACAATATTCCTTTCTTAAGCTATATTTCAACTATATATGTATTTTTCAACCAACAAGTATTAATAGTTGCGAGCAAGACCAAATGAATACTCGTACAATTGCAAATAACAAAACCTCCACCCAATCATAGAGAATGTGGCTTAATAAAATCAGGAAAAGGAACTCAGGAACAATCTTTGAAAGCTATTATAGTTACTTTGGATTATAACTCTCATCAGTCCTACACAGAATGACCAATGGTGAGGTATGCACTTCACTTTGCCCTTTGCCATCCACGGAGAATACTGGTGTGGGCAATATTGAATTAATTGGGCCAGTAATATAACAGTGTACAGCAGCTTCCCATAACAATAATCTATCAATTTTCCTTTTATGCACCATAAAAATTTTCCTTTGTACACCATAATATATCCATTGCTGAGGTTCAGTTCGTGTATGGATATGAATGAAGATAGGCATATTTTGGATATCCTGCTAAATTCCTACTCTACAGATTGTGGTAGCTCTTCTGACATACTGATGGCTTATTACCTGAATTTCAGATTTTTATACTAGGACAACTTCCCCATCCCAGAGCCTTCCAGATGCCTTGAGACCAAAGCTCTCATAAAATAATGCTAGTTCTGACTTATTTGGGGTGCTCCAACACTTGCAATGGGCCGTAACCCAACCTTCTGCATCTCATGTAGGATAGTTGAAAATTCTTAAGATGAAAACAGTCCTTGCATTAGTTATGGTGAAATAAAAAATAAAGGAGAAAGATACCACAGCAATTTTATATTTCATTATAAAATGTTCAAGTACAAGATAACTTTGGTTTGGGTTTCAGTTGTTTACTCGCTCCCTTGAAAAAAATAATTTCTTTTTTAATTAATTAAACTGATTAATTAAACTTAATTTAATTAATTAATTAAACTGTGATTTCTAATACCCATGGTGATCTGAATGATCAAGTTATACAAATCAAATAAATAAATAAATAAATAAATAAGTTGCATGATTGGTATATTTATTTTTTATTTAAAAAAAATTGTATTAAATTTCTATATTCACCCATCATAGTTGATAACCTGTGGATCACCAACCTAATTTATAATAACCTAATACTGGATCACTATTCTCCCAAAATCTTTTTTCAGTTTACAGAAATGGAACTGAGATCTCACAGAATTTTATAATTCTATCATACAACAGAGCATTTTCAAAAGAAGCAATTCTTAAAAAGAGAAACCAATGGAAATAAACTGTCTAATATAGAGCTGTATGTTTTTCAAAAGCCCAGAATGCTCTTCAATTTAGCTCACCTGTATTTTGACAACATCTGAGGATGATTGGCTAAACTGGCTTCCACAGCTGCTCTTCCAGTCCCCAGCAACTTCTTTAACAAGTCAAATCTTTTCAGCCTGTATAATAGTTCAGATAAGTTGATGGTGGTCAGCATCTCCTTTTTATTCAAAGCTGTCAAGAGTTGTAGGACATCAGGCATAGATACGTCAGGCACGAGATCGCTGCACAAAAAGACCATGGTTTCCTTTTCATCTGTATCCAGTTCCTGTTCAAGCTGGTAAAGGAGAGATGCTGGCACACTGCAAAATGTCATCACAGGCCACTATCCCTTTACAGTTCTCTGGGTGTGTTTTAAACAAGAAAAGCCACGTCATGAGGCTTGCTTCTTAATGCAGAATCTGCCTTCCTTGTTGATCTTCAATATCTTGGCTTCGTTTTATGCCTTTTATGTATCAAAAGACCATTGGCAAGAAGAGAAGACCTAGACAAACCCAAATCACTTTAATCACACACAATGATTAAAATTCACTGCTGGCACTCCTTCTGCCATCTCATCTGCTGCTACATTTGTTCATTTGCTCAGGCTGGGAACAGTATGAACTTTTTCAAATTAAATAATACTTAGGATGAATCAAAATGGAATATCCAGTTTTCAAAAAAGTTCTCACTATCACACCACTTAGAATGCCCAGAGGAACTGAAACTGAAATTAAGCAAAAGGTGCAGATTGAAAATGGGAAATCACAATATGCCACTGATGTCCATAAAATGTCTCTTTCGCTAAAATTATGCTTTCTGAAAGGAGAGAAGTAGCTCTTCAGAAAAATACATGTTTTGCATACAAACAGGATATCTGAGCAATCTTTGGGCATTTCCAGAGAACTGGAAAAACCTGTCATTTGAAGTCCTGGGGAACTAACATTGTGAACATTACTGAATAGGATGGGCTGACTTAGTTCTTATACAGCAGCTTTCTCTCTTTCTAACTTCAAATTCTAACAGTAAGTTTTGCACCACAATGCTCCATAGGATCATTTAGAATATTTACAGTGTTTATTTTACTATATTTACTCTAATGGAAAACGACTCTGAGTTTAGGATGATCTCCCCAAACCTCACAGGAAATCCGAAAAAAAAATGATTATATGCAAAAATCCTGTGAAATACTCAGTTTTCCAAGTGATCAACCAAGGATTGTTAATCAATCCAGATACCCTTATGCCTCATTTAAAAAAAAGGTGTGTGTGCGTGTGTGTGTAAAGGGAGAACCCTAAGAAATGCATATATATATGAACAGGTATCCATGCCTGCCTCATGGAAAAGGTTAAAATATTGTAAGTGCCCCTGCTTATAACTGATTCCCTCTCTACTGTTATGTAGAGGGGGGTTTATTGTATAAGCATTAACTTTTTTTCCTTGTATCAGCTTAGATACTTGTTCATACTGTATGTATGAACCTCTAGTAGCCACACAGATACTTTTTACACAGAAACTCTACAGAAGAACACAAATACACACATTCTCCTCATTCCTTCTAGAGAAGCGGACAGAGAATCCATCAAAATGGAGATAGTATTTTGAGCAGCTGCGCTGGAGAAGGCAAGAGAGGGAAATCAGGAAGACATAATTAAACAGGGAAGAAAGGAAGGAAGGATGGATAAGGAGTCAAGATCAGTCCTTGTAAAATTTACTAAACAGATACTTCCCAAAAGCTTCTCAATAGAATGCCCCCTAGTAATTTCCACCTCCTGATCAGTTATTTATAATAAGTGATCAAACGTAAGGTCAGTTTCTGCAATCTACTTAGGGGTGAAGGAGATGAAGATGGTCTCCCACCTTGGTATTTTCAAAATAAAAATTTCTAGCGGTTTCAATTATTCAAACTACTCCACGTCCAGTACATCATTTTGCTTCAGCCCAATCTTGTAACTAACTAAAAGTTAAGTTAGTATACCAGGTACTCCTCGACTTAGATCCACCACTGAGCTCAAAATTTCCATTGCTAAGCAAGCCAGTTGTTAAATGAGTTTTGCTTCATTTTGCGACCTTTTTTTGCCACAGTTGTTATATGAATCCCTGAGGTTGTTAAGTTAGTAACACGCTTATTAAGTGAACCTGGCTTCCACATTGTCTTTGCTTGTCAGAAAGTCACAAAAGGTCATCACACACAATTGTCATAAATACATGCCAGTTGCCAAACATCTGAATTCTGATCACATGACTAGGGGAATGCTGCAATTGTCGTAAGTGTAAAAAACAGTCATAAGTCACTTTTTCCAATGCCACTATAACTTCCAACAGTCATTAAACAAATGGTTATAAGCCAAGGACTACCTGTACTTCCTTTTCATTCTCATAGAGGCTGACAGACAATGGTTTGGGTCAGGCCACAGAAGGATTAGTTAGAACAGAAGTACATCAGATCAGAATTTTACCAGTTTACAATCACCAATTTAAATCACCTAACCCCTAAGACATATCTAGACAATTGTTTTAGACAAATTCTTAATGATCTCTGAATAAAAGGACATTAAGTATTACCTCTGTAGATTCCACAGTGCTTCATCAATCAATCAATCATTTATTTTTATTCCACTATTATTTTTACAACTAACTCAAGGCAGTAATACTACTTCCTCTTTCTATTTTCTCCATAACCACCACCCTGTGAGGTGAGTTGGCTGAGAGAGTGTAACTGGCCTCAAGTCACCCAGCTAGGTTTCATACCTAAGGCAGGACTAAAAATCCCATGATTAAGATGTCTAATTGTCATAATCAATAATAAACTGACATATGTATATACATTCATGGGACTATTAGAGCTTGGAAGAGAGGAAGAAGTATCATTTTTATAGGAAAAGATTCATAATCAATATTTGAAAGAAATTAACAAAGATACCAAGGCTGCAATTCCATGCTTCCAAACATGGAAACAAACCTACTGAACTTTAGAGTAAAAATGCATAGGATTACACTGCCAGGATTTAAACATCACAATGTCTGCAATCTGATACTGAAAATACTACAAATATTCACCAATCACCAAAAGCATATTATTCCTATAAATTTAAGACTGTTTTAAACATACCCAGAAACTAAGGTTGCTTTTTCATAACTCACAATCACTGTGTTTGTTGTTTTCAAGACTGAAATGAGTCCCAGTGAAATCAAGAATATACATAAAAGGGAGAGAACATAAAACTAGGCTTCCCTCCTCCTCCCCCACAGGAAATTCCAGTTTGCATTGAGGAGGGACTGAAGGAATGAAGGACAAATCACATCCTTGACATTCCAGGAATTGCAAGCATTATCAGATAGGGCAGTTATAGCCTTTCAGTTTTGCAAACCAAGGATTAGCTACAAAATCTGCATTATTCTAAATAACAAGATATTTCTAATAATGAATACCCTAGAAAGATTCAGAAAATATGCATGCTGTGTGGAAACATTTCCAGGCCCATTTGGACTAACTGGATACACAATTCTGACTGACTTCACTGAGTTTTATGCACACCTGACAAAAGCTGCCTTCTATCTGCCAGATTTGCACACTATCCAGTCATAATATGATTTGATTTTGACTCTGTGTTCTGTAAATTCAGCCAGTTGTACTTCACACAGTAAAACTCTTTAGATTAGGCCTGTTCCATATACTTAAACTGGATGAAACCAGGAATCATGTGTTAAGCAGCCAACCGGAAGGAAGATAATTCACATGGGCCTGAGAAAGAAACATATAAAGTGGTCTCCATATTGTGCAATCAGTTCTGTGTATATTTTACCCTTTAATAGCAGTTTAGTGTAAATAAAAAAATAAGCTTATTTCAGCAGCTACAAGTTGGACTAGCAAAAAGATATAAAAGTAGAATTGGTGACTAATTTAAAACCACATACATGCCATATACTATTTTTTCCCAAATTAGTCAATATTATGCTGTCACTAAGCATATTTATATTGTATCGCTTTCAGTATTTTCAGTTTCCTTTCTACAAAATGACTGAACTTTTATAAACGCGGCGGCGGGTGGGGGGGATTTCTCTGAGATTCTATTGACAGTATGATTCTATCTACTTCCCCTTTAAGGCCTCAGTTCTGTGTACCGCAACAGAAAAAGAATAAGACTGCTTTTTAGTTCAAGATCCAGAAAGCACTTGGGGCCTATGCTTTTACAAAAGTCAAGATTATTATTTTCCCCAATTCATCTTAATACAGTCCATTTATATTCATCTTAAAATATATACTTTTAGAATCTAGCTGTGGTTGTTTCTCTATTAAAATAAGGTGGTTGTGGAAGAAGAAAAGTTTGATTTTACATTTTCAGACTTTCCATGTTTATTTGTGATTTATTTCCTGTGTTAACTCTGTAAATTAGGTTTTCTCAAAGTGGTGGTGGGTGGGTCACAAGACAAAAGGTAGAAGAGTTGCCAGGAGGCTGCTTTCTGTGAGCAGGCTTACCACTTTAATGCAAACTAAGAAGACTTTTTGTTTTTGTAGACCACCTTTTCTTTCAAAGGGAACAATCAAGGTTGTAGAGCCCCAAAATTTAACAGAAAACTCTGATCTTCACTCTACAGAAATGGGAAGTGAGTATCAAAAGCAGCCAATTTTGCAAGGTATGGTATTTCAAGATGTTGGAAAAAAATCCATCAGGTTCAGTTGCAAGCTGGGAGAAAGATGATGGAAGCTGATTGGAAAGAAAGGTCCATTTATTGATGAGGCAAAACCACCAACCACATGTGATTTTGGGACAGCTGACAAAATGGAGTTGAGAGTTGGGTGTTTCTTCATTTCTCCCATTGGGGAAATATATTTTGCCTTTTTAATATTCCTCAAAATCTTTCATTCTTCTAGTAGCAGGGGCTTCCCACAAAGAGAAATTGACTTAAAGCAAAGAAATACCCTTTTACTTATCATCTGACTACAGAAAGAAACTGGCTGCCCTCAAAATGAAATTCAGATTTCAAAATGATACAAAAACAAGCAGGTTCATTCTTCCATTAAAATGTGATTCTAAACTTTTTCTTCAATTCTTCAATTTCCAATGATAGGGTTTTATTTTCTAAAGCTATATGGTTCTATCACCTTTTTGTTTGACATACAGATTAAAGGTGTAAATTTATTTCTTGCACAATTAAGTCCTGATAATGAGAGGGTAAGGAGTTCAATAAGTTTCCTCCCAGACTTTTTATGAAGCTATGGACTCTAGTATGCTATGCTCCCTTCTCCTCAACTATCTCCCAGGGTTTGCCCAAATTCATGTTCATTGCTTTGATGGCACTATCTAATCAGAGGGGATGGGTATTGTAACACAAATTCATGTTATCATTTAAAAGGATTACGTATTTTCAGAGTTTGAGAAATCCTGCTTTCCTTGAATTTATCACTTGAACATTACAGCTTTTAAGAAGTTTTCTTGAAAAACTTCACAAATGCTAGTAAATAAACAGGACTACTTCCTTCTTAAGAGCCACAAAGACATGATGGAACATAACAATGGCTAAAATAGAAGGCTTTAGATATCATGTGTCAGTCTGATGGTCGGTTATGAAAAGTCCAGACTAGAGCTCCAAATAATTAGGATTTTCCCTAAAAATACCGGCAAAAACACCTTATTATAGTGAAAGCTATTATTTTAATCATAGTAGATAATTTAAGCGAGGACGCCATCAGAAGCAGAGAATACAATCCCACTCCAATTTACATTTAGAATAATCAGTGTCCAATGCAGTTCTATTTAAAATCTTTTTGTGACAACAAAAAGAAAACTAAAATGAAAACGCCGCGAATCCATCTGCTAGATCTTTTGGTTTTGAAAAAAACTCAGCAGGATCTGACTTAATATTCTGAGCAGAGAGCACCCAAAATCTCAGAGCTATTGGGGGAAAACAAATCCCACAAACATCTCCTATATTACGGCCAAGAAAACTTCCTGGAGTTTGTCGGTGATGTCACCAGCAAAGCTCTGCCCAAATAATTTTTGTTTTCCTTTTATGTTGTTACATAGGCGCTTATAATCAATGAATTTAGTTTATTAAATTTATAAGCAATGTCTGAGCAAACATACGAATAGAAGGGGCCTGTTACGCAGATCCATAAAAAATGAAAAAACGCTCCCTTCGGCCGTCGGGAAGGAGAACCGGCAGCGAAACGGACTCTCGAAACAAGGGCGTCGGTCGGGCCCTGCATTCTTCCCTCTTCCGACTAAGTCAGAATACACGCCTAGCCTTCCCGCAACACAAACGGCCTCCGCGTCCGATTGAAGACGAGGACCGCGGAACTTCTCTTTGGCGACAGAAGCTTCCCTCTCCGTCACTACGGACTAACACCGCCATAAAAGCTTTTGTTTAAAGCGCGTGGATAATAAGGCCATCTCTTTTCCGCCGCTTCTCGAAGGCAACGACCGTTAATGAACTTTGCTCAGGAGTAAACTCAGCCGAGCGCAAAGGGCTAGTCTAAACGCAACCCTTCCAAACGTTGCTCGCTTGGGACGACACCCTTACTGCATTCAGCGGCGCCTTACTCCGGGGAAACTGGCCTCGAAGGTCAAGCGCCCCTTTCCTTTTCAGGCAGAGACGCGTGCGCAGCTTGATTTCTAACAGGGATCTCCTGAAGCCGAGTCAGAGCTAGTTTGGCTTTTTGTTGCCCAGGGGCCTCGAGAAGATGGCCTCGTCTTTCGCTTCTCGCCTCCAAGCGCTCTATCGCAAACGCCTCAGTCCACGGACGCCCCATTCCCCACTCGGCTTCTCAGCCAGCTCTACTCACAGCCCGAGCGCCCTCGTCCCTCCGCTCTGCGTCTCCTCAATACAGCAGGCTCGCCATTTCGGGAAGCAAAATCCTTACTACGCGCAGTTGGTGGAAGATGACGTTAAGCTTGGGAGCCGCCCAGCTCCAAATAACGCCGACTGCGCTCGACGGGCGACTCAAAGGACCAACAAGATATTATTTTGGGGAGAGAAACTGGAAAATATATGTTGTAATTATATTTGTAATTACAATTTGCGCTGAAGTATGTTGCTAGGAGTTTGTCTCAGTTCTACAACCGGAATATATGAATATGCTGTTTTATACCTCGGATGGCGTTCAATTTGGGAGGGGGTCGATAAGACTAAGCGGAGTTTATCATCGCAGCTCCCCTCCACTGTGATGTCCTAAAGAAAAGCTTTTTCTTCACAAGAAGTTCTCTCTCTTGCTTGCGCGGATGTCCTGCTTTTTCTATCATGCATCCACAGAAGTTAACGAGCTACAATACTACCAATGCATTTTATCACGAGCTTTTTAAAAAGACATATTTAAAAGAAACAAAAATGAAAGTCGTAACTTAAACGTTCTCCAGTCATATTAGTAGAGATAGGTAATATTTAATTATGTGATTTAGTTTTTATTATTCATTTTACTTTGTTATAAAATATTTGCATTACATTACACTACACAGTACTTTCTAGATTAAGCAGTCTTATTTCTAGTCTTCTGAATGTGTCATGATGAGTACTCATTTTCTCAATTATGAAACAAAATTCTGTCAATTCCATAAAATAACAGTTCCCCACTTCCTTGTTTAAACATTTTAATTTTTAGACTTTTATTAGGCAGGATGGTGATCAGATTTTAACTTTATCAAACTATTTTTCAAGAAAGATTATATACTTCTATTGTTAATTTTTGTGGTAATTATTTCTGATGGCATAGCCTTTAATACATGGTAAACTGAAACAACAGAGAAAGAGTTTGGTTTTTGATTATAATATACAACATATTTCACGGAAAAAGCATAAGTACAGGTCCTTAACTTACAATAATTCATTTAGTGACCTTTCAAAGTTACAACGGCACTGAAAAAAATGACGTTGCCATTTTTCACACAACTGTTTAGCATCCCCTTGGTCACTTGATCAAAATCCAGATGCTTCATATTTATGACAGTTGCAGTGTCCAGGAGTCATATGATCACCTTGTGACAGGCAAAGTAAATGGGGAAGCCAGATTCACTAACAACGCTGTTACTAATTTAACAACTGCAATGATTCACTGCACAACACTGGCAAGAAAGGTTGTAAAATGGGGCAAAATTCACTCAATGTTTCATTTAGCAACATACATTTTGGGTTCAATTGTGGTTGTAAGTGGAGAACTACCGGTATGAATAAAAAAAGGAAAACCAAAACTAACCACCTGTTTTATTTCGTTCCACTTTAGCAGTTTTAAATTTGAAACCCTTGTTATTACTTCACTGTTGCTCAAAATACAGGTTTGGGTTTATGTTCATCCAGTTCACCACTATGTTCACACAAATTGGAAATTCTCACAGAAGGTTATAAGAATTGGTAAGGGAATCCTACTTTGCAAGTACTATGGTAAATTTTAATACTTTATCTATACCTTTGCTTGTAACGAGAAAAAAATAATCGTTGAGAAGAAAATCAACTGCCATTCTTCCACTCTTTATGCATTTATAAATATTTACAGAAGTTTTGACTAGTATACTGCTCAAAAAAATAAAGGGAACACAAGCAGAAGACATCTGAGATCTATGAATGAAATAGCCTTATTAAATACTTTGTTTGTTACATACAGTAGTTTTGTGTTCCCTTTAGTTGTTTAGTTGAGCAGTGTATAAACTACTGTATGTAACGAACAAAGTATTTAATAAGGCTATTTCATTCATTCAGATTTCGGATGTCTTCTGCTTGTGTTCCCTTTATTTTTTTGAGCAGTGTATTTTTTAAAAAAAATCACTACCATTGACTTCAAGATGGCGGTTCTTTAGTATGGCTAATATATTTTTCCGCAAGGCTTTAACAAAGGCCAAAATAATATACACTTTATTATTGATAATCAACATGTCACTACCTGAAATAGCCAGCAACTAGACAAAGCATTGAATACAGAATTACAGAATATATCTTTTTTCTATCATAGAAAACATTTTGTCATTTGCACTAAATAATTTCAGTTACTGATGTGCAGTTAGTTATTATTTTGTGTTTTTGTTTGGGCTAAGGAGAAGACTGGACCAACAACGGCAAACATTTATTCTTGAGAAAGGCAAGTATTAATTAGATTAAGTTGGCTAATGGCATCGTTTTCTCAGAAGATGGCAGATGACCAATGTGTATTGGGAAAGCAGACTTGATCTCAGATGACAGCACATACTTCTAATTAATACAATCCTGCAATACTGTCAGCCATTCTGGTAGTGATGATGCCAAATGCCAAGTCCTAAAACTTGGAAGGAATTTGAAAATAACTGAGCAAAGATGATCCCTGTGTTTTTCATTAGGTTTGGTAAATTTCATCAATTTTTCTCTAGTTTCAACATTTGGCAACGTAAGTCTAACAATCAATGGGAAAAAATTACTCAAAATAACAAAAGATAGAATTGCATATAATAAAATCTATAGAAATTGTTTTGATAAGATCATGTTAATCAATAGTTACTAACTGGCTTTAAAAAACCTATCAATTTGGTCAATTTAGATATTTAGGGCTTTAAGCATTGTATGCCTTAAATCAGAATGGATACTATACAGATAGTTCTTGACTTAAGGACCACAACTGATCACAGCCAAAATCTTCCATTGCTAAGCAAGGTAGTTGTTAAGTGAGTTTTGTCCCATTTACAATCTTTTGCACAATTGTTAAGCAAATCACTATAGTTGTTAAGTGAACCATGTGGTGGTTAAGCAAATCTGCCTTCCTCCATTGACTTTGCTTGTCAAAAGCCATCTGGAAAGGTTACAAATGGTGATCACATGACCTTGGGACACTGCAACTGTTATAAATACATGCCAGTTGCCAAGTGCCCAAATATTATGTGACCATGCGATGCTGCAATGGACACAAGTGTGAAAACCAGTCATAAGTCTTTTTTTTAAGACTACCTGTGTCATGTAGTGGCAACACCTGATATAAATCTTAAAATACCGTAATCTTGCTCCAGTTGTCTGATGGCTCTAGGTGTTTTGAATATGCCTGGGCATGATTTGTTTCCCCCACTTCCTGTTTGCCCTAATTGCTCCGTTTTGCCGATGCCCCAATACGGATAATCCCATCAGAACGAGTAATTTTATCACTAAATTGAAGTCATAAAATGAAGTCATATGACTGTGCCTAATTTATGGTGTCATTTCTTCAGTTCCTGCCGCAGTTATTAAGCAAATCATTACAGGCTGTTAAGTGTGATATGTGGTCAAAACTTCCTATTGGTTTTCCTGATTTCTCAGATGCCAACTATGAAGGTTACAAATGATACTTATATGACTGTGGGATGCTACAACCATTATACATATGCACCAGTTCCAGGAACCAATCTAGGTCACTCACTGGGACCAGAGCCCGAAAGCTCAGAAAGCTGAGACTCTGGTCTCAGTGACCGACCCAGCTTGATTCCTGCAACATTATCCTGGCTCACGTATATTCGCCTTCATATGCACCAATTGCCAAGCACCCAAATTGTAATCACATGATTGTAGGATTACTACTACAGCTGCAATTTTGAGGACTGCCACAGACGTCTCCTTTTCAGTAAGCGAGGACTATCTGTATTTTGGCCAAGATTAGAAGCCAAAGATCTAAAAATGACTTTTTCAATAAAGCTGTTCCAACATTACTTCATGTTAGAGTATGAATTTTATAGCAGTTGTTCAGATGCTCCACCTAACGTATCTGAGAATATGCACATTGTATTTCTTAATTGCAATTTCACTGTAGTAACAAAGCTAAACTCTTGTCCTTTGCTATGGCGGATTTGAGACAGCCTGAGTTGTTGCTCCTAAACTTCCTCTTTACTCTCTCAATGCCAAATCAGGCTGTTGGTTTCCAAGGGAGAGAGAGTGATGATGGATGAGTTGTCAACTGGAATATAAGTAGGTTTGGAAGGTTGTTATGATATAGTGAGGCCCATTTGAACTTTGATGCAGAGCAGGGATTCATCCTATGCAACCAAGATACTGGAGGGAGGCAGCCTGAGGCTCACAGTGAGAATTTTTATTCTTTTCAAACCAATCAATTGAATCCATTCTGACTGTACTCCAGCTACCTGGCCTATATCTATAGAGGTTGCTTAGCTATAGGTAGATTTTATTGTGCTGGATTTGTGAATTGACATGTCGGTATTTAAACCATATTATTGGTCTAGATCAGGGGTGTCAAACTTGCACACGCCCATCCTGGTTAAGCGAAGGGAAAAAAAGTCACAATATGTCATATGACAATGCAAGTTTGATGCCTCTGGTCTAGATCAAATGGCTCTCTCTCGATCTAACTTACTTCATAGTGGTATTAGTGAGATAAAATTGAGGGAAGATGGATTTAGCAACATTCATATATTTCACTCTAAATGTGTGGAGAGAAAAATGGGTGCTCTCCTAGCTGTCCTAACAGAACAGAAAAATATTAGAACAAAAATAAATGGCAGCCTTTCCATTTTGTTTAAGTAATAATGGGCTGTTTTGATGTATATCCACATTTATTCCCAAACTTGTGGTAGAAAGAGAGACTACACATATATTCTTTGAGGAGCTTTAATGTGCTCCACTCCATGAAACGTCAGACTATACAATGGACTCAAGACCTAGAAGACACAAACAAATCTTCAGTGATGTCCCTTATTTTTTTCTGGGGGGAAAAATGTATATTCAACTGCAAGTGCCACAACAAAGGCGGCAAACCCCCATTTGAATCCTTTGGTGATTGCGTCCATGAAAGTGGCTGGTTTTGCAAAGCCACCTGAGAATCTCCATGCTTCATTGCTAGAGAAAGAACAGACATAAGATGAAAAATTACACAATTTTGCAACTTTACCTTTTAGCCCACAGTTTAATTTACATATCATATTTTCAATACAGAATTATAACTATTTGTTTAGTCACTGTTCCAAGTTACAATGGCACTGAAGAAAATGACTTACAACTGGTTCTCACACTTAATGACCATTGCAACTTCCCTATGGTCATGTGATCATAATTTGGGTGCTGGTACCTGGCATTTATTTATGATGGTTGCACCATTGGGGTCATGTGATCAACATATACGTCCTTCCCAGCCAGCTTCTGAGAAGCAAAGACAATGGGGGAAGCCAGTTTCACTTTATAACCGCATAATTCACTTAACACTTGCAGTAATTTGCTTAACTACCATG